GCACGTAAATAACAGATAATTCATGCCAAATGGAAAAATAATTATAAAAAATCAGAGGCCTCCTTTTTGTCCCGTCTAAATTTAGTTCCACCCCAAGGAACATTGGGTTTGGGGTCTAAACGAGGGAGTTTTAACCGATTCTGCTCAAAAAAGAGAGCCGTTGAAAGTTTTGCGGGAACAACTGTTCCTCAATTTGGACTCGAATCCTCTCTATTTCCTTCGTCGCGACGAAGGAAAATCCTCGGCTTTCGAAAACACTCAAATTTTATTTCTTTGTTGATTGTCTGCTAATTTGTTTATGACCAACTGAGGTTGTGTTCAAAATACGAGGTTTGGAGCTTGGTGAAATTTGAGGAAAATTTGGATTAGAATTTTCTAAGGCATTTGTGAGATTTTTTACCTTGCTCTTTGCGGAAAATCCAGAGATTTTTTGGGTAAAAATTGGAAAAAATTAAATTTTTTTTGCGATTTTTGGCATGGAAAGTTTCATGGTTATTTCTACCGTAGAGAATAATGTTTCCACAAAAAATCAATTTTTTCCATGCAAAATTCACAGAGTTATGGCAAAAAACCGATTTTTTCTCTGACCGTCTCTCCTCATTTTACATGCTCTCTCATAAAAAGGTCGTTTGAATATATCGGTAAGAGTGAAAAATGATGGACAGAAATTTACTTTCCAGCCAATTTCAACCACCTTTTTTGTGGAGAGAGCACGTAAAATGAGGAGACAAACAGAGAAAAAACGGATTTTTTGTCATAACTTTGTGGATCTCGCTGGAAAAAAATTGTTCTTTTGTGGAAACATTATTCTCATCGGTAGAAATAGGCATGAAATTTTTGATGCCAAAATTCGCAAAAAAATTTTACATTTTTTCCAACTTTGTGCCAAAAAATCTCGATTTTTTCTGCAAAGTGCGAGCTAAAAATCTCGCATATGTCTTAGAAAATTGTAGTATAAATCTTCCCTAAGTTTGATCAAAATCTTGTCCCAAAATTTTTTGTATTCAAATTTACACGAATTTCCCAAAAACTCCCCCATTTTCCTCTTATTTTCTCCCAAATTCGTCATGTTTAAGCCTTTGAAACCTCCAAATTAACCCTCCTCAATTGGAATTAGCCGTTTGTTGTCTTGTAAATGGCAATCCCATTAATTTGAACAACTTGTTCCCCCCTTTTTTCGGCTAATTATAAACTTTTCTGACGCATTTCCCCTCAGGGCTTTTGCGTATTTGCCATGGAAACCCAGGTGTCCTCATCGGCTAATTCATTAAACTATTTTGGAATTGATGGCAAAAAATCAGCGTTTCGCGACTACTGTAGGGAATCTTTGGCTTGGGGAATTTTTGGAAACGTGATTTTGCGATTTTTGGGGAATTTTTTGTTAGATTTTGATGAAATTTGGTTGAAATTTAATAGAATTGAGGTTTTAAGAAATATTGGAGAATTTTACATTTCAAAAATTACCGAGATTTTTTGGCCGGGAGTTGCCCAATAAAAAAAAATTTTTTTTGAGATTTTCGAGTTAAAAAAATATCTAGTTTGATGTGTAAAGTTGAAAATTCCCACAAAAAAATTACTTTTTTTCTTCAGCTGAATTTAAAAGCTCCTTGTCGAAAAAAATTTTTGATTAAAATTTTCAAAAAATTCGAAAAATTTTTTCACTATTTTCAAAATGAAAGATCCGTATTTTTTTCGTGCTGTTTACTCCAATTTTTCAACAAAAAACTCAATTTTTTCCAAGCAGAATTCTAAAAGTTATGGACAAAAAAAGTTTTTTCTCTGTCCATCTCCTCATTTTGCGTAGTCTCTCTGAAAAAGTCGTTGAATATCTCTTTTCTCCCTGCAAGGTGTGAGGTAAAATTTTCAGCGATTGATATGTGGCCTAGACAGAGTAAGTGTGGAAAATTTGAAGAGATTTTGAGTGAAAGAATTTGGACTAAAAACCAGTGTGGCCAATGCAAAAGAGGCTCTAAAAGAGGCCCGCAAAATGAGCCGTAAAAACCCCCGAACATCCTAATAAAATGTAGCAAAAACAAACTCGTAACCAGTGGCAAGATATTCTGACCTTTGAGTTTCGATAAATTCAATTTTTTGTTTAATAAATTTCATTTTTTTTTTGTTTTTTTTTTTTTGATGACTTAATGCAACTTGAGACTCTTTATAAATCAATTTAACTCCATCAAACGCTCTGATCAAGGTTTACCGAACCTTTGAGTTCGTTAAGTAAACATGGACGATCGACGTGCTCTTTTCTTTCGTTTTCTGCAGCGAGAGCTCGGGTTTTTGTAACGACTTGTTACTGTCGCCGAATGGAAAAATGATCTCGCCTCGTTTTGAGCGAAAAAAACATGGCAAGAGCACATTTGAAAGATCAAAATGGAGAGTAACTGCGACTAGTTACGAGTTTGTTTTTGTTACATTTTATTAGGATGTTCGTGGGGTTTGTTAGGGCCCATTTCGTAGGCCCTCTTTTAGACCTTCTTTCGCCTAGGCCACACTGGTTTTAGTCAAAAAATTTTCACTCAGAATTTCTTCAAATTTGGCCCACTTACTCTGACTAGGCCACATACTAATCGCTGAAAATTTTGGCTCACGCCTAGCAAGGAGAGCCGAGATATTCAACGATCTTTTTGCGAGAGAGCACGTAAAATTAGGAGAGACGGTCAGAGAAAAAACGTTCTTTCTCCATAAGTTTTCGAATTCTGCTTGGAAAAACTTGATTTGTTGTTGAAAAATTGTAGTCTACACCACGAACAGAATGCCAAATAATGACTCTAAAAAATGCAAAAATTTTGAGTTTTTTGGAATTTTTTTTGCCCAAAAAAATTTTTAGTCATAACTTATCGAATCCTCATCGAAAATGTGTGGTTTTTTTAAGAATAATTGTTCACTTCATCTCTAATTAAGCGTGAAATTTTCAGACTAAAAAAGATCGAAACTTTTTAAACTTTTGACCTAAAAATATCGGTGGTTTCTAAAGTGCAAGCTAAAAAACTTTAATCTCTTTAAAACAAATTATTTAAAATTCATTTTTTCCAGTAAAAAAGACCAATTTCTCCATTTCTTGCGCAAATTTCAAATTCGAATTAGCCTAATTTCCCGTTTTTTCCTCAAAATTTGGGCCGCTTTGCTTCGCGTTATCCCCGCTTGACTCTATTTATCTTAACCGCCGGCCCTTAATTCGCAATTACATCTCCGTCCCAGTCTTTTTTCTTTATTTTTCTTTGCTTTTTTTGATTTTTAATTTTCTTAAAAGTTTTTCGTCCTACATGGAAATCACACTTGTGTTTGATATATAAACAGGACGCATTGACGTGTGGTAATATAGAGATTGTTTTGAGCGGGGACTCCGTATACAATCTGCAGTCCTTGAAGAAGAAAATAAATTTCTTTGGAAATTTTAGCGGGGAAAAAGATTTTTATGGAAATATTGGGGTTTGTAAAGGTTTAGTAGGTCCTAAAATTATCGTTAAACCGCTGTAAAATCATTTTTCAAAAAAAAAAATTTTTTTGATTTTGTCATTTTCTATCCAAAAATGACTAATTTGCCGCTAGCTTTGCATTACAAAACAAAAATGTTTTGAATTTTGAGCCCAGAAATTATAAAACATCTCTTTTTTGAATTCAAAAACGTTGTTCCAAAAAAAAACTCTTACAGAGCACAATTTTTCAACAAAAAATCAGTGGGTTCCAAAGAGAATTCGAAAAGTTACGGACAAAAAAGTGTTTTTTCTCTGACCGTTTCTCCTCAGTTCGCGCGCTCTCTCGCCAAAAGATCTTTGAATATCTCGGCTTTCCCTGCAAGGCGTGAGCTAAAATTTTCAGAGGTTGATGTATGGCCAATTTGGCGTCAGTATGCGAAATTTGAAAAAAAAAACTCCAAAAAATTTTTCGATTTTATTTTTTAGAAAAAAAATTTAATTCGCTTTCGATTTATACCGTTTTTTCTACTCGTAAACATTCTAATGTTACTTTTTAAGACCCCGCTTTTGTTCAAATACACTCCCTCGCTTCAGCTTGGCCATTATTTTAATCCGGGCCGCGTCCGAAAAGCGAAAAAATAGCTCTAGCGTCCGTTTCCTTTTTTAAATTTTTTTAAAATTCGAAATCGAGAACGAATTTAATTTTGGCCAATATCAGCGTATTATGGGGGAAAGAGGGATGTTTGTGACATCCAATTTCCATAACGGTCCCATTTTTTATTGTTATTCAAAGCCGATTTGAGCAGTTTCTGCTGGTTTAACCCAAAAATATTCAAAAAAATTTTTCGGAGAACAGCTTGAATATTCGAGGTTTGGTCGCTTTTTTGAAGTATAATGTAATAAATAAATTAGTGATAACTTGAAAGTTTTATGCGTTTTACTTTCAAACCGTCTGGGAAAGGGTTTCGCAATTTTTCGAATTTTTTTTTCCAAAAATTTTTTTTTGTAATTCACCTGAAATTTGGCATGCATACTCTACGTAGACCATTTATCAATCTCTGAAAATTTTAGCTCACTAGTTGTAGCGAGAGCCGAGATATTCAGCGATCTTTTTTCGAGAGAGCACGCGAAATGAGGAGAGACGGTCAGAGAAAAAATATTTTTTGTCCATAACTTTTCGAATTGTGATTGGAAGAGACTGTTCTTTTGTAGAAACATTGTCTATGCCAGTCTAGAATAAAGCAAAAAAATTGATCCTGAAATTTTTGAACTGAACATTGAAAAAAAAATTTTAAATTTTTTTCATTACTCGGGGTAGGAATCTCAATAATTTTTTTAAACCGCTGACAAAAAGGTCCGTAAATGCCTTAGAAAATAATACTCTAAGATTATGCCGAGTTTCAGCGGAATCCATCAAAATTTTTCACAAAATTAAAAAAACATTTTGCCTTTGTCCCCCCTTACCTTTTTACTTTTTTTTCAATTTTTTTCACGGTTTATCTCGAGAATTTTGCGATTTTGTAAAGCTTTATTGCTTTTCATAACTCCATACTCAATTTCCAGAACCGCCACAGCAAAATGGGTCTGATAGATCCGACCCTAAACGAACAGGGGACTATGGTCTTCACAGCGCCCGCAAAAACAATATTATTTGGGGAGCACGCGGTGGTCTACGGAAGGGTAGGTTATTTCCTCCGGCCAGTTTAGCCCCACTCTCTCATTTTGGATCTCAATTGAAAATTTTTTCAGTTAGCCGTAGCCGGCGCGATCGACTTGCGGACAAAGGTTGAGCTCAAATTTCGGCCGCCAACCGCGACGAACGGCATCGACGATCAGATTGAAATCACACTGCCTGACCTGAATTTTACTCGATCATTCCCTAGGAAAAAGTTTCTCGAAGCGGCGGAGAAATTGGGTGAGTTTTGGGAATTAATATTACTCATGAGGGGGAGAGTTGAATTTTTTGCCGAAAAAAAAATAATCGCTATGCTAAAATTTCCAGCCCTTCAATGTGCACAAGAGAACGAGCCCGAAGGTCTTCCGCCAAGCCCAGAATTGGCGGTTCCGATCGCCCAACAGCTCTGTGGCCCCATTGTTAGCGACCAGAGCCATGGAAAGCACTCAACGCATCCAGCTCAAATCGCCATCCTCACCTTCCTCTACCTCGCGTTGGGCGTGATGGCCAAGAACAGGTAAGGAAATGGGGCGTTTTATCCGGTGAAAATTATTTGGGAGGCATCTTATAAGATAAAAGTGGGCTAGATGACATTTTATACGATCAAAATCTTCTTGGAGACATTTTATACGATGAAAAGTGGCTAGGGTACATTTTATATTATGAAAGTTATCTAGGGACATTTTATACGATGAAAGTTGTCTAAGGAACATTTTATACGATAAAAGGTTATAGGGATATTTTATACGATGAAAGTTGTCTAAGGGACATTTTATACGATGAAAGTTGTCTAGGCGACATTTTATACGATAGAATTTTTGACGGGCGTTTTATACGATGAAATCTTTCTAAGCGATATCTTTTATGCTCAAATGAATTGACAACGTTTACTATGCTCATACCTTTCGTTTTCAGAGATATACCGGTATTCAAAATCATAGTCACTTCGAAAGTCCCCGTCCGAGTTGGTCTCGGCTCCTCCGGCGCGTATTGCGTCACACTGGCGGCCTCGTTATTGCGTCTCGGAGGCCTGATCGACATCCCAACCGTATCATCAAAGACCGGCGTTACCTGGGAGGAAAATGATCTTCATATGATTGAGCAATGGGCAACGGCGGCCGAAAGCCTGATCCACGGCCGATCCTCGGGATTGGATGCGTGTGTTTGTACGAGAGGTAGGTTGTAGTTGGGGTATTGGTTTTTTGGAAAATTTTAGAATTTTTTAACTTGTTTTTTGCTCCAGAATTGCAAGAATCCAAATTTTTTTGATTTGAAAGTCGAAAAATCTCAAAATTTTTGCTTTGCAAATCATAAAATTCGAAAAATTTTTTACTTTTCGAAACAAAAAATCTCAAAAATTTGCATGAAATCAAAAAAAAAACAAAAAATCTCAATTTTTTTACTCTTCAAATAAAAAATCTCAACTTTTTTAACATTTCAAATCAAAAAATCTCAAAATTTTTTATCTTTCACATCAAAAAATCTAAAAATTTTCCCTCGAATCGGCCAATATCAGTCCTAATTTTTCAGGCGGAATCATCACTTACCGTCGCGGCGAGTACCCGCAGCCCCTGCAGAACACGGTCCGCCTGCGAATGGTGATCGTGAACACGAAAGTGGAGCGGAACACGCTCCAAATGGTGCGGAATGTGCAGGATTTGTTGGAGAAGTTCCCCACCGTGGTGAATCCGATCTTCGACTCGATCGAAGAGATCTCCAAGGACGCCGTCAAACTGCTGACCGGCGAGGCGTTGGTCACAAAGTCGACGTCCAGCTCGCCGCTGAGTGTGAAGAAGTCGGACACGGCGTCGCTGATGGATGTGGCATGCAATGGGAATGGGACGAATGGAACGAATGGGGTGGTGGAGCAGCTGGCCAATGGAATCGACTCGTTGAAGGCCGGCTTCACCGAAAACGGATTTGAGAACTTACAGGTGGGGATTTTTGAGAGATTGGGAGGCTGGGAAATTAATTTTGGGGTATGAACATGGAGGAGGATTTTTTTGCCGAATTTTTTAGCTTTTACCGAATTTTTTAACGATTTTTTTTATTTTCATGTCAAAAATAAAAATTTAATTTCTCGCAAAGCAAATTTTTTAAAGAATTTTTCCCCTAAAAATCCGGTAAAAAATTTTGCCTCATTTATGTTGATAAAAAATTTTTTATTCAAAAAAAATTTTATTTCGTATCTTCAAAAATTGTCAATCAGTTTTTGCTCTCAAAAAAATTATAATGAGCATTTTGCACAGGGCCATAATGCTCATTATTTTCCCGACAGATCGAGAAGTTATCGAAAAAAAAATTTGTGGCAAAAAAATGGTGAGGGGGGACCAAGGCAATTTTTTCGATTTTTTTGGAAAAATTTTTTCGCTGAAATTTGTTCTAAATACAGAATATACCCCTCGAAATGGCATTACTTCATTTTTCAGGAGCTGTGCCGGATCAACAATCATTTACTGAACGCGTTGGGCGTTGGTCACGCCAAAATCACACAGATCAGCTCTCTTTTGGCGCGATATGGGATTCACACGAAGCTGTCCGGAGCCGGCGGTGGCGGGACTGTGTTTGCTTTTATTACCAAAGGTATGTCATACAAATTTTTTGGAGAATTAAATATTTTTTTAATTTTAAAAAAAATTTTTTTCTTTTTTTTTTTTTTGAAAATTCAGATTACGTTTTTTCAATTCAGATGCCTCCCCAACGCTCCTGGAGATGATAGAAACCGAGCTGCGCAAGCAGGGCTTCGACCTGTGGCAGCCCGATCTCGGCGGCGTCGGTGTTCAACAACAATCATGAACAAAACAATATTTGTTGCACTTTTTTTTATTTTTCCCGTTGTTTTTTATTCAAATTTTTACAAATTCCATTACAAAAGGTTTACATAGAATTTTAGCGAGAGAGAAGATAATAAATATGTACATGAATGGAGGGAATTTTGATCAAATTTGCGACAAATTTAGAAGGGAATGGTCCCAAGTGCGACGCTCAGATTTTCTTTAAATTATGCACATACGTCGGGAATAGACTAGATATCAATTCCTGAAAGTTTTAGCTCGCATATCATCTTTTTTCAGGTATTTTACATGTACTCACATCAATAATGTGTAGATAAAAGTTGCGGATCGCCGTTTTTTGTCGCAAATTTTGTTCTTTTATATGTTACAACATCTCAGGGTAAAGAAATTGAACGTTAATAATAGTCGAAATTAGAAAAAGTGGACATATTCCAAGTATTGCCAAGTCTCCGCCAAGCCTTTGCTGAGCGTCCGCCGCCCATCTAACGGCTTTGCGAGGCCTTTCAGGCAGTTCGTACAACCTTTTCTTGGGTATCTAACGTGATCATAGCTCCGTTTGTTCAATCCATGGGAACGCTATTACACTCCCCTCAACCTGTCAATCATCCGGATGCAAATTAGGACATTCTGCACAGCGGTGATGAAACCATTGTTCGGTCAGCGATAAAACCAATCAACATGATGGGATTCATTTTCGAGAATGGCCGATTGGCAAACATGGTGATGAAAACCAAGCACTATATAAGTTAACCCGTCCCGGTCAATGAGATCGATCCTCCAGCTTCGCCTGGAGTCTGCTGAGCGCCGAGCTCGCCTATTTTCCCGGTTTTAGTGCGCTTTTGAATGTCTGGATTTGCGCGAGATAAAATCCCTTTGTTTCCAGTGTTCGAGTCGCATGTTTTAACCGTATTAGGATCGTAGGTTGTACCGTGCAGCAGGCTTTTCGGCTGTTTTTCTCGCACTGTGAAAGTGCCAAAAATCACTCCGGCGACTTCCCGGAGGGGCTAGTATCTTTCTGTTGAGCGTTTTTATAATACAAGCGCTCAAGATGGGCCGCAGTCAATCTTGGATTGAATAAACGAGGGTGATGTTTCCACAGAAAATCAATTTTTTTCCTCGCCAAAGAGGCAGAGATACGGCCAAAAAGTTTTTTCTCTGACCACTCCCCACATTTCGCGTACTCTTTCGGCGGCAAAGACCGTTCAATATCTTGGCCGCGCCTGCAAAGCGCGAGTTAAAACTTTCAAGAATTGGTATGTCGCCTACGTGCGACGGGTGTGGAGGAATCTAAAAAAAGTCTGAGCGTCGCACTTCAATCACTTCCCTTGCTGGCCTTTCTAATGGACACACCTCCATTAGAACCCCTGTAAATTCCCACCCGGTCCATTAAATGATTGGGATCACGGTTCATGGATGATTCAGCGGCTTATTGTTTATCTTCCGGGCAATCTCACGCGTTTCGGCGGGCCGCTTTATTTTTTGTTTGGAATTTTTCCGAAACCTGTGGTCAATTCGTCGAGACCACTTTAAACTGTTCTCTGCTGAAGAGATCTCCGGCATTTTTTGTACTACCAGGCGCAAAAAGTCCTGCGAATTTATCGTGGCCCCGAATTCGGCGGCACTCTGAAGAAAATGTTTTGTCGCTACGAAAATGGGAATCGCGCGCGGCGTAAGACAAAAAACGAAAATGAACAGTGCAAATGGTCTTTTTTGGGCCAAATGCACTGTGCAAAGCACATTTTTCGCGATTTTTGCAAAACAAGTGGGTACTAATTTAGAAAAACTGTTTCAAAAAAGACGAAACTCCTAGCTCGCGCTTTGCAAAACGACAGAAACGACCGAGATTTTTTAGATCAAAAGTTGTCATAGACGTGAAACCTTTTTGCGAATTTTGGCACGAAAACTTACACATCTAGTTCTACTGTAGAGAGTAAAGTTTCCACAAAAAATACATTTTTTCCATGCCGAATTGGCAAAAATATGGCTTAAAAGTGTTTTTCTCTCTGACCGCTCTCCAAATTTCTCGTACTCTCTTGGATCGTTCAATACCCCGCTTTTGCCTTGTAAGAGAAACTTTGCGTTACATCACGAAACACTTATAAATAAAAAGCCTTTATTATAAGCGTAAACAAAACATCATACCGGCAAACTTAAAACAGCGCGTATAAGGATCACTAACACCGATAGCTTTTTGTTGCGGAAGATCTTGTTTATGTGGGCGGCTTATTCGCCTTATATTAATATTATGGCCGTTTTTAGTCGCGCAGGCGCCAATTCTTTTGACTGAACAGATCGATATTTCATTTTCTGTAGAAAGCTGGCTATTAGTTAGCTTATAAAAAATGGTAAGAGGGACCAAGGCGAACTTTTTGGAAACAACGTCACATTTCTTCCAACTTTCGACCTAAAACTCTCGGTTGTTCCTGCAAAACGCGAGCTAGGTCTTGCATATATGGCTCGGGACTTCTAAATCTCTCCGCAAGAGTCCATCCGGACCCTGGAAATTTAGCCCAAAGTTAAAAGTTGACAAAAAAGGAGAAGACGACAGACAAAGGCAGAAATTCTTACGAAGAGAGAAATTGCGCAATGTTATGTCAGATTGCTCAACTTTTGACTTTGTACTAAATTTGCAGGGTTCGGATGGACTCTTGCGGAGAGATTTAGACACAACAATTAATCTCGCTTGCAGTCTTTTGTCTCACCACGAAAATGGAAAGGAGTTTGGCATTCTGCAAAATAAAAGAATTTCCAAAGAATATTTTTTTTATAAAAACCATTTTCTCGCCTTCCAAGTCCCGTTTCCTAGCCAAAAGTTCCTTTAGCCGTCGGCAAGTTGCCAAATGACATGGGTATGAACCATCAGTCTTAATTATTACATAAAGACACTATAATTGATAAAATATATAAATCTTCATGACTTTTTTATATTTATTTTTCCCATTTGCAGAATGCCAAAAAGCCGGGAACTGATTTTTGTTATGGGGAAAGATTGATGTATAACTCCTCAGCCGAGTAGTAAATGTGCCGCGATTTTTTGCATACTGTTTGATAAGAATGTGTCAATGTTGACTTCCAAGTTTCATGCGATTTTTCGTTATTATAAGTCGGTTAGACCACGGTAAAGATTGCAATTGTTGAATACTTAAGGTAGCTATATCTTGCAAACGGTAAAAACTGCAAAAATTATTTTAGGTGGTGCAGATAGAGTTCTATTCCCTCCTTCTTATTTACTATTCACCCAATCACCCGATGTCCTCAAAAGTGAGAGGCGATAGTATTTATTGGACCGTGTTTTTGTAACGAAGTGTTCAAAAATTTCAATCAATAATTGAGACGATTAGCTAAAAAAGCGCTTTTCAATTGGGATTAATTGTTGTGAGAAGTCCCGAGCCATATATGTCAAGTAGAAAAAACGCTCTAAATTTGCGCCAAGTTTCATCAAAATCTGAACGTCGCACTTGGGTTACATCCCTTTAGATAATACCAGTCTGTTGGGAAAATAATGAGCATAATGTCGACTCGAAAATCAGCGACACGATTCGCACAGCGACATTGTGCTAATTATTTTCCCGACAGACTGATATGATTTCCAGGGGATGTAGCCCAAGTGCGACGTTCAGATTTTGATGAAGCTTGGCGCAGATTTAGAGCATTTTTTCTACTTGACATATGCACGCCACGAAAAACGTAAGGCAAAATTGGAAATAGAGATTTCGAGCTGCGCCCAATATTTTTGATTTTTTTGATGGAATGAATATTGTGTAAGATAGTATTGTAACTCTGAGATTTGGAACAATTTCGGGAAGTATATTATCTTTAAAATTACGTTGCTTTGAGTTTCAAGTGTTGAGTATAACGGATGAGTCCATGGAGCCCGGCCCACCGCGCTGTGACCCAAACATTGATTCTGCAGCTATGGACGTGTCTTCACAAAAGGTAACATTTCTCTTTTTGCATCCGGATTTTTGATTAATCGCCATGTGGTGTTGTGTGAGACATACTAGCGGACGTTGTAAAGAAGAAATCGGGAAATTTTACTATAGAAAAAGGGCACTTGTCAGTTCATTATTGCATCATTTTGCAAGGAGCTGATGGTGTCTCCAGAAAAGGTAGGATTTCTCTTTACTCATCCGGTTTAGATACAAAGGAGCTGATCTGTTTTGTTTGAGACATCCTAGCGGACGTTATAAAGAAGAAATCGTGAAATTTTACTATAGAAAAAGGTTCATTACTGCATTGTTCTGCAGGAGCTGATGGTGTCTCCAGAAAAGGTAGGATTTCTCTTTTTGCACCCAGATTTTTGATTAATCGCCGTGTGGTGTTGTGTGAGACATCTTAGCGGACGTTATAAAGAAGAAATCTGGAAATTTTACTATCGAAAAAGGGCACTTGTCGGTTCATTATTGTACCATTTTGCAGGAACTGACGGAGAAACGCAAGAAAGGACTGGAGAAGGCGTGAGCAAAGCTGGATCAGAGGAAGCAGACGACGTTTAGAACATTTCAAGGTAAGTTTGTGACGTTGCCTTTTTGATTTTTTGTTTTTCTAGGCCATTGAGCCAATAATTTTCTCTGGTTATACCTAAAATAATATAATTGATATTTCAGCCGGTCCATGTTGAAGTAGAATGTGAAAGCCAGTATAATGTACCAATGGGTGTGGAGATTGAATTCCGAGTTCAGATTGCATCCGACAAATTCGATGGATTGTCGAAAATTTATGTAATTTTAATTATTCTTATTGGTTTGATGTTTAGGTGGAAATAAAGAAGATTTTATGAATTTCAGTTTAGTAGTGGTCTGTTGTAGCAGGATCAAAGCCCTGCTACTCTTGTAAACCTCGGAAGGGCTCAGATTCATCGATTTTGATCCAATTTTGCCTAGTACAATATAATTTCTTTTCTCTTCTTCGATCAATCTAAGAAGTTCGGGGTGCACCTCCTAGATGCCTTTCGATGCTTTCTCGCCGGTTTCACACGTAAATTGTTGTTTATTAGAATTTTGGAATCATTTTTGTTATTTATTTGTAAAGGTTTCAGCGTATGAAATGTCGAAAACATTTTCCCGCGAATTTCTCTATTTCCACTTTTTTCGTGGCGTGCATATGCGACACTCCTAGCTCGCGTTTTGCAGGAACAGCCGAGATTTTTAAGCGGAATGTTGCAAAAAAAATGTTACATCTTTTGGCGAATTTTGGCATAAAAGTCTGTAGACTACAAGTAGAGACGAATGTCTCCATAAAAAAACATACTTTTTTATCGCGAAAACGGCTGCGCCAAGAAGTCTCTTTACAACATCGGACCGGCCTAAGTCAAGAAATTTGCATAAAAAGACGGTTTTATCTTATTTTTTATGGCCGGCGAAAATTAAGAAGCTGATCGGAATTGGGAGGCGCAAAAAGTGCGACCATCTTTTGTTTTCTTGCCTTGGCCATAGCAAAAACACGGTGATCCATCGTCGCGCGGAGAGGTCTAATCGGAAGTGGAGGTTGCTTTCATGGCAAGAAATTGTCTCTGGAGATTTCTGGATCCTCCAGAAAAATCCAAAAAAAATCCACTTTGGCTATGGGCATAAGGAAAGGCTAGGAGAAGGCTTAGTTAGTAGAAATAATAAGTTTTATCAGGTCATAGGATATCTTATCACTATGTTTTGAGGTATTTTACATGCGATCACCCCAATAATGTCTAGATAAAAGTTACGGATCTTCGTCTTTTGCCGCAAATTTTGGTATTTTATACGTTACAATAACTCAGGGTAAAGAAAACTAACGTTAGTAATACTAGTCGCGGAAAAAAGTCCTGGGAATTTTCTGCGACTCTGCACTGTGCATGCTCCCGAAAAGTGCATTTGCACAGTGCAATTTTGTTGATTTTGCCTTATTGTCGCGCGCGATTCCCGCGGCAAAGCCGGCCGGCCCGGCCCAAACGGGCCGGCCGGGCTCAAAAATGGAAATCGACAAACGGGCCGGGCCGCGGGCCTGGGGTTTTTTCCGGCCCGGCCCATCTGAATTATAATGCCAAACCGTTGGCATTCATTGTTTTCGCGCCGGGAAAATTAATTGATGTTGTTATAGTTGCTGTTTCTCAAGTTCTAAAACGTTTACAAGTCTATAGTTCCATTATAAGACCACGAAATTCCCAGGACTTTTTTCCGCGACTAGTAGCTAAAATTAGAAGAAGTGGACATATTGCAAGTCTCCGCCGAGCTTCCGCCGCCCATCCAACAGCTCTGCCAGGCCACGCAGGAACTTCCTAAAACCTTTTTTTGGGTATCTACCTGCCCTATGCCCCGTATCCATCGATTTTGTGTTGACACGAACTGTCGTCGACCCGAAAAATCGGGACACCCTTACCATTTTTGAAATTTTAAAAAACAATATTTTGCTTATTTTTTCGAGTATTTTGTAGCCTAATATCCCATCTGGAGCTATTCTACGTCTTATTGCGTCATTATCCGGGATTTTCGCACTAATTTTTATTACACAATCGGCGATTGTGTAATAAAAATGGTCTAAGCTTACCCCTTGTAAGATAATATTGCAAGTGCCACAGATCCCCAGACTCTCAGATAACAATCTACGAATGAACCTCGCAGATTGGGAAAGAAACGAAGATAAAAAGTTTCGTCAAAGTTTCCTTTGGAAACTTGTTATCCATGAAGCATCAGGGTTCACGGAAAGTTTTTTTCTCTCAAATCAACTTCACTGAAGTTTCCCGCCGTTTTGGCCTGATTTATTGCGTTTTAGGGGCTGTTTCGAGAATTTTTGCTGCTTTTTCTAACAGTAAAATTAATTTTTAAGTTTGGGTCTTATGGATAAGATGAATAAAAATGGTAATTTTAAGCGGTTTAAGTCGGTCAAAACGACAAATGAGGTGGTAAAATTACCTTTTGTGATGTCTCGCATGTTTTGGCGAAGATTTTTTTACTTTTGAAGTCTAAAATACGAAAAAATTTGAGGCTAAAATACGACTTTTTGTATATTTTTATAGAAAGATCCGCGTGTAAAAAGTTTCATAGCACTGTAAAATTGCCCAAAATGAGATTTTTTGTAATTTTTGATACCTAACATACGACTTTTTCCTGGTTTTTTGAATAATTTTGTGATTTCTTTCAATTTTCCCCATAAAATCCAAGTTTCTCAATTTTAAACCAACTTTTGATAATTTTCAAACAAAAAAATGCTTTGTAACAGCTAGGCATGGCTCCGGGCCGGGCTTTGCAAAATTTTCCGGCCCGGGCCGGGCCGACTAATTTCTCGGCCCGACTCTGGGCTTCGATTTTCAGGCCCGGCCCGGACCGGGCCGGCCCGGTTTTTTTGAAATTTGAGTTTTGCCCGGAAAAAAGGAAAAAATAAGCTTTTACGATAGGATTTTTCATTTTTTCGAACACAATGCTGATAGCGAACGTAAAGTGACCTTATGTACCTAGGTTTTGCTAAATTTTTCTTTACGTCTTGCGAAAATTTACCATAATTTTCTTTTCATTTCCTGCTTTCTTTCTTTCCAACCTAGTATAAAAATTTTCCGGGCCGAACCGGGCCGGGCTTTCCAAATTTCCCAAGCCCGGGCCCGGGCCGGGCTTGGAGATTTAAGCCCGGGCCTGCGGCCCGGGCCGGGCCGGGCTGCCCCGGTTTGCAGCCATGCTTAGTAACAGCCGCTAATTCTTTATTCTTTCATGGAACACCTTATTTTATCTTTTTTACACCAAAAATTCATCCAAATCTTGCGACTGATCGATTGAACATTAATCATCTCCTTTGATTCACCTCCAACAGCGTGAAAACCCGCCAACTAGTGTCAAACATCGGCCACCTGCGCTCAAATCGGTCCACTTGACCCTTCGCGAACCTTTTTTTCCCGCGGCCCGCGCGCGGGAACGAAAATTTTCGGCCGCGACTCGCGCCCGCGGTTATTTTTTCTTCTTTTTCGGAGCGAAAAATTGGCCTCGAAACAAAACTCTGAATCGTTCCTGCGCGATCGGAAGCCAATTAGGGCGTTCCGAAAATTGTAAAAAAACTGGAGACAATGGTTTTGTAGGCCATTTACATAATGCATTGAGTTCCGGAAAAAAAAAAATTTTTTTCGATTTTTGGCCGGACTTCTCTCCTCATTTTCCACTCTTCGATTTGTCCGAAATGAAGGCAGGAGACAGCGAATCGCTTGTGAAAGCCAATTCAGAAGGCGCTTCTTAGTTTTAGTGGGCGAAAATTGTTTGTGGAAGGTGTCTTTGATAACATGGAGAAAAAGATTGATAGTGGGTAATGTGTCTATCATTTTCGCGGGGAAAAGACGTTCGCAACATTACACAGACCTTGGGATATTATTACGACGGAAATTTAGTTGAAAAATTAGGGATTTGTTGCGATTTTAGTTGATTTTTTGATATTCGAATAGTGCCATGGATAATATAGCCGAAAGTGGGGGAAATTCGAGCTAAAGGCGATTTCTGATAAGAAATAGTGAGAGTGGACTCTATACTCCTCAGCTGTTTTTTCAAACATTTTGTCGCTGTTTAAAGACGTTTTTCGACCGTTTTTTTATCAAATAGCGTTTTTATGGATTTTTTTTGTTTCATTAGGAAGTATATTCCATTTTAATTGTTTTGATATGATTTCCCGTCAGTTTACATTATTTTATTGACATATTTTTTGCGATATTGTAGATGAGACCGTCCACTTTTTGAAAAGCCACTTTTCAGCCGGAAATTCTCAAATTTACAAATTTTCCACATTTTTCAGTATGCAAATTTCATGTATTTTTGTCGTGATGTCGAAAAAAAATATTTTTTGCGTTTTTTACCACGTTTATTTTCATTTTGCAGCGATGGACGCGTTCAGCGACAGAGATCGTCTCTCCAACGGCAAGATCAAAAGACGTTACGAGTTTTCGAATGCGCGTTTGGACACCATCTTCTCGACTGTATGTCTCGCTTTATTTTTTTTATTTACCTTGGTTTAGTTCAACGAAATCGAACCTATTGAGACGAACTCGTTGACCTTCCACAGAGAATCACCTCCATATGCATTCAGTCGTTCCGATTGTCCGTTTACGCCTTCTAATTTGGTAAGTTTATATTCTTTTGGGTTTTCGTGTTTAGGAGCTCACATTGTACTTGATAAAGTTGGTAAAAAGGATAGTCAGTAATTTGAGAGATATGTTCTCTTTAGAGATTGCTTTGTAGCTGTTGGGGAAATTAAAGCTTTCAAGCCGCTCGATTTGAATATTTTACCAGCTGAGTCAAGTATAATGTCGGGAGTCCAAGAAAAGTCGGGAATAGTTGATCAATAGCTGCTTATAATGATCTTTGCAGTTCAAATTAACCATCGACGGTGAGGATTATGGAAGTATCGATGAATACATGAGAAAAATGATGTTCAGAGAACTGGTTGCCACCGACCCTCCGACGAAGGAAAGCTGTTGGGCTCTGAACTTGGTCGAGAGAAATGTAAGCTTTTCTTTGATTTTCTTGTCTTTAGGGTTTTGTGGAGATGTGAAAGTCGCTTTTGGACAAGTTTACTTGTTTTGAGATCTCCAATTATATTATACTTGACTTCAGGTGAGTACTAAAGAATGGGAGCAGTGGCAACTTGGTAGAGGTCTCCTCCACATGCAGAAGGCTCTTGTGGAGCGAGCCAAGTCCGATAAGAAGTTCAGAAGTCTGTTGAATCCACTCGGAGATCGTTTTATCGTCTATACCTACCGCAACGACATCTTCTACGGCTCCCAGTGCGGCAAAGAGGATGTTCTCAGATGGTTCAAGATGATGGCTGATAACAGAATGTCCGTCAAGTATCCCAAGGGCCTGCCGGTGACTTATAAGCAGCTTTGTTGTTGTCCAAAGGTCGCCAGAAGAGGATACAATGTGTTGGGGTTAATCCTCATGGCTTTGAAGGAAACTGTGAGTTTTTTTGGGTTATTGTGGTGCAATTGAAAGGAAGTTTTGGACTGAAGTGGGTCGATTGAGGTCTAAGAATGGGTGAAAATTAATTTCGGAAGGTTTGGCGTTGGTTTAGGGTTATTTTTGACATTTTTTTATTCATAAACATTGTTTTAGACGCCTCTAAAACAAAAAATTGATTTTATGAAAATACTTGTATTAAACATGGAAATTTAGGACACGTTTAGACAAATTAGCATGTCAGCTGTTGTTAAATTCTGTTACAACGATGGTTTGACCCTATCTTTGACATTTTTTGAGCAAAAATATTGCTTTAGATCATCAAATTTCTAATCTAGATATGTGAAAATTTAGTTGAAGGAGTCATAATTTCTTGTTCGTTTTCAGATGAAGATCACTCAATTGGACGATATTTACATCCACATTCCACCATTGGAGACTGTGGAGCGCCCCATCACCTACTCCACCAGGTTGACCACCCAGAAGCGGGTCCACGGAATCAATTCGGTCTGTGGATCGGTCTATTCGTCCAGAGCCTCTCTGATCAGCGACGTCGGGAGATATCCGGCTGCCAACGCGGTGTTTGACCCGTTGGCCAGTCACGACCCCAACAAACGGCTCAGATTTGACACGAATTTGTTCCGCCAGGCCCGCTGTGGAACCCCGGCCTCGGAATTTGGCGATTTGAACCTCGAGAATCCGTTGTCTCCTCAGCCAAATCGGCACAGAGCCTCTTCGGTCTCGAGCAACATGGAATTTGATACCAGAAGATTTGTGCAGCCCGCCAGCAGGGCCTCCAATCATATCGAGTTTGATGAAGAAGTTGTGATGGAAGATGAGGAATCTGATGAGGAAGAAATCCAATTCTTGGGAGAAGTTGATAAAAGGTAAATTGGAGTGTCAGAGGAAAGATTTGGGAGGTTTGGAGCAAAATTGAGGGAGTTGGGATATTATCCATGGAGCTTTATACCAATTTTTTGGATTTTTCTCAGTGTTTTTGGGTCTGATATAGGTTGAAAAGGTTTAAAAAGGAGGATGGATGAGATTGGAATACAGTTAGAGGTTATTTTTGATACTTTTTTGTAATATTTTTGCCATGGATAATATAATTTTGGATGATTTTTTCAAATTTTTGGATTGAATATGGAGTAGAATGGCCTGAAATAAAATAGTTGGGCGAATAGAGGTATTTGGGATGTGTCTAACGCTTATTTGTGAGATTTTTTCTTCAAATTTTGCCATAGGCAAAGTAATTTTATTGATTTTTTCTAATGAGATTTTTTGCTGAAATGTTGGGAAATTGCCTGGAAATGATATTTTAAGCGTTTCAGGAGGGGTTGTAAGGTTCTTTTGAAATTTTAACATAATTTTTTACTTTTGTAAAAAACTTTGATTTCAGCCAAGTCAGCGAAGAGACCCGTCAAAGAATGATGGGCCCGGCAACCGAGGAGATGGAAGAAAAGCCGGACATCTTAGAAATCAAGGCGAATATCGCTCGTCCCAAGTGCACCTGGCAATTCCCGTCCATCTTCAGCACCAGTGTCAAGGAGAAGAAGAAGGGCCGCGAATCCGCTACCTCATTCGATTCCGGCTACTACGACCGCACCAACATGGGCTCCACCTCCACCCTGAACCAGTCGGTCGAGTTCGCCGTCCCCGCGAACCCATATCACAACGAAAATTCGTCCCCAATGCCGGACGCGGTCTTCAGCGCGTCCGAGTCGAGCTTTGTAGCGCCGAATTCGAGCCACGGAGCTGCCGCCGCCTTTAGAGAGCATCGTGTCAGCTTCTCGAGCAACATGACCGACAGCACGGCGGACGAGCTGCTCCCCGCCACCAGCGAGGGCCTGCCCGAAGTCACCGACGCCGACCACCATCTGCTGGACGAGGAACAGAAGCCGCCAATCCGCCGCCCGCACGCAATGCACGGCGTAAGTAAGAGGGTAAGCCAGGAGAGGATGTAAGCAGATCCAAGGAACCCGCGGGACCCCTCGAATACCCCCCACTCCCCCGAGGTAAAACTTTCTTTTTGATGAGGCTGCAGGCCAAGGATAGGTTAGTTAGGAGGGAAGGCGATGAAAAGAGAGGGAAAATTGAATTAGTTTAGGTTTAAAATTGGGTTTAAAGGTGTGATTGAGGTTTTTGGAGGGCGTGGTAAAAAAATTTGGGTGTGGTAAGGGGTGACCAAAAAATTTTATTGACAAATTTTTAATTTTTTGGCGTTTCTAACGGTGTAAATCATTTTTAAATGATATTTAAAAAGTTTTAGAGGGCGTGGTAAAAAAATTTGGGCGGGATAAGAGGTGACCAAAGAAAAATTTTACCCTTTGCCTTGAAACGCCGATTTTGGAAAAGAAAAGGCTTAGAGAGGCCATTAAATGGATACAGGCATCTGTCTGCGGTGTGATTTACGACAGTTTGATTAAAGAACCTGTTTTCCCTCCTTTTTTTGAGTGCAAGGTCGGCCCATTCTGCTACCCATTTCTCTGCCAAAGTTGCGTTGCGAGGCGGCAAAAGACGCCGAAAGAAATGAGACGTAAAAATTGAGGGATTTTTCTGCGGGTGTTTTATTGATATGGGGGAAAATTTGATTTTGCCACACTTGCCATGGATAATATATATTTTTTTTTGATTTTGCCATTTTTCTGCTTATCCCACAATTTTCAGATTGTGCTGGACACAATTGAACTGGAATAAGCCCCCTCGGTCTACTCTCCCGCCCACTGCCAATATATTTGTTTTAAATTCAATAATAATCTATATCTAATCCCCATAAATTGTATATTCACCCGATTTTTTTGCTCGAATCCCAATATATTTCTCTATCGATCTCTTTACGGTGCCATTCCGGACGTCCAGAACGCCCTTTACCTCTTCCCATTCAGCTTTATCAATGAAAAAATCCCAAAAAATGGCCTGGATCACCAATAATTTTCCTACCTACCGCTTTCGGATTTTTTTCAGTTTTCAAAATTTACTTCGGATGCATGAAAGATATCTATTCCCTCTATCTTTGTTTTTTCTTTTGTTCTAACAGTTCTAAGGTGTTATTCTCTCGATTCCGTTGGGTTTTTTCAAAAATTTTCCGATTACCAAGTGTAATATCTTTTTTTTTGGATTTCTTGAATTGATTTCTATTAATAAACCGAGTTTTAATGATTTGTTTGGAAGACTATTAAGCGTGGTTTAATATCCATATGATATCAAATGAAAATTCGATGCAATTTGAACTTTAAAAACGATTTTTTTGTTGTTTTAGGCGAAAGAACCCGCCTTTTGGGTATCGGCCGGGTTTTTGAAGTTTGTATAGAATAGATTGAGAAAAATTGGATGTCAAAATGATCAGAGTGAACCTAGCTGAACGTCAAAGACATCTATCCAAACGACAACACCATGCGGAACCGGTTTATGGCCATCCAATGGCGTCTACCTCGTCAAGAACGGAAAGTGAAGAAGCTCCTCAAGTGGTGAAGGAAATCCCATATAAAGTGGTGAAAATGGACGATCCCAGACTCGTCATGAAGAAGAAGGTGTTATTGAGAGAACTCGAGTCAAGGTGAGGAGTTTTGAATTTGTTGTTGTTAGTTTAGGCTCATCGGGAGAAGGAAAGCGAATTTTGTTGATGAAGATATTTTTTGTTCTAGACGTGGATGGTGTTAAAAGCTCGGTTAGAGTGTGTGTCAGGTCTTATGAATTGATTCTACAATTTTTATTAACTTTATATTGAATAAGAAGGCTCTTTTTGCTATTGAGGGGTCTGATATCTAAAACAATATGGAAAAGGCGTTTTTTGTTTGATCTTGCTAGTTTCAAAAGCTATGTAACATAAATTGGGCGTATTCCTATCCGTGTCAACTTAGAATAAGGGCTGGCTCAAAAGTAGAAGAAGATGCGACCTTATTTTAGACACTAGCTGTCTTTTGTAGAATTTTTGCCAATATTGAATTCAAAATGATAACGTTAAGTTTTCAAATGATTTCTATTGCACGTACAGGTGTTTTAAAATAATTTTGTGAGCGATTTCTTGTCTTTACAACCCCATTTGACCTTATGCTTGACTTTTTTTTCGTTTGATGGCTGAAAACAATGTCGATTTTTTCTAGACAATCCAGCCATATCATAACCGAAGACAACATGCGACAGCACGATCGCACCGAGACACCTACCAGCCATAAGGAGCGATTACAGGCGTATTTCAAAACGCTAACACGCGATGAACCACCGCAGCCTCGAAGTTTAGGACCAAAATTGTCGCTAACCGGAGGCGCCATCAATTTGTTGTTCACTGAGGTAAGTGAAGAGAGAATTTCTTTGTTGTTGGAGGAAGATAAGCCCTTAAAATCGCTAAAATTTTGATTTTAGCGAGATGAAAAGAACACCCCGGATCTGATCAAAATTTATCCAGTTTCGACCAATGAAAGGCCTTATTATTTCTCCGGAATACATCACACATTCACTCCGACTAATAAGGTAGGCTGGAGAGAGGTTTTGAATGAAGGGTTGAGGGATTAAAATAAAAAATTACCTAAAGTTAAATTGCAAGATAAAAAATTTTAATTTTGGTGATTTCTGAATTTTTTTTGGAATTGATGGACTTACCACGATTTATTATGTGTTTCTGGGTGATTTCATGTCCAATTTGCAAAGAATAGAGGCGAAAATTATATTACTTTAGGTAAAAAGTTGTCAAATTTTGGTGAAATTGATTATTTTCTTGTATTGTGTGTGGTTGATTTTGTCAAAGAGGTAAATTGTGGTATCCTAAGTACTTTTGGATCAATGTTGAAAAATTTGAGAAGAAATTTTATATTACTCTGGGAAGATTGCAAAAATTTTTTGAAAACTCACAAGGATTGGTTTTTTGATCTTAACCCCTTCTTTTCTTCTTCAGACGGTCAAGTTCGAGGTGGATGGCCGCGAATTCAGCAGCGTCGAAGGGTACGTGAAGTCGATGATGGCATTGGAACTTCGAGGTGACGTCATTCAAGTGGAAGATATGGCTTTTCGCCGGTATTTCCAAGACAAGGGCATTTCTCAAAGACAGCTGGACACATGGCTGACGGACAGGGGATTTTTGTATTATCAGGTAACTTTTTTAAATTTTTTTTGGGTTTTTCGGAAAATTAAATTTGAAGAATCTTGTGAAGAAGATTGGTGAATTTCTCAGTTGCCTTTGCAAATTGCAAGGTAACATTTTCAGAGATCTATATGTGGTAACTATAGAAGGAGTATGCAAAATTTGAGAAAAATCCGAGAGGTGCAATTTTTGAACTTTTTCAATTTTTTTCATTTTTTGATCATAAGGGGGGACCAAGGGAAAATTTTTTATTTTTTTAAATTTTTTGTTTTTTTAGAAAGCCCTTGTCCACCGACTAAAATCCGACCCCGAAATGCTGAAGAAACTCGTGGAGACAGAGAAGAAAGTGGTTATATACACCTTCCGCCTGGACGAACTGCTGGGCAGCGGCGTTGAGTACAAGTGCATCGACAAGTATTGGGAGGACCTGGCCGCCCTCCGCGTCTGCATCCGCTACCCCACTCGTTTCCCCGTGAAACCCGAGGACTTTTGGATCGTGCCCCGCCTCATCAAGGGCTACAATTTATTGGGCTGCTTCCTCATGGCCATCCGCCACCGTCTGCAGACGGGCGAAAAAATTGAGGACCTGGACTTCGAAATGCCCGAGTATTCCACCAACTACACGGAGAATATAGTCCACAAAAGATTCTACGAAGAGGAAATCCCCGCCAAACGCTCGAGAATGTCGATGAGGACCTCTGAGTACAGCTTTAAGACGCCAGCGGAGACCCCACAGAGCAATGAGTTCAGACCTCAAACTCCGAACACTATTTTTGGGGAATTGCATTTACAAAGTGTCAGTGGAAGTGTTCAAGGAAGCCCCACCAGAAGCGAATGCAATTCGGTGTCGACGTCGATGAGTGATTATAATATAGAGGTATGAGAGTCGACGCCATTTTCATTGTTCGCAAATAAGAATTCATTTTTCCGCAAATATTTTTTCAATTGTCCTTAAATCATAATTTTTTATACCTTTTCAATTGTCCGCAAATAAATTTGCGGCATTAAAGCAGCAGTAACAGGAAAACCATCTTAAAAAGGATGGAAAACGTTTTTTTAAAGAGTGTAGCACGTCAAACTGAGGAGTCCGGTGACCGGAATAGACTCTTCGCTATCGGTTTTTTACACTTCGTCTTGATTTCGCAGAGAAAGAGAGAAAAAAGACACGCAAAAACGTACTCTCTCGTCCCAAAAATTCCCCATTTCTCCCACGACAAAAGGTTTTTTTGCGTCTTTTTTTGACAAATTGCCAATCCATTCACCGGACTGTTTTAGCTTATCTCAGTTTGACGTGTGTAGCTCTTTCTCGATGCATTTTTGTGGTCTCAATGAAAGGCCACATTTTTTTAACGAGGAAAGTACTTGAAATACCACTGGAATGTGGTCTGCAGAATTTTTAGAACTTGTGTGATCATTTTCACGCTCAGTGTTGCCCTTCTCTTCAGCAGTGCCTTAACCCAACACCAACCCAAACATGGCCGTTTGGCCAAAAATTTCATCCACGGACATTAAAAGGCCGTTTGGATTCTGAATGTCCGCAAATAAAAAGACTTTACAAGAAAAGTACTTCTATAGGGTATGGAGTTACAGGTCGATATATCAAAAAAATTGTAGTTTTTGAATTGGTAAAAACTTGCTCAAATCGACAAGCATATGGTGTTCCGAGAGAAGTTCTGAGGATTTTTTATACAAACCAAATTGAGTTGCTAATTTTTACATATCCAGAATTACCCCATAGAAGTACTTTTCTTGTAAAGTCTTTTTATTTGCGGACATTCAGACTCCAAACGGCTTTTCAATGTCCGTGCATGAAATTTTTGGCCAAACGGCCATGTTTGGGTTGGTGTTGGGCTGAGGTACTACTGGAATGTGAAGCGTGGAAATGATCATACAAGTTCTAAAAATTCTGCAGACCACATTCCAGTAGTATCTCAGCCCAACAACAACCCAAACATGGCGATTTGGCCAAAAAATTTCATCTGCGGAAAGCCGTTTGGATTGTCAATATCCGCAAATAAAAAGATTTTGGAAAAATGTGTGGCCTTTCATTGAGACCACAAAAATGCATCAAGACAGAGCTACACTCTTTAAAAAACATTTTTCATCAGTTGTAAGTAAGAAGGTTTTCTACAACTGCTGCTTTAATGCGGCAGTTTTACTTGCGGACAAGTGAAAAAATATTTGCGGAAAATTGGAATCTTATCTGTTGCCGCAGTTGGGTTACAAAGATAACCGTGATTTTTTGCATTTTTAAAATTTTTCAATTTTGAAATTTTTTGAAATTAAAAATTTTCAGCCCACTTTCAAAGCGCCGTTGCCCCGATTCTCGACCAATTCGCCGAACTTGACAACCCCAAACAAACTCAGCAACAGCTTCACGCAGTACAGGAATAATTCTTTTTTTGGATCTTCTGCGTCATTGTCAACTTTATGTTCAATTCGCCCATTTAACACTAGCGCTCACAGCTCCCGAGAAGAAAGCATTCAAAACGGATCAAATGGAGCGAATTCCGAGACCATTCCGACATTTGGAGCCAAAGAAAATCGAAAAGTTCATGATCAACAACACTTTGAAAGTCAAGAAAGTTCGAAAATTTCCACATTCGATTTGTCGAAAATGTGCTCTCCCAACATGGAGCGGAGCAGAGTCTCGGAAGGCACGATTAAATCATTCCATTTCCAACCATTTGCAGCGAAAATTCAGAGAAAAAATGCCGAAAATGAGGAGAATGCGATGGACAGTGAAGACACACTAACTCCACCGACCCGTTCCGAAAATTCCAGCCGGAATCCGAGCGGGAATTCAGTTAATCAAAAGAATGTTTGCGGAGTCGGAGAAAAAATTGATCAAATTGGATGTCATGAAGAAGATCATGAAGTTGAAAAAGGTCAAGAAAATGGCGAAATTGTATCTCAGCAAGAGGATAGAGGACACTTTGGAACTAATGGAGACGTTCTTAGAATGCAAAGGAGACCATTTGGAACGGATAAAATTGGAAAAATTGGCCAGAATAGGGGCTCAGATGTGGTCATTAAAGCCGGACAAGACCAGATGCGGCATGAAAATCGCATACAGAGTCTTGGCCAACGTCCTGGGACATCTGAAATTCAGCAAGTTCAAGATGGTCAACAAAGACTTCATGGAGAAGATAGAAATGAACGCAGTGGAAATATTCGACCTTCTGAATGGGGTAATCAAGTTCGGAATGCAATGTTGGAGCGCACTGGACATCTTCAGCAAGTTGGAAATGTTCAGGTTCAACCTGTTGATCGTCTACCGCAAGTTCAACAAGGTCAAAGAAAAGTCTCCAGAAATGGTTGTAATGATGGTCAGGGTCAAATAAAGCTTCCAGAGAATACTTATCAAGGCGAAAGAGATCGTTTGAGACAAGAAATTCATGGCCATCAAGCTCAACAGGTTCAAAATCGACAAAATTTGGTTCAAAATGTTGAAAATTGTCAAAGTCAATCGGAAATTTTGCTCCATCAAGATGCAAGGAGTCGATCAGGACCGCAGAGACACCTAGAGCAGCTCGATGGACCGCAAAATCATCGAAAAATTCATATTATCCATGATGGAGAGGATTCGGAGTCGGACGACGAGCTCAGCGAGACCATGGAAACGTGCTCAAATCCCTCAATTGAGGTCGAAATGGACTATTCCAGACGAATGGAGGAGAGGAATCACAGAAGAAGAGACGTTTCCCCGGCCAGGAGCAATAAGCATTTCACACCGCGTAAATTACCCGGACAAAGACTTGAAATGGAGGAAAATGTGGTGGTAAGTAGCCGGATTTGAGGGAATATTAGATATTTTTTTGGGTGAGGGTGAATGGAAGACGCTAGAAGGTAATGGAGTAGCCAGATTTTTTTTTTGAGTTTTGAATTTTCTCGGAAAATGGTAAGGAGGGACCAAGGCAATTTTTTTTTTGATTTGTTGGCAAAAATTTTTTTGATCAAGCTGAAATTTGGCTTTAATTTTTTAGCGATTGATTTGTGGAACCATATAGAGAAGCCTGACGAAATTTGAGCGAAATCAGAGGGTCGTGTTATGTTATACTAGGCAATCTTTTTATCAAAAAAATTTTTTTTTCCATTTTAGCCGTCTTCATTGGATGTGTCAACGAAAAAGGATGTGAATTCAACGACGAAACGCCTTTGGAATCAAGAGAATCCCCCGAAGTTTTCGGCCGAACCGATTTCGATCGACGAAAAGAACCTGGAAGCCCTGGAAATCCCTCAAAAATCGGATGCAGAGCCCAAAAAAGCCTCGAACCCGCAGGAAAAAGCGAACAGAACGGGGGAATTGGACTCGTTATACCCGAAAAATGTCCAAATTGAGCCATTGGCCCAGTCCATCGATGACTCTGACTTTGCGAACGCATTTTCGTCCTCGGATATGGATGTGAGGCCGAAGAATGAAGCCGAACCGACGCCAGAAACGAGTCAAGCAGCCCCAGGTGTAAGAGAAATTGAGCCCAGCTCGAGTGATGACGGGATTTTCCAGTTTGTTCGCGCTGCTCTTCAAGGACAAGAAATTCAAATTGAGGTGCGAAATCCCCAAGGAACAAATGAATTGGAGGCTGGAAAGGGAGAAGCCACCGATTTGATTGATGATAATGAATCCGTCATGTCGGAGGGAACCAAATTGATAGCGAGGAAAGCAAAAATTATGGATGATGTAAGTGTAATATAGTTTTTTTGGAAAATTTTGGGAGTGTTGAAAAGTAGATGGTTTTTTTGATGTTTTGGGGTGATATCGAGTGGAATTTACAATTTTTTAAGAGAATTTTTTTAAAATTTTTTTGATTTTTTTGAAAAAATGAACAGGGGGGACCAAGCTGAATTTGATTTTTTTCAAAAATTCCGATTTTTTTTTGATTTTCTTTCAAAATTTGAAGCAAGGAGTATAATGCTGCTACGGAGAATGTATTATTTCACGGCGGAATTCTTAAAGTTACTGCCGAAAAAGAATTTTTAGTTTTTCTCTGACCGACTCTCCTCATTTTGCATACTCTCTCGAAAAGAGATTGTCGAATATCTCGACCTCGCTTGGAAAGCAAGAGCTAAGATTTTCTGGGATTTATTTGTGGGCTATTTTGAGTATGTGGGCAAAATTTGCAGAAATTTCGGATAGTTGAAATTTTTTTAGTTTTTGTTTTTTTTTTGTAAGGGAACTTTTTTGGAATTTTTTGAAAATTTCAATTTTTTTGCGAGATGTAAATTTGAGTTTTTTTTTATTTTACTTTTACTAAAAACTTCTCTTTCAGTGCTTTGAAGACCTGAACCTTCGATTCGGAATCATCACAGCCGACCTGGATGATGCTATTTTACTCCAAGACGACTCCGAAGGCTATGATACGATGGATCAAGAGGAAGAAGAAGCTTTTTTCAGAAGCATGGAGGAAGCCCAGAACAATGAAAGATCCTCACAGCAATGAAAACATTTATTTTTTATCATTACTTTTTGTTAACCTACGTTTTTTCAATTTTAATTAGTTTTTTACAAGTTTTACCTCAAAATTTTTATATGCCTTATATATAGATTGACTGCCAATGACTTATAACATTATATTTATTAACTTACCGCGCTTTAAATAATGAAAAATTGGAGAATATTTTTTATATTGTACTTGATACCAAAAAAAAATTTTTTTTTGAAAAATCCCAAACTTTTGCACGGAATGGTTTATTAAAAGTAAGTTGAATCAAAAACGAACTCGTTTTGTTCCATATAATAATATAATAACAACAATGAAACTTGAAAAAAAAGAATCCCTGTCAAAATTTCGCATTGCCCTAGAAAAATTATGGATAATAAATAGAAAAAAACAGTTCACTGGGTGATGAAAGATGGGATAGGAAAGCACTATGGAGTCGGATCTTCTACGTGAACATCAAATTCGGGGCCAACAAATATCTCCTCGATATATTGCACATGACCGGACGAAGGCTTTGATGGGTGGAAAATCGTGGAAGTTGGAAGTGGAAATGGACCCGTTACGAGATGATAATAAATAATATTAGTGTGCGGTGTGGACAATATAAGGCGGGATTCGGGGCGGGGGGAAGACAACAAATTGGCGAACGTCCCCCACATACGATGGATTATGAACAAAGATCATTTTGGGAACCGACAGTCGATCGCGAGGCCGCGGACATGGCCCAACGGCGTTCTCGATCGATCCGTCGTCAACAACAGCGCCATGGCGAGTGCCAGACGCCCGATTCGAATAGAAATATTTTGATTTTTTTGTAACTTGAGCAAGAGAATTTTTGGGTGTTTTTAGATGTATACAGCACGATTGCTAGAGTATTATCTGGAGACCACTGACAATGGCAATGAAGGATACGGGCGTGGGGTCATGTTCGACGTCTTTTGAAACAAATTCAAGGCAAAATTTGGACAAATTTTAGACGATATTGATCATGACATAAGCGTAAAAAACTTCTTCAAAAAAAGATTGATAAAAAAGACGGTAGGTTGGATACATGGGGTTGGAGGAGACGGATAAAGGTATGAGATGAAGGCGAGTACGGTTTCGGATAAAGTATGATGCGGGTTCGGCTGAAATTGAAATTTTTTATTAATCATCTACATCAATATAAAATTTGTCTCTAATGCCGTTCAAACTCAAAACAACTGTTCCTCACCTGTATGCCGTCCATTTTAGGAGCGCCTAGTTTGCCGAGAGCAAATCCAAGTCCATTAGACCGACGAACATGTCCTGTTCCGACTGATCATCAAGGTCAATGTAAGGCATGACCAGCACGTCTCTGGTGCCTTGCTTCAGGACGCTGAGCTCGGTAATCTTGGTTTTGTTCAGGTTCTTGGTGAGGAGTTGTTTTTGGGCTTCTGCGCGGCGTTCCAGCTCCTCCACGGTCACAAGTTTGTCGTACCACGACATCTTCGACTTGGCGGCCGAGATTTCGGCCGGTTTCTCCTCTTCCATTGGCTCGTCCTCGATCCGCTCTTCCTTGCTGAGGTCGGGAGATGAGCTGGACGAGGTTGCGGAGTGGATGGCGGAGTCGGCGGACTCCGACGACACCGACGGTTGGCCGCCGAACTTGATCTTCAGCCGAAGCGGAGCTTGTGGGACCGAGGTCTTGGACTTTCGACCGCGTTTCTTCTCGGGTTCCGACTTCTCGACCGGTTCATAGGACGATACGACCGGTTTCGGGCTCTGAAAAGATTCAGGGGTTAATTTGGAGACATTTTTATATTATCCATGACCAGTCAACTCAAAATATTCATATCTCAAGGATGGCTTTAAATTTTGAACCTAAACTTTCTCACAACCTTTATTCTACTATAACACCTCTCTACTCCAACTTTAACCCCAATCGCACGATTCATTCCTACAAAAATACATTATCCTTGACTATGACCTAAATTCATGTCTAAAACAACATAAAAATCTTCCCGACTCACCTCAGATCGCTTGGTAAAGTTAGCTAGAATGTTGTCCATGCCAAGAGCGGCGACCAGCTGTTCCGTCGATTGGACATTCTGCCTGGCCGCCACCACCGACGAGACTTCCGGGATCGGGGAGAGTTTCGCCTTCTTGGCGGACTGTGGTGGAGAGGGGTCGATGCGGCGCTTCTGGGCGGCTTGGGGAGATCCGCGAGGTGCGTAGCCACCAGACGCTGATTGGCCGTCTAAAAATATTGCAATTAGGAAAGGAAATTGGCAAACCTGCTCTTGGTAGCTAAAACATCAAAAAAAATTCTTATTTTAGAACTATGACAGTTCTAAAAGTATGAAAAATCGATGGAAATCAGTCAATAGGAAGTGATTATTAGATACAGAGCAAAAAACAATCATTTCTTGCACGTACATACCAAAAATAATAAATTTTCGATATTATTTTAGGTAAAACCCGAAAATTTTCACAAAAAATCTCATTTCTCGCCGAAATTCTCATTTTCAACGGTTGGCACTTCTTCAACACCTTCTAGGCCCTTCCCTTTTCCTTCACTTACCCACTCCCTGCAGTGTGGTTCCACTGGGCGTCACATTTTTCCCAGTGCGCGGGGTCAGACCACGTCGAATCGCGGGCGACGCCAGGCCCGGCGTTCCGGACGTCGAGGAGCCGCACGAGCTGGCCGGTCTCGACGCCTCGGTCACATTCGATCGCCAGCTCTTGATCAACTGCCGGCACTGTTTGGCGAGCTCGGGATTCGAGTCGGCGATGCTTTTCCGCAACCCATTTACGACGGCACCGATACGTGAAATCTTAAAAAAGAAACGCCGCTCGAGGCGGCGTCAACGCGTTAGTGGACCGGAAATTTGGGGAAATACCTCAAGAGCTTCCTTGCACAGTTGCGCACGCTCGATCTCCTGGATCGTGACCCGAATCTCGGCCAGGTTGTCCTGAAAGAAGCCCATCTTATTTTAGGTTCATTTCATCTGATCGACCGCAAAAATTGGTCGATTAATCAAATTTAATCAATTACGATAGTTCCACAATTCAATTTTCTAGCCTTATTTGCCTTGATAATCACTTTTTCATCCGTTTTCGGCTATACAAATACATTTTATGGTATAAAAAGGCCTTCAAACTTTCAGTCCGTTAATTTTTTTTGATATTGCACATGGCCTTTTTCCCAGACGATTTTCATTGGTTTTTTCTTTTTATTATTTCATTTTAGGTACCCGGCTTCATCGCATTATTACTGCTCAGCCGGATAGTCTTCCATTCGGTCGTTCTTACCTTCTTCAAGGCATCAACTAGTCCACTCTTCAATAATTCAGCTTTCTGGATGGATTGTTGGATGGCTTCGTTGTTGAGGATCTGCGGCGAGTTGGTGGGGTCGATATTCTGCGGGGAGACGACTTTCTGCTTCAAGGCGTCGTTGATGGCCTTCAAAGCGAGCACCGCCGGCGAAGTCTTTGGAACCTGAGATTGTTGAAGTTGAAGGCCGACCATCTTGTTCATTGGGCTGTCAAAGTTGGCGATCGACAATGCTTCAGCTGCTACCATAGGCTTCTTTTTGTCTCTGCTTCTCACCAATATTGATCTCGAGTTTATAAAACCCAAATACTCTTCTTTCTGACCTTGATTTAGACTTCAATCCAACAGAACTTCCTGTCCAAATTTCTCCACGATTCCTTTGATCCACAAAGCTGCTTTCTAGCGTGTGCAAAGTTCGGACGTTGAGTCTTCGTTTGCACTAGTCTTCACCAAGTTCCAAGCGTACCCAACCGTGGAACAATGGTGGCTCTCTGATTAGTCGCTGTACCCGAGTTCGGAGAGATTTTTTGGCGTTGAGGACCGAAGGGCGGCTGCGCTTCGTTCTTCCTGCAGGGATATCGAAAAAGTTTGCGTCCAGAAGGGGGTTCCGGAGTTCGACTTCTCTCTTGAAATGTAAATAATATTAGAATATTACCATCAAACATTCCTTATCAAGTAAAATGCGGAAAATCACAAAAATCTCCAAGGAAATGAAAAAAATCGTGTTTAATTCCACAAAAAACAAAGATAAATTGCAGAAAGATTATAGTTCGAAATCAGAATCAAAAGCATTGCCAATATAAACTCTAAAAATCGAGACCTTTACAATTAGTGTCTCGATTTTTAAACGATTATATTTGCAATGCTTCGATGAATAAGATCTTAGAAAAATGGAATATTTCTGGCCAGAAAGAGAGTAAACATCCTATAGACTGCTCTAATATTCCACAGTAATACCTGTCTTCCCTCACGCGGGCGAAATCTACTGTAAATTGGCGCTTCCCACGGATGCATTCCTCTGTTTCCCCTCTCTCAGAAATAGAGCACACCGAGCGAAGAGAGCGCCCCGAGAAGCCATAGCAACCTCGGAGCGCCCTCGAAAACGAGATTTTCATCAGTCGGGGCATAGGGCTCGGGTGGGGTGCGGTCGGAGGGGAAGGCTGTGGAGGCCTTTTCCCTTCCCCTTCGCCGCTCCGTACCACGCGCTGCCTCGCCTCGCCGTGTCTATGTTTCAGGCGAAACGCAAGGGCAGTGTCTCCCTTTGTTGTTCTAGTACTTTCAGGTACAAGAACCTTCCAGACTGCGTAGTTTTTGGCAGTTAAATTCTGTGCATTGCACCCCTATCTACTGAAGCCGCCGAGAATCGACAATTTAGACCTGTTTTTCAGCCAATCAATAACAATATAACCAATCAATACTTTCATGTTTTACCACCTCAAAACTGTAAATCCGAGGCTCAACCCATACGACCTTCAATACATGACAAACTCAAAGAACATGCGATACAATATCCAATCATATCCATACTTTACTCTTTAGAAAACAAACCAATCGATATATTATTCTTTACAATTGAAAACAACGTGTGTCCATTCATTTATTTACAGCTCTCATAACAGTCATGCAGTTTACAACGGAAACCCTGGATAAACATTTTACACCGGTGGATGATGCATAAAAGTTTTTTTCGAGTCGCCGGAATGCGCTTATAGGCGGCTAATCACAGAATAATGCAGCCCTATTAATTTCTAGACACTCCATTTATCCGTAATTCTCTAAACGAAGAGCCGGCTCGCCGGGTTCGTTGTTAACTCGCTGTTATGCGGTTTTACATAAAACGCCTTTCATAAAAGGTACTGTCTTGAAAACCTGCTGGCAAAGAGGGCAGGAGAGATGCATGGGAGGGGAAGGAGCAAAGTCTGTCGTGCGAATAGAGAGAGGAGAGTTTGGAAACACAAGGAAACTGGTGGAGAGGGAGAGAAGATGAGAGAACGAGACGGCCGTTGTCTTTTCATCTGTTCGATTTTTCCGCAGACCAAGGAGAAGAGAAGAAGACGACGGAGCGCCCAAACCCCGACCGCTCGCCCCCTCTAAACTCGCACCGACTGAACCCGATTCGGTCCGCTCCCCGGCTTTTAAAGGGTCCCCGCCGCCGAGTGGTGCGCCCTTCTCTTCCACAACGCTCTCCACATGAACACGAAGAAGACCTCTCTTCGTATTCAGGTGGGGAGCGCCGCCCAGACAGCTTATTTCTTCATGTCGGGAGAGAAGCCAACCGTCTGGGGAAGCTGTAGAAACATTCCCGAAAAAGTGCAGACAAGCAACAATTCGACGGGAAAACCAGCACGAAAAGCAAACAGTGACTCAGTCGAACCGATGAAACCTTTGGCAACTAATCGAACACACTCTATCCGCACTAATAGTACACAGATTCACCGAGGTCACAGCTCAAGTCACCACTCAAAGAACATCCAACTCACTCCAACAAGCCACTTCGACTCTTTCAACAAATGGAACTACATGAACCGCAAAGAACGAGTGAAACTTGTAACGTGCAAGACAACTTACTCAACTACTTGCTAGGCACATGAATTCGTCTATATTTCGTAGAGAACAACCTTGAATTCGAGAGTTCCACACTTGTCCGAGATTTACCGACCGCTCATCAAGTTTGCATTTTTTGACAATACTTTCTTTCTAGGTTTCACAAACAAAAAATGCTCGATCGAATGAAATTCCACCGGTTTCGTTATCACGTTGTTTTTGTTGTGAAATTGGACCATATTCGAATTGTTTTCCCGGAAGTAAATAGATACTTCTTACTTGATTTTTTCAACTCTATATATCACTGATTCTGCTACAATACGACGGAAAGACTACCACCACAATCTCTTTTTAAGAGATGACGTGTCACCAAGGGATTAATGATGTTCTCCATGATAACCACATCTGTTCATAGACCACATCATATGAGAAGGAAACGTGTGACAGAGGAACAAAGTTTGTAGCTTCCATCAAGCCTGTTTCATAATTTAGACTATCATTCCGTTCGCTTTTTATGATCGAAAGCCAAAGCCCATTGAATTTGTTTCGTAGCAAAACCAAAGTACAAATTGGACTCGAGACAAAATCAGCTGTTCCGCTTGACAGATCAAAAGGGATTTGTTTAGATTGGCTTCTGCATAATAATAGAAAATAACTGAATAGTAAAGGGCAGATTATTTTGCAAAAAATAGCTGAACAAAACAGAACTCAAAATGACAAAGACGCTGAATCAGCAAAAGAACAAGCATTATTAGGTCACCAAACGATATCATGGAAGGCTTATCTAAGGAACTAATCAACATTAGAATTTATTTCAACTTTTGTGCATCCATCGTCATGGGTAACATGTTTCTATGGAAACGGCAGAAAAATCCATCTCACAAACTTTATAATTATAAATTTGGCCTAAACGTTTCTTTGTAACACAAATTTATTCTAAAAATTTTGACTATCTAAAAGGATGCGACCTTCTTCATCCGCCCGCCAATCCACTGCCTCTGGCGTTCGACCAAAAAACAGGAAAATGAAGGATCAACCAGCGAGCATTGACTCATCAAGTGCTACGGGTAAAGACGCATTTAATTAGTCAAATTGAAAATAAACAAGCTGGTTTTGACCAACTTACATCAGGTCCTCAAGACCAATATAGACCTGATTAATTCTCAATCTCGAAAAGAATTACAAGAGAAAGCAGGGAAGGAAAGGCAAGAATGGCCTCTAACACTGCTAACAGGGCAACTTTTCGACCGATAACGAACAGTGTTTCGACACAAGAACACAAATTCCATGTTCAACATCAGATTAAAAACCCCCATTCAAGATCACGCTTAGATTCCACCTAAACCAACAAAACACTAACTGAAATACTCACCAATTGTACTATATTGCTTCTAGGAGAGGTAGAGGAGCTCAATTTCCGAATCAAGGACCGCCAGAACCCAGTTGGACCAAAAGGATTCCTAGACACGATCCGAGAGACTGTGGTAACCCGAGGTGCGGAAAAGACGATAGATGTCAAAGAGACGCTAAAACGACCACTGACAGGTAAAAATATTAGGTTTTCTGCTCATTCATACACACCTTCACAGCAACTATAACGAGAGAAATTAACCTAAAGTAATATAACGAAATTTTGGCTCTCGGCAATCAGGTTGCAATCATTATTATCAAAATCAGACGAAAGACGCATGAAAAACGAAACACTTTCGTATACGAACTGCAAGACGAAATGCGAAAAGTTGGCAGAGAAATTGGGGAAGAATCAGCGATTTATTTACGTCTCGCAAAGAAATTGTTTTTGGCATTCTGTTTTAGTAAAAATAATTTTTTTTTGGTAAATTTTTTGAGATCGAAAGTAAGCTTGGCAACCGCAACAATGTTTGTTCAGCTTGCTAGTTATTTTTTGCACTTTTACGGGGTTTTTATTCTATTTTGAGGCGTGTTATAGTTTATGTTGGTGTATATCTAAATTAATATAATTTTTAGGTCTGTTTCGTCGACGAGCCCCAGCCGCTCCTCCACCGCCTCCCGGACCTCCTGCCCAGCTCTCAAATCAGCCAAATCAGAATGTCCCATTACAAGAGAGCAACTCAATGGATGCCGGTATGTGTTTGATTTTCGTTCTTTGATGTTTAGATCTTATCCTTGTTGATCCCGTCGTTTAGAGCCGGACTCTCCGGAACTGCAACGTGGAACGGAGCGGCAGAATTCGGAGACAATGTCGATGCTTAATTTGAAGGGAATGAATGGGTTAGGGCTGGACATGAGCGATTTTACGGCGGTAGATTTCGGAAAATTCGAAGATATTGGTGGGTAACTTATCTGATTTCTTGAAATAGATCTTAATATAAAACTTTCATTTTTTTCTTCAGACGTCTCGTTTTTGGCTCGATTAGTTTGTTTTGAAGTCGATGTGACGGATGATGAGGAGGCTTGGACATGGGATTCACTTTTTGCCTCCGTCTCCACGGAAATTCGAAACGATGCCATAAACAACGACGAATCTGATGAAGACGAGACTCCTCCACAGACCTTTGGTCATTAAGATACTGATTGATCTTCAAATTTATAGTTATAATAAAAATTATTTGTTTTAAGAGCCTTCCAAATTTCAGTGGTCCATACCAAGTACAATATAGAAAATTTCTGTGATCCCGAACATTTTGATGTTGACTTATAGGATGCCCAGAGGGCTCCAGAATCCACGGATTTTTGGGCCGCTGGTTGTTGGCCTGGTGCTGATAACCTACTTGTTTTATTACAATTCTGTGGAGGATAAGGTATTCAAGTTGGATGTTCCCGATAGCGAAATTCCTTTGACCGGAGGACCTTCATTGGGTATTAAGGTATGTTTTGGGGTTTTTTGGACATTTTTCTACCGTTTAGGACTAAACTCGATTTTGCAGAAGCCTCTTATATTGATTTACACCAAAGTTTTTGGGGATGATCCAATAGCTAAGGATTATCTGGGGGGATGTCCTTTGAAATGCCAGTTAACCGCTGATAAGCGCCTGTTTACTGATGCGCATGCTGTCGTCTTCCATGGGGGAGATTTCAAGGCTCACGATTTGCCAAAGAAGAGAGCGAACCCAACTCAAAAATGGGTCTTCTGGAGCATGGAAACCAAAGAAGCAGGGTATCTAAAGCAAAGTCAAGATGGGATTGATGGTAAGACAGATTTTTGATGAGTTGAAAATGGGAGCTAGAAGTTTTAGAGACATTAGTGAGGTCTGGAAGGAGAATTTATCACGGTTTTAAACTCTAATCATCATTTCGGGCCTTGTTTTAAAAAAAAATACATCGTTTCAGCCCTCAAACCCGATTGGATTATGGATTATTCAACCGCAGCTCATATTCCTCATTATTATGGTGGATTCTACGTTGATCCGCAGACTGCCCAGGGAAAGGGTTACCAGCCGGTGGCAAATCTCACGACGGAGGAAATTCTCAAGGATAAGCAGTTTCGAGGAGCAATCGGATTCATATCAAATTGCGGTAGCAAGGAGAGATTAAAGGCCGCAAAAGCGATGTCAAAGTAAGGGGAAAATGGCTAGATATTGATTCCAAGGGGACAGTGGATCATCGCAGAGCTTTAGAAAAACATTTCCGCTAGAAATTCCACCATGAAGGAACGTCGTCAAGTGGGAAAAAGACAAGTGGGGAAACTGAAAAGTATTATTTTTCTTCGATGTAAGTGTCGAAATCAGGAGTTTTGATGGCGCTGATTGTGAAAATATCATTCATTTTTTTGATCGTTACTTTTTTTCTTAAGCAGTACTGGAAAGTAGTCATTTTTTGATTTTTTTCACAAATGTGGATTTAGAGGTTTTGATTGCAAATCAAAAAAATAAATCAGATTTTCGGAATCAGCACTATCGAAAACCCCTAGATCAATCATTATGAAAAAAGTTCAAAAAATTACTGCTTTACAGTACTGCTTAAGAAAAAATGTAACAATAAAAAAACTTAATGTCATTTTTGAAATCAGCGCCATCGATTATCCTAATTTCGACACTTACATCGCAGAAAAATAATACTTTTCAGTTTTTCCAATCGTCGCCCCCGTACATGATCGACTATTTTTTATATTATTCTCGATCTGGAACCAAAAAAACTCTAAAAATATCAAAATCACATGATATTTGCGCGTTTTTAGGTATATGCGGGTCGACATTGGCGGAAAATGCGCCCTAGACTCGTCCAAGAAGGAGTTGTGCCCAAGGAACACGGATTGCACACCAATAATCAATTGGAATTACTTCTATTTGGCCTTGGAAAACATGAACTGCGTGGATTATGTGTCGGAAAAGTTTACCGAGCGCCTACATCTGCCTGTAATCCCGGTTGTGGTCAGTAAGCGGAATTATGAACAGTAAGTCGCTCCAAGTCACTATAGTTTTTACACTTGGGTTCCAGCCGGTTCCCAAAAGAAGCCTATATTGCCATGGATGATTACAAATCTGCCAAAGAACTGACAGACTACTTGAATCACCTTATGAAACATCCGAGCGAGTATGTGAAGCTGTTCGAATGGAGAAAACATTGGGCGAGGGCACCATGGAACGGTGACGGTTATAGAAATGGTAAGTTCGACTAAAAATTGTATAAGTATTGCGGTAAATTGATGTAATATGGCATATATTACGAAATGCTTTCCTATCCTACTGCATTTTCTAAGAAAATTGTCGGCGGAGACATGTTATACGATGAAACATCCCCAAACATGTTTCATCGTATAAAATGGCTTCTACCGTAATCTAGGTCGGGAAATGTTGACGTATCGATTTTAATAAGTCTGTTTGACAATATTATTTTTTAAAATACGTAAATTGAATAATTTCGGATATTGTTTTAGGCGTGTGTGCCCTCTGCGAAAAACTGATGGAAGAAGGAAACAAACCAACTGAAGCTATCCCAAATATCAACAAATGGCGTCAAGATCACGCCCCTTGCGTCGACAAAGTCTTGCCGGACTCATGGTTCCAATAGTTTTTGCATAATTTACATATCTTCATACACATTTACAACTAAAAGCTAATACGGGTAATAAATCACCGAGCTTCGTATAATGCAGTTTATGCTCTCCTGGGGTACTAACCACCTCCTTTACAACATAATTTTTACATGGCACTTATGCAATCATCTTTGAGATCCGGTTTAAATTAATTTCCACCCAAAAAGTCCTTGATCCGATGTAATAATGGAGTCGGTGGGGCTGTATACGAGTTCTCCGGGTATCGGTCCGCGAAGATCTTGGGGTAGTTGTGCTTGAACTGAAAGGGAATTGGGTAATTCGTCGAAAATTTTCGAATCATCGAAAATTTTTATATTATAGTAGGTCTAAAGGTAAAAAATTGCCAAAAAAGTAAAAATCTCACCTCCATCAGCCGTTTATGCCGTTCTAGATCGCTCAAGTTAGCATCAGCGATGATTCCATCTAATAATCCGGTGAGCTGAACATCCAAAAATTTCCTTCTTGACTCCAAATCATCGTTGTTGAAGTCGATGACTCTGGCGAATCTTTTATCATTCGGAATTGGGATCGGGGGAGATTCTTGATCATATGTGGGCCTGATCGGAGTCTGCTGGACACTTGGAGTGAAGACTTGAGAGGAATTGAACGAGAAATTCTGCGAAGTTTTAGAGTGGAAGCTGAAAAATCGACATTATCCTTGATAAAACCTAATTTTTTTGTGAATTTTAGTGTCAACAGCAAGAAAAGTGAGCAGTATTAGTCGTGAAAATGTTTTTCGCAAAGCAAACAGGCACAAGAACGCTAGAATACGACAAAGTGCAGACGCAGTCACACTAAATTCTCTATGCGTGCCTCCTGAATCGATGCTTAAAGCTGCCTGACTTTGTCAGCTTGACCGGCCGACTGTAGTCGCGGGTGGTCACTGGAGTCTGTCGGTCCTTGTCGTTGAGCGAAGCGGAACGGCGGATCTTGGCGGGAGGTCCGCTGAGGTTATACTTGGAGATGGTGAGATCTGTTAGCCGATATAATGTCGCGTCGTCCTTGAACTCGCTTCCACCAGCTACATCTTCGATGATACGATCTTCAAGGAATTTTTGAAGAACTCGGACTCCATTCGTCCTGAAAAACACGAAATTTGGGAAAAACGGAAAATTTTTATGTTGTACTAGTCAACAGGATCGGTTTTATTCTGAGGCTGGTGTGATTACACCCAAAAAAAAACTTTGGAGAACCCCTAAAATCCAAATAGACACAATAATGAAAGCATAAACTTACCGTTCACACTTCCTGTCAGTGAAAATTCGAGGAAGAATATTCGTCAAGACATCCGCTGCAACTTGCCCCGTAAATGCATCTGTATGCGTTCGAAAGAACCTCCGATAGTCTTCTCGAGGCACTTCATCGATGAAGGTGGCTATTAGATCTGTCCACTAAAAAGAAAAAACAAAATTGCCATCAAATTCGATGTTATCCCACCCAGCTAGCCGGGAGTTTAATCATAGCCCCGCCGCCGGGTCTAAACTCAGCAAATCAAAGTAAAACTTACTTTCCGAGTGGCTTCGAACTTATTCCGACCTGCGGTATTCGGCCCCGAGTCGTCTGATCGCTTGAATGTGGAGGAACATTGTGATTGAGTTAATGAGGCGGATAAAATAGGTATATTCTCTGAATTCGAGGAGCAACGACGCATTCTGTTCGTGCTTGGAGCATCTACTTCCGTCTTGAACATTTACGTCGCGCAAAAAAACCGGAAAATGTCGAAAATTTATTCGAATTCTCGTTTTCGTACAGCTTTGTTTTCGTGTTGGGAGAGAGGCAAATCTTGGCGTAATGTTTCAAGTCGGATTTTCCGAAATCCGGGTTGGATTTTCACGTTGAAATTGACGTTTGAGAGCTTGGTAAGGTCTATTTACGCACTCAGCATGTTGAAGTCCTCCGAAAATCCGCCAAAAATTTGAAAATTGATCTTAATTTAGGTAAAGCATTTTGAATTTTAGACCTCTTTATGTTTGTTTGGCTGTTGATCTTATCTTTTTTGCTTTACCAAGACGGACTATCATTTTTAGATCTTCTTTTCTTTTTGATTTTTGTTTGTCAGCTGCTTCAAAATTTATTTTTTTATCTAAATACCACAAATGATAAAATAATATCGACACCTCTTCTTTTTATGCGGCTCATTTCCTTTTCTCCTTTTGAATCTCATTGTTTAACACTTACGTGTACTAAACCTCCTCCTCTTCATTGATATGGACTCATTTTGCATTTTATTTTAGCGGAATTGGGTGGGAAATGAGCTCGGCTCCATCAACAAGATCTGCTGGTAAGTTGTTGCTATCTTTAACCGTTACGACTTCTTTAGGAGTTAAAAGACTGCTTCAAGAAGCCAAGGAACTGCATAAGCCGACGTATTTGTTCTACGCTCGTCCACTGGAAGATAATTTGTTTGAATGGCACTTTACTTTCCGAGGTCCTCCTGATACCGATTTTGAAGGCGGAATCTACCATGGCCGTATCATTTTGCCCAACGAGTATCCCATGAAGCCTCCGAATCTGGTGCTGCTAACAGTGAGTCGTTTGCGTTTTATTGCTTTTTCAAATTTTAGAAAATGCTGGATGTCAGGGGTAATATAAGTTAATTTCAGCCGAATGGTCGATTTGAAACCAACACCAAGATTTGTCTCAGCATATCCGGATACCATCCAGAGACTTGGTTACCTTCTTGGTCGATTCGGACCGCAATCTTGGCGCTGATCGGCTTTTTTCCAACAGAGGGAGGGGGAGCTCTCGGCTCGATCGAATGCTCATCCGAAGTCAGAAAACGACTGGCTAAACAGTAAGTGGCTGATGAATTATGTCTCTGTTCATGTTTAGAGAGCGCAAGTAACTGATCTTGATTGGAATTTGACCATCGAAACATTATTTTTATCAAGTACAATATACATTTTTAGATCAGTTGAGTCACATTGCGATGTCTGCGGCTGCTCGTTGAAGGATATGCTTCTCCCCACCGATGAGGTCGATTCCGCAGCTGGCCCGGCTTCTCCAAGTTCAGAGGACAGCAAACCAACTCCATCTTCCACCGAGTCGACTTCAGAAGCCCAGCCATCGGAATCCCCTCGGCAACCTTCAGAAAGCGTCCCCAACACTCCGATTACTCGTCAACCGACGTCAGCGGCTAATACTCCGGCTGGTAGCGTCCAAAATTCACGACCAAGGCCTCATTCTTCGATTCCTTTGAGTCTTTTTGCCTTTGGAATTTGCGTCTCTTTCGCTGCCTTTGTTGGCCTACTGGCTCGTCGATTAACTTTCTAATCAAGTTAGTTCAGTTCCTTTATACTGGTGTGTACAGAAAATTAATTTTTGCTAATAAATTTTTATCTGAAAATTTATATATGTTGTTTTAGACTCAAAAAGTGCAAATTTTGAAGAAGTTTGCATAAAAACAAAGGTGTTTTTTGGGGAATCGGGGCTTGTTGACTTTTATTTTTCATTTTCTCCCAGCGCGCGGTCGGCCATCGAAATGGTTGTGGTCCAATTCGAAGAAGGCGATATAATCAACAATAAAATCACTGTTGTGGAAAAACTTGGAGAAGGTGAGGCAGAATGTCAGATTGGTCATGTTTACCATCTGACCGGTAAACATGACAAACTGACCGGTGAAATTAGGGACGAAGTTTTAAAAAATGTCGGTTAGTCATCGCATTTTTGAAAATGCCCGGTCAGATTGGGCATCATGACCAATCTGACCGGTCAGGTTGGTCATTATGACGGGTCAAATTCGGAGTAAAAAATGAAAAAAATTAGCGTTTTGTGAATTTTTTGAACCTGGCCGGTCAGATTGGGAAAAATGACCAATCTGACCGGTCAGATCCTTCATCTTTCCTTCCAACTTCTAAAATAAAATTTTCATACCAAATTTATCGAAACTCCCAAAAAAAATTAATCTTTTCAGGAGGCTTCGGTGCCGTCTACAAAGTCACCCTGGAAGGGCATGCAAATCAAGTTTTTGCGATGAAAAGCGAGCAACGCAACGCCGGCGGTGTCCTCAAAATGGAAGTGATGATCCTGCGGAAGTTGGAGGAGAAACGCGGCACCCACTTTTGCCGTTGCGTCGAGGCCGGCTGCGCTGGAAACATGTTGTACTTGGTGATGACGATGCTGGGCAAGAGCTTGAGCGACATTCGAATGAGTCTGCCCGGAACCAAACTGTCCATGGGATGTGCGTTGGGGGTGGGGAAACAGTGTGTGGAGGCGATTCGGGAACTGCACGGTATCGGGTATCTTCATAGGTAAGTTATTTTTTGGAATTTTGAGACTTCAATTTTTTTAATACAGTAATTTTTAGGTAAAAAATCAGTAAAAATGGTTTTTTTTTTGATTTTTGAGTTGAAAAATTTGGGATTTTTTAGAAATGAGATGAAAAAAATTGAAAATTTTACTAATTTTTTGATCTAAAAATATTGATTGCTTCTGCATATTGTTAAGCTAGAACCTTTGTATACGCTTTACATACATTTTATTCTAAATTTATACCAAGTTTCATCAAAATCGACCAATTTTTGGTCGACCAAAAAATTTTGACCGTGGTCTCCCCTGTCCATTTTTTGAGTCAAATCCCAATTTTTTCTGACACTGTAAATGAATTTCAGAGACCTCAAGCCTTCCAATTTTGCCTGTGGCGCTGAGAAAAACTCGCGAAAAATCTTCTTGTTCGACTTTGGCTTGGCTCGAAGGTATCTGGCCGCAGGCGGAAAAATGCGACAACCCCGGCTGTATCCCGGGTTCCGCGGAACCGCCCGTTACGCGCCATTGTCCTGTCATGTTCAGCGTGAGCAGTCGAGGAAGTGCGATCTGGAGTCCTGGCTGTATCAGCAAGTGGAACTGACCCGAGGCGGGCTGCCTTGGAGGTCCTTTGAAGTAACCGAAATGATCGGAATGTACAAGGAAAGATGCCGATTTGGTGTGGGCCTGAAGGAATTTTTGGGCGGATGTCCGAGAGAGTATGTGGAAGTGCTCCGATATATCGATAGATTGAGGTGAGAAATTCGGGTTTGGTTTTTCAAGAAAAAAAATGTAGAATTGGCATTTTCATAAAGTGCATGGACACTTTTTCGCTTTTGTACAGTGCATCTTGAACTTTTTTCACGCTTGTCGCTAACGCACAGTGCATTCTTCTCTTTTTCGCACAGTGCAAACCTCAAAAAAAGCCATTTGCACTGTGCAAATTTCTGGCGACGTCGCGTTGACGTTGTTGAAGCTTTCTTATGTCGCAGCGATAATTCGAGGCACAGTGCAAGCCAAAACAACGCACAGTGCATGTTGAACTCTTTCCCACGCTTATCGCTAACGCACAGTGAATTTTTCTCTTTTCGCACAGTGCAAAACTAAAAAAAAACCGTTCGCAGCACTGTGCAAATTTTTGGTGCTGCCGCGGCGACTTTGTTCAAACTTGTTTATGTCGCTGCAATATTTCGATGCACAGTGGGAAAACCAAAAAAAGTGAATGCACGGTGCAAAATGCGGTTTTTTGTGCACGGTGCGGGCCGTGACAAATGTCCATGCATTTTATGAAAATACTGATAGATACTTTGTAACCAATACGTGTATTAATTATAACAAGTATGCAAAAGTTGAAAGAAATTTAAGTCCTGATTTAGGACACCTGTAAAATTTAGAATTAAATATATTTTTTTGTTCTCAGATACCATGACGCGCCGAATTACAAGTATCTGATTGCGTGCATGGATCGAGCGATGAAATCGATAGGTTTGAGCGAATTCCCATATGATTGGGAGGAGAGCAGCCCACTGTATTCGGCTCATCTCGCTGGACTTGATGCCATGGCCGAGGAAGAGAGAAAAAGACTGGAAAGACAAGAGAGAAAAGCCGCCAGAAATCGAACACAAACCACCGCCAAGACTGTCAGCTTGTTTCATGAGACTTGAGGAGGAAAAATCCACCGATTGATGCCAGTTTGATTGAGTTATGACAATAAATATTGCAGTAGACCTCGGTTGATGTTGAACTTGAAATTTTATGATATTCTTGTTGTAAAAAAGTCTGATTTGCTCGTAAAATCCCCTAAGGAGCTGGAAATTAATTTTTCAAACACTGATTTCCCCGCAAAATTGGCAACGGAATGCCAAAAATTGCGCACAAATTTCAGTTCAAACTATATTTTTTTATTTTTTTCGATCGAAAAATTCTGCCCTCCCTAAATTCCTTGTTTCGTAAGATTTTCTGTCATGCCGAGAGGAAGTATGTTTGCATTGCTCTTGATCTCCGCCATTGCCGACTCGTGAAATTATGTTATCTTAGACTGGACCTATCTGTAACAAAACTTCCTCATAACGAATGATTTTATGCTGCGAACATCTCTTTTTGGCTATAACAGACTTTTTTTAACAACTTACTACTTGTGTTAAAAATCATTTTCGCTTATTGTCGATTCTTTTTTATTGAAATTATATTGTTTTAGCTATTGCCCTTCAAAAAATAAAAATTTCCTTCATTTTCAGTTGATTCTCCCTGAATAAATCGGTCCAACCTTTCAAAATGCCGGATGTGAACGAGGATGCCGCCAAGACAGATGCTATTGTGAAGATTTTCCAGCAATATTATCAAATCGCCAGCAATTCCATCAGCAGTCGAACTTCTTTGATCAAGGTAAAATTTTTGCTTGAAAATTAAGTTTTTGCCTTTAGGACGACTCCATTCGAACCAGTGTCCTGCAACTGGCCGATCGACCCGCCCCGACTGTGGCTTTGTACATCTGTAAGGTTAGTTTGTATTTTTTAGTTGTTTTGTTGGAATTTAGGTGTGAATTTGAAGACTAATAGAGAGTTTGAGACTGAAGAAGAGGTTTTTTGACCAGTAGATCGTTTTATGTAAACGTAATGCGGTTGCTTGTTGGGGTTTCAGTAATCAAAACATTTGTCTTGACCAGAAGTCAAGTGTAAAATAAATTTTTGTGTTGCCCCTCCCCGTTTTCCTTCGCAAAAAAATGGACACGCGAGTGCGTGCATGTCTCTCTCGTCCTGGGCCTGCGGCGAGTGTGGGGGTATAGCTCAGTGGCAGAGCATTCGACTGCAGATCGAGAGGTCCCTGGTTCAAATCCGGGTGCCCCCTAGTGTGTTTTTTTGGAATTTTGAGTAAAACTATAAAAAGGCGAAGGTAAAGTGAAATGTTTTAGTTGATTATGGTCCTCTCCGATCAGCGGAAGCACGCCAGATTGCTGGCTGAAGCCGGTTACATCCCGATTTTGGCCCGTTACACCGAACAAGAACATCTGCCGGTAAAGCTGCTCACGAAATTCCTTCAACTACAAAATCGACTTATCAACGCTCAGAAAGACTCCAGCAGCGAGGCCAAGCCGGAACCGAGACGTCGCACCAAAGAGTTGGTATTTATCTTACCCGTCTTGACTGAGGTGAGATTTTTTACTTTTTTTTTGCGTTTTGAAATTTAGATGAAGCCTGAAAGCTGTGATTTTCAGCTCCAACAAGCGTCGATTAGCCAGAACACTCTGCAAAAGATCAAGGGAATGGTCTCCCTCTCGTTTAAATTGAATGAAGACAGTTCGAAGAGCCATTGTGTCATCAGATGCCTTCTTCATGTTGAACCGAAGGTAGGAGAAGATTTTTTGATCAAATTAGAATACAAGGTTATGTGACATGAGGATGGAATCTTATTAGAGAAGCTGGCATTACGAGTTTCGTCGAAAATTTGAAATTTTTACCTTGTTTTAGGTTTGCTGGACATCCAAAATTAAAAAATTAAATTCTTTATAAAGTTTTTGTTTTTTCGATAGGGCAATGGTCGTCGTACAACAAATATATCTTGTTCTTACTGAGAGAATGGTTTATTTGTATTTAGCGGCTTTAATTTTTCTCTAAATTTAATCATTTTTCGTTTCTTCAGCAAATTTCGGACCAAATTTTGAAGAGCGGCTTCGAGGAGTGCGGATACCTCCACACCAACGAGAACGGAACGAAAGAAGTCTTTACCTTCTACAAAGACACCGAAACCCCCGCTGAAATCGACGATGGCTTCCCGCAGTATCTGGACGAAAATATTGTCGCCTTTGACCCGAAAACTGCCCTTGCCACAAGCGACTGCAAACAAGGCCCGGGATGGCTGTCCTCCGCCAAACAACTTTTTGGCTTCTGGTAGAGATGAGAGAAGAGTTATGCACCGATGAGTCTACAGCAAGATGATCTAGCTATATTATTTTAGATATTAGTGTATGAAGTATAATATTCTCCGAAATCAAGTGATTTTTTTGATGTTTTGTACGAATTTTTGAGTTGTTTTTGTTGTAAAAGGCATGTATTTTGAACCCAGAGGAAGATGAGAATATTATTTATCGAAATGTTTTGTTTGTCGGCTGTTTTCATGTTGTACTTGGCACTTTTTTTTATTTTATTCGACATTTTTGGATATTAAATGGTTACCGTTGATGATTTTTGGTGTTGATGAGATTGTAAAGCGTCATTGAAGAGTAGGGAGGTCGGCTAGACCCCGGCGGAACACCCGATTTATCTGCAGATTGGGTTTAAGCCCGAACAAGGTCAAGCGGAGATATTACAATCAAGAAATAGCTAATTTTTCGGGCCGATTTGGTTGATAAGTTGGTTTATTGTGGGGTTTGGGGAAATGAAGGGTGGTAGGATAACTTTTTGGACTAAAAAACGCAGAGTTTTGGTGCTGAAAAATTATTTTTTTTGCAAATTTGATGACAAAAAAAGATTACTCAATATCTCAGCTACGTTTAGGAAGCCAAACCTAGATTTTTTACGGATTGCTACAAAAGGCATTGAGAGTATTGAGGCGAGATTTTAAGAAAATCATGTACTTGTACCTTGAGCTATTGCTATTTGAAAAAGTTGGTCTCAAAGATGTGAAATTTTTTTTGTATATTAAAAAAACATTTTTTTGCTGACGTGGCCTTAAAACCAATTGAAATGAGCAAAAGACATTTATTACCATTATTTCCATAACGTGCATGGACATTTGTCGCGCCCCGCACCGTGCACAAAAAAACCCATCTTGCACCGTGCGTTTCACCTTTTTTTGTTTTTTTGCACTGTGCGGCGAAATATCGCTGCGACAAGAGCAAGGTTCAGTTACGTCGCAAATTTGCACTGTGCAAACGAATTCCATCGATTGCGACCCACGTCAAAATAAAAGTGAAAAAACAAAGAACCTCGGATCATTGATTTTTGACGAAATGTCGCTGAATTATCGAGTCACAAAAGAAAACTTTCCCAGAGAATTTCGAGAAAAATGTTTTTTCGAAGAGGAAAACAATTTTTCAAGCTCGATAATTCTGTGGCACTTCGCAAAAAATCAATGATCCGAGATTCCTTGTTTTTTCAATTTTCTGAAAGAATTGTTTTGACGTGCGACCCCGCATCGATTGCGACCCAGCATCGATTGCGACCCCGCATCGATTGCGCCCCAAAATGGGGTAAAGCGACCCCGGGATGAAAATTCCTTGATTCTCTTCGGGAAAAACTTGCTTTAGGGGTTTTCGAGGGTGCTGATTTCGAAAATGATGTTCATTTTTCCTCTAGTATTACATAGTACTGTCTGATACTATATAGTACGAAGTGAAAATATCGCTTTTGACGTTAAATACTCGGTTTAGGGGTTTTCGAGGGTGCTGATTTCGAAAATGATGTTCATTTTTCCTCTAGTACTACATAGTACTGTCTGATACTATATAGTACGAAGTCAAAATATCGCTTTTGACGTTAATGGTGTTGGTTTGATGCTTAGTACTCTTCAAAAACACGTTTTAAAGACTTGGTGCTATATAGTACTGTCTGATACTATATAGTACGAAGTCAAAATATCGCTTTTGACGTTAATGGTGTTGTTTTGAGCAATCGATGCGAGGTCGCAATCGAGCGGGGTCGCAATCGAAGGATTCCTGTGCAAACGGCTTTTTTTTCAGTTTGCACTGTGCGAAAACAGAAAAATTCACTGTGCGTCGGCGACAAGCGTGGGAAAAAAGTTCAAAATGGGCATTTTGCCGCGGTCCGCACGATGCACAAAAAAGACCCCATTTTGCACGGTGCTTTTTTTGTCTTCGCACAGTGCAAACGGGTTTTTTATGGTTTGCACTGTGCGAAAAAAGAAAAAAATGCACTGTGCGTTGGCGACAAGTGTGGGAAAAAGCTCAAAATGCGCTGTGCGTAAGCGAAAAGATGTCCATGCTTTTCTCCCAAAAAAAAAATCAAAATTCCGAAAAAAAAGTTTATTTTTTTCAATTCAGAATTTCGAAACCCCTTCAAAAAATGGTGTTCTTTACCACTTATTTACTCAGTGTCAAAGTAGCCCGCATTCTCAACGCCTCGTTGCGGTCGTTAGCCCGCGTTTTTCACTGAAAAAGCCGTCTTATCCCGCAACTTTCTCGGCGTTTCCCAACGCTTCACAAAAGGCGAAATGAGTGGTGTGAATCGCCCGTGAAAGTGGGAGAAAACGGTCTCTTTCCGCCCCTCGACTCCTGATTTTTCGCTCCGTTTGCTGTTATGTAGTTCGCCCGTCTCGAACGAGCGGTCTTTTTGTTGTGCAAAGATTGCGAAAATCCAGGGGGAGAGATGTTTTTTGGTTTTTGAGAAAAACATTCATTGCCTGTGGGCAGATTGGGATCAAAGAGTGAAAAATGGAAAAATGATGATTTATGGGCGATTTTTGAAAATTTTTGTTGAATTTTGAGATGAAATAATTTTTTCATTTTATGCCCTGGGGGGAATGGGGTGATTTTCATTTTTGAAAACGATTTTTTTCGTAAAAATTGAATAGTTTTGTTTCGATTTACATAATTTTGAGATCAAATTTAAGATTTTTTGGTTTATGCCCTAGGGGTAAATGGGGTTTTTTCAGTTTTGAAAATGGTATTTTCGTAGAAATTTGAATAATTTTGAATAAATTTATATAATTTTGAGACAAAATAAAAAATTTAGTTTATGCCCTTAGGGGAAGTTAATTTTTTTTTGATTTTTTAAGCGAGTCTTAACAAATTTCATGCCTTATCTTTCACATATTTGACCTAATTTTGGCTTCGGAATCAAGATTTTTGATCTTTGCCCTAAGGGGAATTTTACAGTTCTTATTATTTTCAAAGTGATTTTTGATTTCTAATCATTTGATTTTGTCTAAATTTTGCTCCGAAATTGTGGTTTATAAATTTTATGACCTCAGGGGAAAACGCGCTTTTAACATTAGAAATTATTTTTGAGGTAAAACTTGGACAATAGATTGATTTTTCACATTTTCCAAGCAAAACGTTTAGTAAAAATCTATTAAAATTTTCCCAAAGATGTCGCAATCCCCTATGTAAAATATCACGAAATATTTTTCCGCCCTTTTTGATTTCCGTCTCACATTCCTCAATTCTTCTTCCACGCCGTCTCCCTCTTAACCTCCCCTGTTTGTTCTCCTCGCCTTTTTCACGGTCTCTCAAATCAAATCAACGGTCAGTTTTCGCGAAATCAACAGTTTTTCGGAGGTGGAAATTCGATCGTGCAAATCGTTGAGGTTTTCTCGCCTTTGACTCCGGTCTTTTCAAACCCCTGGATTGAATTGGAAGAAAGTTGCTTTTCAAAGTTTGCTTAAAGGTGTTGAATAGGGGTTTAGAAGAGGGTAAAGAGCTTTATCATCGCGCTGTCTGAGTTTTAAATGTGATTAAAAGTGTTGTCTGAGGTGGGAAGTGCAACTTTGACGAGAAACTTTGTTTTTCAAATTATCAAGGTCCTACGACTTGGTTTTTTCAAAATTGTGTGTGCTTTGTTGTCCCATTTTTCACAAATAATTCCACGGACTTTATGGCGCGACTGGTATTCAGGATTGACTAAATTTCGCAATGCCTATCAGCCTTTTTGATTACTTTTTTACTCTTCTCTTCCTCTTTGCTCACAATTTCCTTCTGCATTTTTTATTGTTTTTCCCCCGACCACCTGGTCCACATTTGTTGTTCTTTTGCGTCCAGTCGTAAAAAAATGCCGTAATTCTCCGTATGATCTTTTCTGGCGAAAGATTGACAAATTGGCTCAGTTTGAGCATGATCTAGAATATTTTTTTGGAATTTTGACAGCATCAGATGTGTCCGTTAAGATTAGTAATGCGATCTATGGGTGGTGAGAGACACGTTGACCAATCTATTAACTGGGAGAATATGATCGGTCAGACCGGTAAAAATTTTTTTGACATCAGTCTGTCGGGAAAATAATGGGGATTTTCGCAGCAAAAATCTTTGCTTTCCGCGGGCCCCGCGCTCTCGGCAAGGTTCGTTCAATATGCCGGCGGCAAAGCGCCATCTAAACCTTCAGGGAATGGTTTGTAGCCTATCTACAAAGTGTGTGCAAAACCTAATAAAAGCTGATTTTTTTCATCGAACATCTACCGACTAAAAAACTTCTACCAGCAAAAAATGGGCTCTCCAAGAACATCTGGTCCCTCCAAAATTACAAGCCTCTTATCTCTGCCAGTTGGTTTGATTAACCTTTTCCTTCAGAACCCTCAGTTATACTGGTCTTTCCAGAAAGTGCGTAGACTCTACGAACGGACCAGTATTCTATTTTTATTTTTTTTGTCTTTTCTCAGACAATTTTTTAAAAATCGGACATTGATTTTTACATGTGTTACTTGTCAAACATCAAAAAAATCCTTTTTTCTAAACTTTTTTATTTTCAGCTTGGGCCACTCGTAACATCAAAGGGAACTCGAAAATTAATTGGAACATTATTCTGGAATCATAACAAAAAATAAAAAAATCAGAAAATCCAGATTATATCGGAACGTTTTCGGAAAAAAAGAGACCACTCGGCGATTTCACGGACTCATATTTTCAGTGTTATTTCGAATGACACAACACGAGGTGAGCTGTCGCCAAAGTTGGGAGGACTATTTTTTATTTTCTGACAGGGTTTTTGGGATTTTTTTTTGTTTATTGTAAGCAGATTGTTTCCTGCCCTTTCAGGTTGATTTGGCAGAAAAAAAATTAGATCATTACCGGTAATTTTCGGTATTTTAAAATTTTTAATTTTCAGATGGCACCAAAACCAAACGAAGGGGTCGCCGATGATAAACGTGAGCTCAGATTTGAATTTTCAAAAAATTTTGGCGTTTAATTTTTGGCAAATTTCGAAAAATTTTAAAGTGAAATTGGTTTATTCAATAAATTTTTTTGTTTTCAGCTCTCGATGAAGCCGAAAGATCGCTTCTCAACAAGCTGATGCATCAAAAACTGGTCGAGTTGAATGAAGGAGAAGTCGAAATCAGTCTCAAAAATGACCCAAAATCTCCACTGTACTCAACGCAGACTTTTGAAGGGCTGGAATTGTAAGTGAAAAATTAATTTTCAAATTTCTTTATTTTTTATTTCGTTTTTTAATTTTTTTTTGTAATTTTTTTTTAAATATTTTTTATTTTTTTTATTAATTTGAACAAAAATTCTTTAATTTTATTTATTAAAAAATTTTTTTAAATACTTTTTTAATATTTGTTATTAAAAAAATTAAAATTTTTATTATGCTTTTTTGTTACTATAATATTTTTTTAATCAAAATAAAATTGTTTAATTTAAAAAAAATTTTTGGACATTTTTTATTAATAATTTTTTATTAATTAAAATAAAAATTCTTGAATATTTTCACAATTTTTAACATTTTTGATTACTATTTTTTATTTAAAAAAATTAATTTTATTATGCTTTTTTGCTATTATTTTTTTTAATCGAAAACATTTATTATTATTTTTATTATTATTATTCTTTTCAGAAAAAAGCCATTAATTGCGGCGATTTACGAAATGGGATTCCAGCAGCCATCCAAGATTCAAGAGGCCTCTTTGCCCCTCTTGTTGGATCCGCAATGGTATGTGGTTTTGAATTTTGTTTGTTGCGATTTTAAGAGATACTCAATACAACAAAAAAAAAATATTTTTTTTCAGCCCAAGCGACCTGGTTGCCCAATCTCAGAGTGGAACTGGAAAAACAGCGGCATTTTTGCTGACAATGTTGCATCGGCTGGACCCGAAACTTCAAATTCCTCAATGTCTTTGCGTTGCTCCGACGTTCGAATTGGCTCTGCAGATCGGAGAAGTGGCCAAGAAAATGGCCAAATATTTGGAGACGGTCAAAATCAAAGTGCTGGTCAAAGGAGAAATTCGTGGGTTTTAGAAAAATAAAAAATAGTAACAAATAAAAAATAAAATTAAAAGAAAAATTATTAATTAGAACAATCAAAAAAAATAAATAAATAAAAAAATTAAATAAAAAAATATAAAAAATATTATAATTACAGTAATCAAAAAAAATAAATAAATAAATTAATTAATTAATATAAAAAAAAATAAAACGATTAATAAATAATAACTCTTAAAACTTTCAGCTAGTCCCGACACGATCTTAACGGAGCAAATCATCATTGGGACCCCCGGAAAATTGGCCGACTATTTATTCAAATTCAAACTGATCGACGCGAAAAATATTATTTGTTTCGTTCTGGATGAGGCAGATGTGATGTTGAGTCAAAAAGGATATAAAGATGTTAGCGTTAAAATTCATAAGTGAGTATTTTAAAAAAATTCAAATATCGCCAAGTGCGACGCACGTCAAACTGACATAATCTAAAACAGTTCGGTGAATGGATTGGCAATTTGCCAAAAAAAGACGCGAAAAAACGTTTCGTTGGGGAAGAAATGGGGAATTTTTGGGGCGAGAGAGTACGCTTTTGCGTGTCTTTTTTTCTCTCTTTCTCTGCAAAATCAAGACGAAGTGTAAAAAACCGATAGCGAAGAGTCTATTCCGGTCACCGGACTCCTCAGTTTGACGTGCTCAGATTTTGATGAAACTTGGCACAAATTGAAGATAATTTTTCATAAGATTTATAAAAAAGTCTACGCACTTATTTTCAGTTATATCCATTTTTTTCAGCGAAATCATCCTCTCCAATCCGAAATGCCAATGTCTTTTGTTCAGTGCAACATTCACCGACTTGGTCTACAATTTTGCGGAAAGCTTGATCCCAAATATGGCTGCAATAACGTAAGGGCCTCCTAGACACTTTTTTAGGCCAATATTTTTGGCGCTTTTCAGCCTCCGCCGTCGCGATCAGACCTTGCCGAACATCCGCCAACTCCTGATCCGCTGCAAGACAAGGGAAGAGAAATACCGCGCAATAGTCAATATTTACAACACACTGACGATTGCCTCGTCGATCATCTTCACGTACACCCGAAGCTCGGCCACTTGGCTAGCGGAACAGTTGAAGAAGACGGGCCGAAAAGTCGGTCTTCTTCATGGCGAGATGAGTGCCGACGAGCGCTCAAATATGGTCAAGAACTTCCAGAACGGCGAGTTTAGGGTGCTGATCACGACGAATGTGTGCTCTAGAGGTGAGTTGGAGAGCTTGGACAAAAATTTAAAGAAATTAAAAAAAAATTTTTAGACATCCAAAAAAAATTTTTCTTAGATTTCGAAAAGACTTTAGTCAGATTGAATAAACAATTCTTTAAGGTATATTAGAGTTAAAAGCTTCAAATTTCCTCGAAAAATGGGGAATTTTAGGTCAACAGTTGGAAAAAATGAATAGGGGGGACCATGGCCAAGTTTAGGGAAAAGAAACCAAAAAATTGCTCGATTTCACTGAAATTTGATATAAAACGCGTTTTATTACAAATCGTAGTTTGGCCCGGACATTGTTAAAATCGGTGTCTCAGAATTCAACGAAACTTGGTAGATTTAATCACTGCTAGGCATAGAACATTCGCTTTCTTTATTTTTTCCCAAAATTACCATATGACGGATTACTGTAACTTTCTTCCTCAAAAAAGATGTGCCCTAATCGTGAAAACGAAGCTGTATTTTAGTGCAAATTGAGTTTAGGCGTATGTTTTCGACCATGTTGAACATTTTTGTAATTATCACCAAAAACTAAAAATTACATCTAAGCTATGTTACACTTGAGGCAACATACCATTTCGGGTGTAAAAAGTGCCGTTTTGAGGTGACGCAGATTTTGAAACCGGAATATTAAACTTCAAGCCTTGTCTAATAAACCATAAAAATTTCAGAAAAATCAAATGTATAGTTTTTGAGAAATTGGACATTGAATGACTCATGTGCAATATCACCTTGACCCGAAAAAAACTGGCATTCTTGGGGTTTTGACCTGACGCAGACTTTGAAAGTTTCCAATACATTTTTATCACATTTTAGGAGGATTTGGAAAGTTTCAGAGGAAAAAAATGTATAGTTTTCGAGAAATCGGCCAAAATACCTTGTTTTAGGTCATCAGATGCCCGAAAAAACTGGCATTCTTGGGGTTTTGACCTGACGCAGATTTTGAAAGTTTCCAATACATTTTTATCACATTTTAGGACGATTTGGAAAGTTTCAGAGGAAAAAAATGTATAGTTTTCGAGAAATCGGCCAAAATACCTTGTTTTAGGTCATCAGATGCCCGAAAAAAACTGGCATTCTTGGGGTTTTGACCTGACGCAGATTTTGAAAGTTTCCAATACATTTTTATCACATTTTAGGACGATTTGGAAAGTTTCAGAGGAAAAAAATGTATAGTTTTCGAGAAATCGGCCAAAATACCTTGTTTTAGGTCATCAGATGCCCGAAAAAAACTGGCATTCTTGGGGTTTTGATCTGACGCAGATTTTGAAAGTTTCCAATGCATTCTTATCACATTTTAGGAGGATTTGGAAAGTTTCAGAGGAAAAAAATGTATAGTTTTCGAGAAATCGGCCAAAATACCTTGTTTTAGGTCATCAGATGCCCGAAAAAAACTGGCATTCTTGGGGTTTTGACCTGACGCAGATTTTGAAAGTTTCCAATACATTTTTATCACATTTTAGGAGGATTTGGAAAGTTTCAGAGGAAAAAAATGTATAGTTTTTGAGAAATCGGCCGAAATACCTTGTTTTAGGTCATCAGAACACAGAATCGTAGCGGCGCACATTTGATGGAAGCTTTGCAGACAGCGAAAATTCATTGGTCACAATTTGGAGGAAAAACAGTAACACACTATATTTCGTAAAAAAGGGATGTCAAAAAATTGATCGAATTTTCCAGCAAATTGACCTAAAACAAGGTATTTTGGCCGATTTCTCGAAAACTATACATTTTTTTCCTCTGAAACTTTCCAAATCCTCCTAAAATGTGATAAAAATGTATTGGAAACTTTCAAAATCTGCGTCAGGTCAAAACCCCAAGAATGCCAGTTTTTTTCGGGCATCTGATGACCTAAAACAAGGTATTTTGGCCGATTTCTCGAAAACTATACATTTTTTTCCTCTGAAACTTTCCAAATCCTCCTAAAATGTGATAAAAATGTATTGGAAACTTTCAAAATCTGCGTCAGGTCAAAACCCCAAGAATGCCAGTTTTTTTCGGGCATCTGATGACCTAAAACAAGGTATTTTGGCCGATTTCTCGAAAACTATACATTTTTTTCCTCTGAAACTTTCCAAATCCTCCTAAAATGTGATAAGAATGCATTGGAAACTTTCAAAATCTGCGTCAGATCAAAACCCCAAGAATGCCAGTTTTTTTCGGGCATCTGATGACCTAAAACAAGGTATTTTGGCCGATTTCTCGAAAACTATACATTTTTTTCCTCTGAAACTTTCCAAATCCTCCTAAAATGTGATAAAAATGTATTGGAAACTTTCAAAATCTGCGTCAGGTCAAAACCCCAAGAATGCCAGTTTTTTCGGGCATCTGATGACCTAAAACAAGGTATTTTGGCCGATTTCTCGAAAACTATACGTTTTTTTCCTCTGAAACTTTCCAAATCCTCCTAAAATGTGATAAAAATGTATTGGAAACTTTCAAAGTCTGCGTCAGATCAAAACCCCAAGAATGCCAGTTTTTTTCGGGCATCTGATGACCTAAAACAAGGTATTTTGGCCGATTTCTCGAAAACTATACATTTTTTTCCTCTGAAACTTTCCAAATCCTCCTAAAATGTGATAAAAATGTATTGGAAACTTTCAAAATCTGCGTCAGGTCAAAACCCCAAGAATGCCAGTTTTTTCGGGCATCTGATGACCTAAAACAAGGTATTTTGGCCGATTTCTCGAAAACTATACATTTTTTTCCTCTGAAACTTTCCAAATCCTCCTAAAATGTGATAAAAATGTATTGGAAACTTTCAAAGTCTGCGTCAGGTCAAAACCCCAAGAATGCCAGTTTTTTTCGGGTCAAGGTGATATTGCACATGAGTCATTCAATGTCCAATTTCTCAAAAACTATACATTTGATTTTTCTGAAATTTTTATGGCTCATTAGACAAGGCTTGAAGTTTAATATTCCGGTTTCAAAATCTGCGTCACCTCAAAACTGCACTTTTTACACCCGAAATGGTATGTTGCCTCAAGTGTAACATAGCTTAGATGTAATTTTTAGTTTTTGGTGATAATTACAAAAATGTTCAACATGGTCGAAAACATACGCCTAAACTCAATTTGCACTAAAATACAGCTTCGTTTTCACGATTAGGGCACATATTTTTTGAGGAAGAAAGTTACAGTAATCCGTCATATGGTAATTTTGGGAAAAATTAAAGAAAGCGAATGTTCTATGCCTAGCAGTGATTAAATCTACCAAGTTTCGTTGAATTCTGAGACACCGATTTTAACAATGTCCGCCCCCTGTTAGGCTTAGCTCCAAAGTGTGGCAAAACCTGTTATAAATTTTACATTTTTTGTCGAATAGACTCTCTTAAATTGTATATTTCAACTTGAAACCTCCAGAAAACCTCAAAATTAAATCAAAAAAGAATCAAAAAAATCAAATTGATTACAAACACTTTTCAGGCCTAGACATCCCCTCTGTCAAGCTCGTAGTGAACTACGATCCTCCCGTGACCTTTGAAGAGAACCCTCAACCAGATTATGACACCTATTTGCATCGAATCGGGCGGACGGGCCGGTTTGGCAAGGGCGGAATCGCCGTGAATTTGGTGGATTCAGCCAGGGCAGAGGGTTATGTGAGGAAATTTGAGGAGTATTTCAATCGACCGATTGAGACAGTCGCCTATGATGACTTTGACCGGCTGGATGAGATCGAGGAGGAGGGGTGAAGACGGGGAAATTCGGGATTTTTAAAATATTTTTTTTTTCAAAATGAGATTTCTATTTTTTTGAAAAATTGCTCAAAATTTAAAGGACCCCACCAACTACATTTGAATCGAGTTTTTACGGCTTGGAGGTGCGCCTCGCCAAAAGTTGCGAAAATCCCGCGAAAAAAATAAATACAAAAAATAATCGAGAATTTTTCTCGAAAATGCAAAATTAAATTAAGTTTGAGCTAGTTCATGTTCCAAAGTTGCTGAAAACGCTTCTTGTTCACGTGGATCCTGCCGACACTCATTCGGATGCTCTTGGGGAAAGTCTCATGTAAGTTTTTCTTGGTTTTTGCTTGGTTTTTCACGTTTAGGTAGTAGTGAAGGATCATGTACAATATTTATGCGGTTCTTCCAAAAAACAGCACATGAGCAGCCTTGAGGAGCAAGTGTTGGACTCAAGGCTCGTGTTGTGTCCATGTTCTTGCTTGTTCGGGCTGTTTTTGCCCATTTAGAGGTTTTATATGTTGTTTTAGTCAAGCTTTCAATTTCAGAGTTGTTCCATCGCCTGGAACACGATCCATGGAGATGAAGGAACCAGTGTGTCGACATGCATCTGTAATTATATCTAAATATGTTTCAAAATGAATATAATTAATCTTGTAATATATCTTTTATTACATAATACATCAATAAAACATATTAATCGTGAAGTTTTTGTTCAATATGCTGGTGTACAACCCGTTTTCGTTTCCCTCGCAGAGCCATTGATTCGCGAAGACAAGTCCCAGTCTGAAACTAAATGCATAGGGGCTGAGAAATTACGTACCGAAAAATTTTGCAAAAAAGTAAATAACACATTATCTTACATGAATATCCCATAGATGTCCCTGACTCGAATCTTGATGCCAAGGAATTTGAATGAAGAGAATTCTTCTTCATGCATCGCGTTCTCGGCGGTTGAACAACTCTGAAATTGAAAGACTTGAGTAAAATAATATAAAATATCTCTAAATGGGCAAACACAGCCCTAACAAGGCAAGAAAATGGAATACACACAAGCCTTGAGTCCAAAACTTGCTCCTCAACACTTCGTTCGGGCTGTTTTTCAAAAGAATCGCCGAAATATTGTGCAAGATACTTCACTCCTACCTAAACGTGAAAAACCATGCAAAACCCAAGAAAAACTTACATGAGACTTTCCCCAAGAGCATCCGAATGAGTGTCGGCAGGATCCACGTGAACAAGAAGCGTTTTCAGCAACTTTGGAACATGAACTAGCTCAAACTTTCTTCAATTTTGCATTTTCGAGAAAAATTTTCGATTATTTTTTGTATTTATTTTTTTCGCGGGATTTTCGCAACTTTTGGCGAGGTGCACCTCCAAGCCGTAAAAACTCGATTCAAATGTAGTTGGTGGGGTCCTTTAATTAAAAAAGTTTTTCTTCTTTCAGAGTAAAAGAAGATTTACTTTTTTTACTATATACTATATTATAAAACTACCCCAAAATTCTATTGTCATATCTCCAAGTGCGACGCTCAGAATTTTATGAAACTTGGCACAAATTTATAATAATGTCCTCTAAGACCTAACCGATTTTTCTAGCTCGTTTTTTGCCCAAATGACCAAGATTTTTACAAAAAATTAAGAAATTTTTTTTCGAATTTCTTCATGAAAAAGTTCGTGGCTATTTCTACCGCAGAGAGCAATGTTTCCACTAAAAATTAATTTTTTTCGTTCGAAACTGGCCAAGATATGGCCTAAAAGTGTTTTTTCTCTAATCGTTCTCCGCCTTTCGCGTACTCTCTCAGCCGCAAATATCGTTCAATCCCTCTGCTCTTCTTGCAAAGCGGGAGCTAAAATTTTCAAGAAATGATATATGGCCTACTCCCAACATGTGTGCAAAATTTAAAGAAAATCTAAGCGTCGCGCTTGGGGCACTTTCCTTGTCAGTCAAACCAACTTTCCTTATTTGAATTGCTCAAAATACCCTTCACTTTACGCAAAAAAGACAGTTATTTTGTAAAAAAAAATCAAAAAACCGAGATTCACAAAAATTCCAAAATTCTATGACAAAAATATTTATAAAGCAAAAAACAACAATTTGAATGCAATAAAGTTCCTAAACAACAATTTCGGTTTGATTCTTCTTGATGTCCTTGAAGTGGGTCGACTTTGGCGGGATGGGAGTGGGCACGGCTAGGGCTGGAAAAAGAAAAGTTAAATTTGGGGTACTCCTCACAAAGTTTTAATTGAAAATTGGGAAAAACATTGCGTTTTGTCCTAATAGTCCGCTCGCGAAGTCGTTGGGGTGATTTTGGCGACATGGACTGTGGATGGGACAGCCCAAAAAAAAGCTATGTCGCAAAAATGACTCCAGCGACTTGCGAACGGACTACTGTCAGTCTGTCGGGAAAATAATGGGCACAATGTCGCTGCGCAAATCCTCGTCTCTGAAGTGAAAAGCAATTTGACTTTGTCGCACCACAATTAATTTTATCGGCGGCGATGTGATTTTCGAAGCGACTGAGTGCTTATTATTTTCCCGACAGACTTGTAAATTTTGGGGTACCTCGCTAATTTTTGATTGAAAATTGGAAAAAATTGCTTTTTGTCTCATGAAGCCAAAAAACTCATTACTTTTGCACGAAAAATCCAAAAGATCTCCTCAGAATTGCCTTGCAAATATTTGACATCCCCTTTTTATCGTATTTTACAAAATTTCCGAAATTTTAGAGGACGATGCCCAATTTGAAAATTCGAAAAAAATTAATTTTCCCCTCTAAACCCAACTTACAAGGCTCGATGTCCGTGATCCACACTTGGCAATGCTTCTCCGGCGCGTACGCCGCCTTCAACGGGCAATTGAACGCGTCCCGGAAGGCGGGGAAGTTCTGTAGTGTGCCGAAAACGCGGAACTCCGGCGGCGAATGCACATCCTTCAATATTGCCGCCCTTCGCTCCGCCGAGACGGGCCCACTGCACCAGGTGCGGCCGAACGACAGGAAGAAGAGCTGATCGAAGGTGAACTGGCCGATCAGCTTGCCCGGCAACGCCGCGTCCGGCCCGTTGACGCCGACCGCACTGCGATAGGCGCGATACGCGGCTTGAATCCCGCCGTTGTCCGCGATATTCTCGCCCTGCGTGTGGGAGCCGTCCACACATTGGCCGTCGGGGTAGCAGAACTTTTTGTACTCGTCCACCACGCAGTCGGCCATCTCGCGGAAGCTTTTGAAGGATTCGTCGTCGATCCAGCTTCGAAGCCGACCCACTGGATCCCATTGCACGCCACTGTCGTCTGCAAAAATTTTAAATGGTTTTTTAAATACTGAAGCAAAATACAGAGTGAATAAGTGCCTAAATAACCTTTACGGTAGCTTATCAATCCCCTGAAATTGAAATAATATATCTCTTGCAGGGACTTCCGAGATATTCACCATCTTTCCTGGGTGGTGAATATCTCAGAATATACCAGTGGGTTGGGAAAATAATAAGACCTTCCCAAGAAATTAAAACTTTACGGGTTTTTTGGGATTAACGCTAGTATCAGTCTGTCGGGAAAATAATGAGCAAAATTTCGGTGCGCCAATCGCGTCGCTGAAGTGAAATGCAATTTGATCTTGCCACTATACATACAAGTCGTTTCCTTGGCCGCGATGCGATCTTCGATGCGTCAGAGGGCTCATTACTAGTCGTTCCAGAAAGTGCCTAGACTTTTTGTCGCGGTCCGCACTGTGCACAAAATTCCCTTTTTGCGGGGTGCATTTGACCTTTTTGCACTGTGCAACCGGATATCGCCGCGACGCAAGCTTTTCTCAAGGGAGCCCGCGTGACATTTTTGAAATTGCACAGTGCAAAATGTTTCAAAAAGGATCGCGTCGCGTGGGAAACAGGAAACTTGCACTGTGCGGTCCGAAAAAAGGCGGAAAAAAGTCTACGCACTTTCTGGAACGACTAGTATTTTCCCGACAATCCGATATAACTTAATTTTCGCCCTGAATCTTATTCTATAAGGAGATAGCGAGATCTTGCGGCAGTGTGCATAGAGACTAACAATAAGACTACTAGAAAGCGAATTTTCAGGTCGTACATCTCATATCTCTTCGTAAGACCACTCACCGAACGCATGAACAAGTTCGTGTCCAGCCACCGCTCCAATGGATCCAAAGTTGACCGAATCCGGCCATTCAGCGTCATAAAACGGCTGCTGCAAGATAGAAGCGGGCAGAGTAATCGAGTTCGCGGCCGGTTGATACCATGCATTCAGTCGGAAAGCTGAACCAAAAGTCGACCGGTCGTAGACCGGTTTTACAAGTTCTTTTACAGCCTGCTTCATGTTGAATCTAAGGAGGGAATTCAGAGTGTAGGGGAAAGTGGATTCGATGATATTGCTGTCAAGGAGCTCTTTATGATAATCTTCTAATTTCACGGGGTCAATGGAGATGTTGGGATAGGCAATGTTCTTGACGAGAAGATCGATTTTCTTGTAGGCGGTCTGAAATGGAGGGAAGGTAAAAATTGGAATTTAAAATATTTTCTCGACCACAAAGCGATTTTCAATGCGATATGTGCTCATTATTTTCCAATGATAAATTTGGGGTAAACCGCAACTTCCTGATTGAAAATCGGAAAACCCGTTTTTTTTTCATGAAGTCAAAAAAAAACATTAGTTTCCTGACAAACAGTCATCTGCCCTGAGGGCACAAATCCAGAATTTTTGAGCTTAGCCCTGCATTAGGAAAGATTTCAATCAAAATTCTTCTGATTCATAGAAAACCACATCCCAAATATTCCATAAAAGAAGCTGCTTACCGCTTTCGACTCCGGCTTCATCCAGTTCAGTTGATCCAGCATTGTCCTGAACCCGACCATAATTGAATCCGCGAACTTGGCCACTCCCAGTCGATCCTCCAGCCTCTTCTTCTTGTCCGGATACGTCACCTCCACGAATAACGCATTTGTTGCCTCTTGCATTTGGGCCGTCACAAGCTGCATACATTGTATGTCGAGTTCGGTGATGCCGGCGGCAATGAGCCTTGGATTCTTTTCCAACGGTATTTCAGACTCGGGGAAATTAATTCCTCCGGTTTCGGGCTTCGGCAACCGTCTTTCCCATAGCAACTTCTTATAAAAGTCTTTGGCTCCCGCAGCACCAAAAGTCGCTGGCGCTGGCGGTAGAAACGCGCCATGCTGGAGCATCAGGACATGATAGAACAAGTAATTGATCAGATTCTGCGGTTTTAGGTCATCTCTTGCCAATAATTCCTCAAATGCTTCGAGGAAACTCCGCAAGTTTTGCGGATCCGAAAGTCCCACATCAAACGTGTCGCTGGTGACTTTTTCAACCGCCTCAGGCACCGAGGTGACAATTCCCTCCAAAAAACTTCGGAAGTTGATTGGCGTTGGATAGGATTCTAGCAGATCTTTCAACGTGATCTGATGGTATCTTTCCGACGCATTTCTTGGGTTCCTCCGTGAGGGATTATTCGAATCAATAAGTAATCCCTCAATCATCACGAAAGCTTTGACTTCCTCTTTGACATTAGCTACAGTCTCGTTAGAGACGTCCATTACGGCGTTGAGATATTGTAGAATTAGACCGCCGACAGTCTCGACGATCTCTTCCTCGGACTCACCCATGAATCCCTGAAAAGATGTACAGAATATTATCAGGTAAAATGGGGGTGTTCTTTGTGTACATGCATTTTTTGCAAATGCTAATATAAGTAAGCTTACATGATGATATTAATATCAACAAGTAAGATTACAGTTTTTCGTCCCAGTAGTGTCCAATTTTGGACCAAAAATCTTAGCCTTTTCTGCGAAGCGCAAGCCCAAGATCTGCATTTTGAAGAACCCAGTCTACTAACTTTGTTTATATGTAAATGATAACAGCTTCTTACTTCCAACAAATAATATCCCGAACCAATGTAAACCGAGTAGCCCTTTTCTGGCGCTCGAACATTCGTGTAGACCATCACATCCAAAAGCGCTCCAATCCCATGTTTTCCGCTCAAGAATCCCATGGCTTTCCCGATCTCCTCCGCAGTCAGCGCCTTTGCGGTGTTGTTGGCGGTCAGCGGGAATTTCTGGCCAAGGACGGACTCCAGATCTGCGACAATCTCCTTCAAAACTTTGGCATCGGCGTTCAGGGCGTCGAAACGAGGCAGATCTTGTTTGCATTGGGCGAAAATTAGTTTCTCCAAGGCGACGACTTTGCTGTCGCCTTTGTGGACTTGTCTTATGTCGCTGAAAATGAGCATTGAAGCCAATTAAGACGAAACTTTGCGTGGCTTATTCTTAAAGGATGGTTAACACATTTGTAAAATTTCATAACATTTGGAAAAACTCCCTCCGAGAAATGATCAAAAAATGAGGTGAACCCCAAACCTGGGACACACTGTACAGCCTGCTAAACGAAGCAGCCATAAAACCCAAAAAATCTCACTTCAGCAATCTGATTGTATTTTTCACATCAGCATCGGAAAAGGGACTGTCGTCATGGTAATTTCCGCAGGTATATTGATAGAAATCGGTGCAGGGATCGGCCGTGGTGTCAACGGAATTTTCAAACGCTGCAGCGCACTCTCGATATTTCTGCGAATATTCGGGCGCAGCTTTTGGGATATTCAGCTCCGGAGACTTTGTGGGGACGTTGGGCACACCAAAGAACCCGTCAACGTCGGTCTCGTACAACGCGACTCGCTGTTTCCGACCCAATTTGGAGGCCGATGAGCAGTGGAAAACATGACGGAAATTGCCGCTGTTAATCAAGTCGAAGGCCAAGGAGATGTTGCGGTTGGCTCGGGGAGAGCAGTATTCTTGGGCGTGGAGGAGGAAGAAGAGCTGCTCCGAGTTGTAGTTGCGGAAGATTGGGTGGGAAAGCGGGCTCTGTTCTCCGTGGAAGTCGTTCCAACTGACGAGCGCGCGGTAGGAGAGCTGAAAATGTTTGTAGAGCCGTCTAATGGATAATCCTTGCATCAGCCTGTCGGGAAAATAATGAGCACAATGTGGCTGCGCCAATCGCGTCGCTGAAGTGAAAAAACATTGATTTTGCGATACAATTCATTTTCTCGGCGGCGATGCGATTTTCGATGCGACAGAGTGCTCATTATTTTCCCGACAGGCTGAAATGCACATATTTATATCTTCATAAAGTGTATGGACATTTCCTCTCTTTCACACTTTTATGCATCGCAGTTTTTATGAATAAATTCCACGAATTGCTTATCAGCCTGTCAGGAAAATAATGTGGAATTGTTGTTTCTTACAATCGCCCATCATCGCTTGGCGATGACAAGGCGCGGATGGAGATTTGGTGCGACAAATTACAAGTCACGCAATCCACAATATTTCCCCGACAGACTGATAATTTGACAGCTTTTTAACTTACCGTAGCGCCCAGCGTTTTGGCCAAGATCTCTGATCTTTTAACATGGTCCAATCCAACCGTCGAGTACTGCTTTTTCAGCTCCTCCAGCTGATTCTTGACAACGTCCTTGCTCTGTGCGTCAAGCCAGCTCTTCAACTGTCCAAACTCGTCGTGATCAAGCCCTGAGGCATCGAACAAATGAGCCAGTTGCTCGGCGACCAAGCCCCCGACAGTCGCAAAATTCCAGGCCATTGGATAATCCTTGTTATAGAAAGGCGATTGTAGCGCCGCTAGCGACAACGAAATTGAGTTCAAATCGTGGCTGAACTGCGCCGCTGGCGTTGCTTTTCGTTGCGAATACGTTAGGAATATATCGCGACTTATTTCTTGCTTGTTCAAGAGGGTTGAAAACAGATTAAGACGTTTCATTAAGACCGCATCGCTCCATTGCAGATAATGCTTGTTCGCTGCCAATTCCAACGCCTTAACGGGCCTGTTAGCCGCTAAAACCGACTTTTCAACGGCGTGAATGTCGTACGCAGACACGTCATATGGAACTCCAATGTTTCTGGCGACGGCTCGCACCTTTTTGATCGCTTTTTGCCGACTGCTCAAGGGCATCCAAGAAACCCCTTCAAGTTGTCGCTCAAATTCGATAAAGACGTAGTCAGCGATCTTTGCAACGTCACGTTGACGAGCAGAAAGCTCCTTCTCATTGCTGTAGAGGCCTAGAGTGGCGGCGGTGGTGTATTGAACGGGGAGGAAGTGATGGAGCTCTTTGAGGCAAGATTTCTGAAAGATACGTCTGTAAGTTTGTCGAGACAATAATGAGTGCATCGAAAATTGCATCAACGTCGAGAGAATGACTTATGACGCTGCAAAATCCAATTGCACTTTAACGCGATCGGCGCAGCGATATTGTGCGCGTTATTTTCCCGACAGACTAATAATGAGCACTCGTGAATCCTTCTATCAGTCTATCGGAAAGATAATGACCACAATGTCGCTTCGCCGATCGCTGAAGTGAAAAGCAATTTGATTTTGCCGCGACACAATTCATTTTCTCGGCGGCGATGCGATTTCCAATACGACAGAATGCTCATTTTTCCGGCAGGCTAAAATTTAAAGCATGTTGAATAAATCTACCCCATTGCTCGGCAAGGCGAAGATCTCCTGATCCAAGGCTTCTCTCACTTCCAAACTCAGTTGGTTATGTTCTCTTGGCGCGAATCTTTGGAGCTTCAAAATGGCCTTTAACGCAATGTAGCGGATTAAATCGTCCGTGTTCCTTCCGCTCAGATTCTCAACGTAGTTTGAAAACTTTTCCAAGAAGTTTGCCGCGGTATTCACAATTTTCGTATGATGATTTTTCAGATATGCCGTAAGTCCTTGCACAAAAATACCTTCGTTTTTGGTGATCTGTAGGAAATAGTCCTGCAAGCGGAGCTTCGGATAATCTTTGGCCAATTCAGTTAAAGATTTGAGGTTAAAATTATCATCGGTGACGTCGTTTTCCTCGCTGATGAAACTGGCCAATTGCTCTTCAATTTTCAGCGATGATCTTATGACGGAGCTGATGTCTTCGTCAGTCTTGTAGTAGGCCTAAAATTCGAGGTTTTATACGAGGTTAATTAAAAAAAGTCATCCAGAAAATGTAAAATTTTGTGTATCAGTCTGACGGGAAAATAATGTGGATTGTTCGCGTCTTCGAATCGCCCATCATTTCTTTGCAAGTATTATTACATTGTATTTTGCCGCGACGGCCGGTCATTATTTTCCCGACAGGCTGATATTTGATTTATTTTTTTTTATCTTATCATTCTGTCGAGAAAATAATGAGCAGTGTCGCACGCGTCGCTGAAGTGAAAAGAAATTTGGTTTTGTCGCGACACAATTATTTTCTCGGCAGCGTTGCGACTTTCGTTGCAACAAAGTGCTCATTATTTTCCCGACAGACCGATAACTGTATCATCTTTACCTTGACCAGTCCAGTCGTGTATTCCTCGAATTCTTTTGTGATTTTCCAGGCAGAAGTCGACTTGTACACCTCCGGTTTTAACAGCAGTTCAGGCTGTTCTAGATAAAGTAAATATGGGGCCGTATTCACTTCTTTCTTCAAATTTGGCCTCAGATTGAGGTGGAAGAAAAGGTCAACATCGTACTTGTAGGAGAACAAGTACGCAAGTCCCACAAGTCTCGAGGGATTCAGAGCGTTGAAGCTGGGGTGGGTGAAGTTGATGTGGACTCGGAGAATGGCTTCGACTTCCTGGATAACCGTGTGAATTGCGATGCGAGAATCTTCGGCGCTTTCGCAGCTCTTGAGGAATTTTCGGGCCTTCTCGACGGCTTCCTAAAAAGAGATGGGGATCACAATTAAGGTAATAAAATTGCAGTCAAGCCTCTGAACAACGAATCGCAATAAGCCAAAATTTGATTTAACGAGGGAATGGTCTGAACTTCCCCCAGCGTTTGGGAAAATGACTAGTACAGATGGATAGAGCAAGTCGACTTTGGTAAAAAGAGCCATTTTCCAGCTGCGGAATAAGCCCGGCCGACGAGAAAAATCGACCGAAAGTTCCACAAAAATTTCCTCTTTCTCTTCTCTCGGAAAAGAAGAGCGGCGTTCAGTGGTTCGGTTAGCCGAGTGGATAAAGCATCCGCTCGATATTCTTTTGGGGGTGGGTTCGATTCCGGGGTCTCGCGAAGGACCGTGATAAGGCTTTGATGAGCAAGATCAAACTCTAACAACCCAAAAAAAAAATGATTTGCCTTTTTCAAAGCCAAGTAAATCACCAAACAAGTATAACTTCGATGGACCATCGTTTTAAAGGTTCGGAAGCACCCAAAAAATTCCTATTTTGACGATTATTTTTTTGGTATAATGCCCCTATAAAACGTATAAAAATGGCAAAATATTTTTTTTTGTTTGTTAGAGCTTGATCTTACTCATCAAAGCCTTATCATGGTCCTTCGCGAGACCCCGGAATCGAACCCGCCCCAAAAAGAATATCGAGCGGAAGCTTTATCCACTCGGCTAACCGAACCACTGAACGCCGCTCTTCTTTTCCGAGGGAAGAGAAAGAGGAAATTTTTGTGGAACTTTCGGTCGATTTTTCTCGTCGGCCGGGCTTATTCCGCAGCTGGAAAATGGCTCTTTTTACCAAAGTTGACTTGCTCTATCCACCTGTACTAGTCATTTTCCCAAACGCTGGGGGAAGTTCAGACCATTCCCTCGTAAGGTCATTATTTTTCCTACAGAGTGATATTACAAATAATTTTTTGGGTTCTTGCAATTTGCTGTTCAAAGGTTTGACTCTGACTATGAACGACCAAAACTTACATCCTTGAGCTTTGTTGTGGCCAAGAATTTCTCGACAGCCGTGTCCACCGCAATCTCCGCCTCCTCCAATGGCTTTTTCCCGTCGCTCTTGCGACACGAATACTCGTAGAAGTTCTCACACGGATCCTCATCCAAGTTAATATTCCCAGCAACCCTGCTGCTGACCGCGTTGAACTCTTCGCTTTTATTCGTCCCAATCGGTCTGATTCTAGTATCAACGGTTGGTGGCGGCGTCTTCGGCACTCCATTCTTGTCGCTCACTTCCGACGCCCATACATTGCAATGCTCGGCGGGCGCGTACGCCGTCTTCGCGGGGCAATTGAACGCCTCTCTGAAGGCGGGGAAGTTCTGGATACTGCCGACCACTCGGTACTTGGACGGCGAATGTGGATCGTGCAGGATTTGCTCCTCAATCTCGTCTCTGTCGGCCGGCATCTCACACCAAGCTCTGGCGAACGAGATGAAGAAGAGTTGTTGGTTCGAGAAGCCGCTCAACACGTCGTCCGGCAACGCCGGATCCGGCCCATAAAAGGCTTCGTACGAGGTCAATGCGTTGAAAGCGGCACGAATTCCTCCATTATCCGCGATGTTCTCGCCTTGTGTGTTGGAGCCGTCCACGAAGAGGCCCGGAAAAGGCTCAAAACTTGCGTATTGATCAATCACACATTGAGCCATCGTATCGAATTGTTTTTGAGATTTCTCGTCCATCCATGTTCGCAAAACTCCAAGGCCATCATATTGAGAGCCTTCGTCGTCGAAACCGTGCGTCAGCTCGTGCCCGGCGATCGCTCCAATCCCGCCCAGATTCGCGGCCATTGGTTGGTCGACGTGGAAGAAAGGCGCTTGCAGAATACCGTAGGGAATGGTGATCGAGTTCACTTCCGGCTGATACCACGCGTTCACCAGCGCCATTGACATGAGGAAGTCGTCGCGTTCGACCGAGCCTTCGGAGGCAAGCAGAGAGAACTCTTTGTTTTGCTCGAAGTGGGTCAGAGAGGCGGTGAAGTCGAGGTAGTCTTGGTCGGCTGAAAACAAGACCTCGATAACATACTATACATAAATTGAATGACAAACAAATTTAGTCGAAACGGCACACTTATTTTCCGTGTAAGGTGTAGGTTTCTTACCGTCAAGATCAAGGTCCTTGTAGTACTCGTCTAATTTGTCATCGTCCTCCACCCATTCGGGGTAAACCAGGTTCTTGACCAAGTAGTTGATCTTGTCGTAGGCGTTCTTCTTGCTCTCTGTGGACATCCAATTCAGTCGGTCTAGTTGGTACTGAAATCAGGGTTTTTCAAGTCAAAGTCGACCAACAGCTTCTTTGAAGTTTAAAAAATGGAAAAAGTTTCGCAGGTTGGCCAACACCCCAAAACATGAAAAATTCGAGACTTGCGCCCAGGAAAAAATCGAAGTCTAAGCCTAACAAGCATTAATCTAGGGTTTTGGGAAAGCTTAAACAAAGCTTATCCCAGCCCAAGCCTAGCCAACTTTTCATCGTATAAAATGCCCTCTGCAGGTCGCACCCCTTTTATTTTCCCAAGATTTTTGATTTTTGATATGCTGACCAACCATCTGCAAAACTTTGACCTAAAAAATTCCATCAACTCACCTGGAATCCCTCAATGACATTGTTGACCAACAACGCCACCTTGGACTTGACTTCCTTTCGATTTGCCTTGGGCAACGCTTCGTCAAGGTAAATCCTTGTGGTGGCTGCGCTAGCCTTTATCGCAGTTCCCAATGCGCACCTCAGTTCGTTGTAATCCACAGCCATCGCGGAGAAAGTGCCGGGACTGGGCATGGGCTCCGGCTCGGGGAAAGGAATTGGCAATGGGCGGCGCGGTTGGAACCCTTTTTTAAGCCCGATATTAAAGCCTCTTTGACGCTGCGACTTGAACTCAAAATTGTCGATATTGGCCTCGGGCAATAGCGATTTCACCGCCAACAAAACCCGGAAGTTGATGTAGTTCATGAGGTCGCGTTTGGCGACTTTCTTTTGTAAATGATCGGCCAACTTTTTAAATGCCGCAGGCTCATTGACGTTGAATTCGAAGCCTGGTGTTTGCACCAGCTTTGTGGCGTTGGAAGAGGCTGCTAAAGCGATGAGAAAGCGGTGAAAGTCGAGGAATTTGAATTGCTCATTGGCTGCGCCGGCAGTGTAGATGTTGTAGGATCTGAAAGGGTCAAACAATATGTAGAAAAGAAGTCTTTTAGACTTATAAATCTGTAGGGAAAAAATTTTGGATTTTGGATACAATAATGCCCTCATTATTTTCCCGACAGATTGATAGTGCAAAGAAGCTGGAACCTTCGTATTTTACCTTTCATACTTCCGCTTCTCTTCCGCTCCAACATTGACTTCTTGCGCGATGAATTTCTCCACTTTCCAGGCGCCAGCGATATCTCTTTTCACTTCCTCTTCATCCACAGTAATGCCCTTCAATTTGGCCAAATAAGTGACTGCGTCGAAGGCGCTGTTACTAAACAGCTCTTCAGTTTCATTCAACCGAACTTTGTAGTAGATGGCGTCGTACGCCAACGTGGGCTGATCCAAATACAGCAAATAGCTCTTCTTGTGCGTGCCCGGCGCGACTTGCGGCCGCTTCCAATTCGTATTCACGCTAGATGTGACGAAAACTGACAGCTTCAGCTCGCGCTTCAGCGTTCCCAGAAAAGTCCCCAGGAAGTGCGGGACGTTGCGTTGCTCGGGATTGCCCAGTCCCAACGTCGGGAACCAGTATTGGTCTAGCAAAGCGAAATTGTCGAATATTTGCTTGACAGTGGCACCATCTTGGTGGACGTATTTGGGATCGGAAGCCCGGCGAAGACATTCATTAAAGATGAGCTTTGTCTTCTGGGCGTAAGGAGCTGACTGAAAAAATGGAGCTTTCAATATGCTGCTTTCACGTCCAAATTTAAAACTTCGATAAATTCTTCAGTCTGCCGGGAAAATAATGAGCGCAATGTCGCTGCGCCGATCTCGTTGCTGAAGTGAAAAGCAGTTTGATTTTGCATTCATTTTCCCGGCAGCGATGTGACGTTGCGCTAATTATTTTCCCGACAGGCCGATATAATGGGTAGCATGCCCTCAGCGAAGGCTACGAATACGTCATAAACGAAGTGTCCCACTACAGTGGGGGACCTGATCCAGTGGAAAAACGCGTACCCTTTCCCTCACAAAAAAAGCGGGCGCCCTTTTGAAATCGGAGTTTTAGTTTTTTTTTCACTTGGAGAGGGAAGCATTTTGCCACATTTTTGATGCTTCCCGGATGCAAAGTGGTACTTTTTTTGACACTGGAACAGGTCCCCCACTGTAGAAGAACTAATAAAACGTTCAGGGAAAAAGATTTCCGAATCAAAAGATCCCGCAAAAATTTCTGTTGTGACACTCAGAGCCGACAAAAATTCAAAGAAAGAATGAATGCTAATTTTTCTCTTACTAAATGCTGATTTTTCTCATACGGTAGTTTTGCCCCACAAGGATTAGTGGACGTGCATTTCAAACTGCAGCAAAAATCACCCACCCCTCTAAATAATCACGTAAGGTTTAGTTCCAACCATGCGTGATCGATTAATAACCGCGTTATTGCGATTTCTCAACCACTCTTGGGAAGGGTAAACTTCCTTTTATTATTTATTTTTCTAACATGCTCCCAACAGAAGAGACATCAAGTCGAATTTGTGAGAATGTCACGGATGCTATCGGCCATACACCCTTGGTGTACTTGAATAATGTAACGAAAGGAGTGGACGCCAAAGTTGGTAGGTTAATTTCTCAGCTTTACAAGTTAGAAAAGCTCTTTTTTAGCGCTTTTTGATCTGTTTTCAGCGGCAAAACTAGAATATTTAAACCCAGCGCTCTCTGTGAAAGATCGTCCAGCCTTGTACATGATAGAGGAAGCCGAGAAAGCTGGGGAAATCAAGCCGGGAGATGTTCTGATTGAAGGAACCTCTGGGAATATGGGAATCGGCCTTGCGATGGCTGCCGCTGTGAAAGGATACAAACTAGTGCTGGTTATGCCCGATTGTTATAGTGTGGAAAGGGTGAGCCGCTTTCGTGTGTAATTTGAAGGCTTAATCTGATGTCAGAACGTCGGGAAAATAATGGCGGGTCGTTGTAGCCAATTGTTTCGCCGTCGAAAAAAAGGCACCAAAACTTCTAGCCGCTGTTAGCTGTCGGAATGGGCGATTCCAAGGCGCGACGTCCCGCCAGCTACTATTTTGCTGACAGACTAACTGACAGAGAAGGACTGCAAGATAAAAGTCTCACCCCCAATTCAACAACCTTTTCAGAGAGCCATCTGCAAAGCCCTAGGCGCCGAACTAGTCATTGTGGATGCGGCAATTGGAATCGACGGTGTAATGAAGCGCCTGGACGATCTACACGCTCTAATCCCAAATTCATACTTGGTAAATCAATTTGCCAATCCCAATAACCCTAAGTCCCACTATCTCTCGACGGGGCCAGAGATCTGGCAACAAACGCAAGGAAAACTCGATATCGCTGTTTTTGGCGCCGGCACTGGTGGTACGGTCACCGGAGTTGGCCAGTACTTGAAAGAGAGAAACAAAGACGTCAAGGTGTTCGTTGTCGAGCCGTATGAGAGCTCGGTGATCAGTGGCGAAGTTGCGGGATGCCATCATATTCAAGGGATCGGAGCGGGGGTGGTCCCACCCAATCTACAGCCAGTCTATGATGGAGTGGTCAGAGTGAAAGAAAAAGAGGCGTTTGAAATGGCCAGAAGACTGGCGAAAGAGGAGGGAATTTTGTGCGGAATCAGCAGTGGAGCCAACGTTGTTGCTGCTTTGGAGGTAAGGACTACAATGAGGTACAGTCAAACTCGGGGCTCTACTAGGAGGATGAGGGACATGGAGAATGGTAGCTTTCTCCTAGACATGGAGAATGGTAGCTTCTCCTAGACAAAGGTGGATGAAAATAAATGAAAAGAGGCGGTCAAAATAAATTTTTGCGGCGCAAAGCTCTCGTCCGAGGCCGCAACGGACCTACAGTAGAAAATTCAAGAAGTGTTACAGGCAGGCCTTTACGTATGTAACGGTGTTCTTTCGGGCGTAGCTGCGATGCCAGGGGCGTAGCTGGCGAATCACAGGAGGAGTTTTTTGACAGCGCTCGAAGGGGTTTACTATTAGTCTGTCGGGAAAATAATGTGCGCACTGTCACACTAAAAACGCGACAAAATCAGATTTCCTTTACTTCAAATAAACGATTGGCGCAGCGACATTGCGTCACTATTTTCCCGACAGACTGACATTATCTGAATAAGATCATGTATTTTTTCAGCTAGCCAAAAAAGAAGAGAACAAAGGGAAGCTCATTGTGACTTGTCTACCCAGTTTCGGAGAGCGTTACCTCTCCACCGATCTCTACAAGAATATCAAGGAAGAATGCGAGAGAATGCCCAACACAACATTTGAAGAGGACGCTGAGTATTTCAAAAAAGTTTTTAGCCTCGGTAGCTAAAATCTAGAGTAACCGTAGGTTGTGAATGACTTGCGAGCACTTTCCAATAAACTCACATTATTTTTCTTCAATCCGTTCAGCAAATGGATCGCATTCTTGAACTGAATGGTGTTGAAATCCATGGGCTGATTGAAGCTCCCACAAGCATATTCGTAGAAGTTGTCGCACGGGTCGTACGTCGTGTTCAACGAGCCCTTCAACGTTTCCGAGTATGATTTGTAGTATGCAAACTTTTCAATGTTATCCAAATCGGGCTGGATCTTTTTCCTCGGCCGGATATGCAGAACAGAGTCCGCTGGCTCCGTTACAGGAGCTAATGTGGTTGCTAAAGCGGTTAGTTAGTAAGTCAAAACGGCATATTAAGGTTGTTAAGACCAATGCGTAAAATTCGACTTACTTGGAGCTGCGGTCGGAACAGATTTTTCGTCATTGTTGACGTTGACAAAAGTGATGATGCTTAAGACTAGGACTACCAGAACGGCCAACGATATGAAGCCCAAGGCCCCTACTTTGGCCTTCTCGAGAGTTGAGGCCATACCGAATCTTTCGATTGGATGGACCTGAAATTATGTTGCGCTAAACCTCGGAGTGAATTCGACATGGCAAAAACGGCATAATCAACTGATTTGAGGTAAAATGACAGCAAAAGCTGACGTGCCTTTACCACTGCTTCTAAATATATGTCTATAAGAAAATCTGAAATTTTCTTTGAGTACTAGGGTCAAAAATTTCAAGCCTTATATCAGTCTGTCGGGGAAGTAATGAGCTTTCTGTCGCATCGCAAATCGCATCGCCGCCGAGAAAACGAATTGTGTTCATTTCGGCGACGCGATAGGCACAGCAACACAGTGCTCATTATTTTGCCGACAAACTGGTATAGCCTCTTTTCAGAGAGGATTAAATTTACAGTAAAGATTTCCGTAGCTATCAGTCCGTCGGGAAAAAAGTGTGGATTCGTCGAGAACGGGGATTGTCCATTGTGGATATGCGACCGCTAGCAACGGCTGGAGATTTGGTGTCCGGCGATGTAAGACATTTTGCTGCGACAAATCCACATTATTTTTCCGACAGACTGATCTTCGCCGTATTTTTCATAAAAAACCCCTTTCACCGTAGCCACTCCAAAGCCCCCTCCATAAATCATATTTCTCCCCCGACCGTCCCGTCCACTTTCAGCATTTCCTGATAAGCCTCTGGAATGACTTAAGGAACCTCTCTTGTGTTACCAAATTAGTTGACTTTTTATCAGCGGGACTGATAAACGGTTTAAATTTCGGTTTTTTTGTGGAAGTCAAGTTCATCTCAGCGAAGTAGTCTTCCGATTCTTGACGTCTGCGTCTGTTTGAAGATATGATTAGGGTGTTAGGAGGAGTGATTGGGCAAGTTTTGTTGGCTAATTGAAAATTTTTTTTTTCGAAGGTGATGAAAAGCAGCTTTCGAGAGATAATAGCAACAAAAAATGAAGTCAAGCACTTTCTTTGTAGCAATCTCCGTAATAGTCCATTTGGAACTTCGCTGGAGTGATTTCGGCGAGAAAACGATGGCTTGCTTTGAACTTGCTATTTTCGGCTCTCTGCACCGTGCAATAGGCTTTTTTCGGCTGTCGATTGCAGCCTGACTTTTACGGCACAGTGGATGTGGTCGCAGCTTCACAATTATCCTCGAAATGGCTCCAGCGACTTTGCAAACGGCCTAGTACAACGAAAACCTTTTGTAACAAACAAATCTCTTCTTGTTATTCGAGTTTCTTGTTATTCGACTGTATTAACATTTATTTCATTGTCCATAAGGCACACGGCATATAAATATTTAGGAAATGCACTAATACGGAAAATAACAACCAATAAAATAAACTATAACAACCATAAGTTGTGTTAATCTCAAAAAAAGACACCAGGTTAATAGTTATTGCGTTCTATCACAAAATGTATTTGACAATTTGTCTTATTTGACAGGTCGGTTCAATTGAGACAATCCCTCCTTTGCCCGCTGTATTTGGCGTTGAGGTTTAGGGTGCCAATGTCAAAGACCTTCGCACAAGTCTCTCCATTGCAAATGAACTCGTCTGGGATATGGATTGTGATTTTCTGCTTGCATACCCCGAATCGTCGGCCACAACGGTGGTATCTGAAATTGTAAATGTTATAGATATGATTTGGTTGGATCCAGAGAGGGTACCAATTGGGCAACTTGGCGAAGAGGGCACCTAGCTTGAAAGGGATCCTAAGGGGAAGTCTTAGGATAATAATAAAGGTAATTGTTAAATTAAATAAGTACAGACATGGCTAGGGGGCCGGTCTTTTGGCACTTCCGGGCCTGAGGACCTAGAACCCTGAGAATCTTCAGGACCGGCCCATACATTCTTTAAAAAGTATGTAGTTTTGAAATTTCTGAAGGGGACCGGGTCGAAAATTTCAAGCCCGGCCCCATACAAGCCGCCCAAGCCTTTTTTCGACAGTCTTGCGATATTCTTGTAACCAAAGCGCAAAAAGCCATGGTCATGACCAAAATTTCTGACCTCGATACAACCTGAGTCATTTTACCGCCAAGATTTGCCCCGGAGGAAAATACGCAATAGGGCCATCAAGCTGCAGCTGCAGGTCAAGAGATGAAACTCATTGTCAGCGCGTCAGGTTTACGCAACATAAAAACCAAATCAAAAAAAATGCCAACCCGTCTAAGCCACGCCCCTTTTTTCTGCCAAATGAAAACCCTGGAGATCATTTATTTATGCTCATTTCTACAACAGCTCCGTTTCGACAAGTGTGTTGTCATCTGAACACTGAGAATTGGATCGGACTCGTCAATTAACGTAAGTCAATGGCCCCAGCGTAAGAACCCAGAACGCCGGCGTACCCGTTGGCTCCATACATCGTAATGATCCCCCTCCCTACGGGACATTTGTTACGCCAATATGCGCGTATGAAAGACGTGTGTAAACTGGGCCGTAAAAAGGCGGAAAGGCGGCCGAATGAAACACACACTCATCATTCACCTCGTGGACCGTGTAATGAAAAGCAACTAGAGGAACTACACGTAAACCCCGAAGCCGATCAAGTCATGATGATCGTACACGCCAACGTAAATGAAATCGTCAACGAACAGCCCGAGGAGCCGAGCCAGCCAAGAATTCTAGCGGAAGCGTAAGAACCATGAAGAGAATCCAAGTCCAAGGCAGCCAAAAGAAGAGCCGAGCCAGCAAGCAAGGAGCCAGCAGGTTGGAGGTCGAAGTAATAGTCATATTTATTTTATCTCGTAAGTTAGCTATGATCAAGTCCTCGGATCTCCAGGTCCAATTGTTTAAAGATTTGAATCCTGAGCGAGTGGGCACACTTGCCATTGGGGACGAGGTCGCCGCGACCACTCCATGGAAGAGAGAACAGAACATCGACGTTACTCTAGAGATCAATTCAATTCACAGCGTGACGTATTCCGCCCGTTGAAAGGTGGTGTGCGGAACAGTAACATACGTAACCCTATAGTAAATCGATGTCAGGCTAAAAGGCCATCTTGTGGTGCGGGTGGCGAATGCACAAGTCCACGTAAAATAACAAACATATAACTAATAAGATCCACACTACCGTTTTGATAGGGACTTGATCAGGGGCCGAAGAAATCTTGGATGCAACAAGCCACGTGATTCGCACGAACACAGAAGACTCGATCTAGACAACCAATTTCACAAAGATAACAATGGATATGAGGAGCATGACGATGAAAAAAAAGACGACTATTAAGAATGAACGTAAAATCTCATGTCTACGCACTTTCTCTAGTTTTGTCATGTAAAATTTGCACATTTGACGCACTTTCAAAATCGCTAATTCACCGAGCGACTCACAAAATTTCCGAAAATATGGTTAACTATAACTGTACTAACCAATTTGCTTGTTAATCTTTTGTCGGTCCCTTTGGTCTCCAAATGTTATCCATAGATTTTAATGGGTCGACGTCCAAATGTCTGAAGACGGCCGGTTGCTAGTAATAAAGGTAATTGATGTTTGTGTTTGAGCATTGCCTAGTAAACGAGACAGTGCAGCAACGGCCGCCGCAACAGCACTCGACCCGCAGCTACGTCCCGCCACGAAATCCCAAAGGATATTCGCATTCCGTCGCAATCAACCGAGACGTGAATTTGGAAAGGAAAGAGGATCAGTTTGGAAGTTGCAGCCTGAGCGAGCGGTTGGCCGTCAGAGCGTATGGACAATTGGTAAATAAGCAGCGGAATGAGCGGTCGGCTACACGCACTAGAAGACATTGAAATCCACTGCCTGTATTTTGGCAATTTTGTGTTGTGATATTCGGGCGGATAAACGAAGGCGACCACGGGAGGATTGGATTCGAACTAACTATCTTCGGAACCAGGGACGTATTATTGCCGAAGTATTAAATAAAGTTTTTTCAAAGGCCCCCTCTTTGGAACAACTCCATGAACATTGATTCGAGCAGCCTCAATACCTTCAAAAAGTTAATGCAGACCTTTCTGGTCAACGTCGATTGACGGCTTTTTGTGGAAGCAAACGACTTACATGTTCAACTTGGGCTCGATGGCGCTGAATTCCTTGGTATGACCAGAGAGAAAGAATTGACCCGTTAGATTTGTGAAGCCTTCGTCGAGAAGGTCGTCCACTCCAAGACGATCGCTGTCGTAGAGTTTTACTTTCTGAAAAGTCATGGTTGTTTATAAAACACTCTGTTTTAAGGCATTTGCAAAACTCCTAGCTCGCGCTTTGCAGAAAGAACCGAGATTTTTTGGTTGAAAGTCGACAAAAGTACAACGTCTTATGTGAATTTTGGCATGAAAAGTTTTAAGATATATAGCTTGTGGGAGAGCCCAATATTTCCTTCGTTATTATGGAGGAAAAAGTCCTGAGAATTTATCGCGGTCAAGACGCCTGGTTTCAGGCCACTTTCCTCACAGAATCATCAAAAAAAAAATTAATGCAACTCACCACTCCACTGGCCTGTTTCTCATCACACCAGAACATCCCCTGAACCGCCACACTCTGCTCTCGGCGGACCAAGCTGAACCCGTTGAACGTGAACTGCTTGTGTGTGAACCAGTACACACTCCATCCCACCAGCGCGGCGATAATCATGACGACAGTAATGCAAAAACAAAAGCAAAAAAGGCCGAACTTGGATAATTTCCCCATTCTTGATATGTTAGGAATTTAAAGTTGAGGTTAAATTGGTTGAAATAGAAGTAGCCGGTTTGGAAGCGCTTTCACATTATGTCATGTCGCTTCCTGCTGAAGGAAGAGGGGGTTTTGAGCAGTTGCAGTTGATTAAAGTTGTCTGAAATGAGAAAACCGTAGTATGGCTGCAGTCCGGCCCGTGTAAAAATTGTGCAAAATTTATTGAGTTTAGAAATTTTCATTCTATGAAAAACATTCTAGCCGGATCTTTTTGGACGCCAAGAAACTCATGCCATTCCACCTTGTTTTTTATGGAGGAAGACTAGACGTTTTTTTTGGATCTCTTGGTGTAATCTTGTAATATATTTCGATGATTTTTTTCTCGAACTGTCGGATACCCAAGCTCCTCACGAAGAAAACTGCAAGGAACAATTTCAAAAAACGCAACTTAGAAAGCATACTCTCTCAGCCACAAATGTGAAATTTTTTTTGCGAATTCCAGCCTGAAAAGTTTCATGTCCACTTTTGCTGCATAGTGGCATGTTTATACTGAAAGATCCCCGGTCCATTTTTAAAGGAAATTCGGATTTTCCAGGAATTCTCAAAAACAACAAAATTTTAGAAAAAGCCACTCAAAAATATTGCGATTACATCAAGAAAACAAAAACATGTCTGGGTTCGTCCAGAAAAAACAAGTATAAGGGGATGCCAGGGGCTATTTGGCATTCAAAAATATAAGCGCTGAGACGAAAAAAATGTCCACGCACTTTATGAAAATATCAATATTGGCTTGAAAGGCCGCGTGAAGCCTGATCAAACTTTTCGAAATTAGCACATTCCCCGCAAAAAAATAAAAAGTTGGTTAGCGAAAATTGGTCGTAAACACGTCGGCCATAAAAATAAAAAAAGGATAAAAGACCAATCGAAAACAAAGGCCGAGTGTTTTTTCAATGAGTCTAGTCTTTACTCGCAAAAAAAAACTTTGGAAAAAATCGCTCTTGTCTTCATGAACGATCGATTTTTAGGTCCCTAACCCATTACTTTTGGCTACCTTAGAGAGTATTTGAGAACTTGCAAAACGATAGAACTGGTCGCTTAACTCAAACAAAACCAAAAAAAGAAACGCCGAAAAAACGTCTTTTTCCAGCGTTCCGAAAGTAAACACATTTTTATAAACAAGAACAGCCGAAACAGAAGGGGTTACCCGGTAAAAAACAGGGCAATTCTATCATGATGATCTGTGGTTGAAAAAATTAGAGATGAGAAAGCAAATAACATCGTTAAAACGAGGTTTTGAAAGGGAAGAGAAAAGGTTTGAAAGTGTAGTCTATGTAAGGTCTAATGCCTAACCTTTGGTTGTTGTTATAAAATAATGCAAGAAACAAAGTGATAAGGTGCAGCCGAGATATGGTCTCTTCTAATACTTATTATGGTATCAGCCTGTCGGAAAAATAATGAGCACAATGTCGCGATATAGCGAAAAGAAATTTTTCTTTTCCGCGACAAAATCCATTTTCTGGCGGCGATACGATTTTCGATGCGGCAGAGTGCTCATTATTTTCCCGACGAACAGATACGTATTGAAGCCAAGAAAGATTGGTGTGTATCTCGGAAGTGCCTGCCAGGGGTAGATTTGGATTTCCGAGGATTGACAATGCCTCCGTTGAGTGTGTTTGCGGAATTTTAGGAAGATAAGATTTTGAGCAATAACCATTTTACTACAGTTTCGACTTACAAGGGGAATACCTCAAGCGCGGCGCTCAGATTTTGATGAAACTTGGCACAAATTTAGAATACTTTTTTTCTAAAATGTTTGCGAGAACCCTAGTTCGTGCTTGTAGAAACATGCGGGATTTTTTTAACCGAATGTCTTTGAGACATTTTGCCGAATTTTGGCAATAAAAGTTTCGAGCCTATTTACCGTATTTTCCACAAAAAACCAATATTTTCCGCACGAAACTTTCAGTGTTAGGGCCAAAAAGTTCTTTCTGACCGTTCGCCGCGCTTAGCATGCTCTCTCGGCGGCACCTGCAAAGTGCGAACTAAAACTTTCAGAAATTGATATTTAATCTATGCCCGGCGTGTGTTCAAAATTGCCCTTTAAAACCACAAAAAAACCTCCACCGCAATAATCTTCCTAATCACAACCCTTAAAAGTGCGACAAGTCTTGTAAAACCTCTCCTAAAACAAAAAAAGGTATTATGAAATGGAGGGAAGATCAAAAGGAAAGCATCCGCTTACTCTTGTAACATTTTACGATCTCCCGATCTACGAAATTTGTTTTTTTGGACGCAAAATTTTGGGAATGACTACAGCCAAAAATAAGCCCTTCGGCCTTATGAATGTTTTTTGTGCGGGGTGAGCGGAGAGCGGTCAGTTTGCTGCTGCTAAGCCGATTACTTTCCCTTTTCCGTGTTCGGGAGAAAGTTAAGAGAAAAAAATGTGAAGAGCTACAACAAGAAATAAAAAAAATACAGAGGAAATACTCTAAGTGCGACGCTGAGATTTTGGTAAAACTTGGCGAAAATTTAGAATGTTTACTTGAAGATTAAAGTCTTCTGTTATAAATAGTAACCAAGACAATATATCAGAAGCATAGAGTATGTTACGGTATTTTTATGGCTAATAGGGCTAATTCACGGCTAAATGCGGCTCCGTAATTTTATCAAGGCATATGCGAGGCTGCTAGCTTGTGCTTTGCAGAAATGACCGAGATTTTTTTGCAAGAATGTGACACTTTTTTCGGATTTTGGCATGAAAAGTTTCAGGTCGATTTTTACCAAAAAATGTAATGTTTCCCATGAAAAATCAATGTTTTCTATGCGAAACGGGCAAAGATACGGCTTAAAATCTGATAATTTGTTTTATCTTTTTGCCTGCTCTCTCGGCGGCAACAATCGTTGGATATCTCGGCTGCGCCAGCAAAGCGTGAGCTGAAAGCTTCAGGAATTGATGACCAATGCTTGAAGTGTCTGCAACATTGAAAGAAAATCTGAGCGTCGCTCTTGGAGTACCTCCCACATGAGTTCCTTTGGACCCAAAAATCTAGGGGAATCCAGCAAATGTTGACGCCTTAATTCTTTTTTTTGTAATTAAAAATTCACTTTACGAAACACAGCGGACCAAAAATATTTTTTTATAGAATGGGTTTTGTCGTCAGGAGGGTTCATTCTGGCCGAAACTTAGAAAAAATGTTTTGATTAGACAAGTTTTTGAGAAAGCTTGTTGTGCCCAGGTTTTATCCGTTGCACTTTTACTATTTTCCTTGTGAGTTCCACATGACAAAACTATACGAATTGAAGGCAAAAAATGTGTCGATATAGCACAATTATTTTTAGTATGAGGCATACTACTCACTGCAAAAATCCTTGGAATTTTCTGCGACACCACACCGTGCATTTCGTGCAATAATTGCGTCGCTTTTCGGGGAATCCATTTTGCACCGTGCATTAAGCCAAAAAGTGAGTCTGCACAGTGCAATGTCGTTTTTTTTTTACTTTTTTTGCAATACGACGCGATTCCCCCTTTTCGCAGCGACAAATCATACACTTGAGGAATAACAGGCTCACATCTCGGGGGTACCCCAAATTTCTCTCAATTTTCAATTTTACTTCCCTAAACATGTCATCTAACAAATAGTCTGACTTTTCCCCTCCCGAAATCCCTTCGCTGCCTTTTTAATTCGTTGTTTTTGAAGCCTTTCATTGCGGGAGATGGGTTCGAACTAATTCGCAGAGACGGAATTGGAAGGGAGCTGGTCGTAACGAGACGAAAAAAGCGAGATCTTTCGAGAAACCGACGAGTTTCTCTCTTTTGAGGGAAATGGAGGCGAAAAAAGCGAGGACAAATGTCCACTCCCGACCTTTTTTCTCTTTTCGTTGAGGTGAGAGTCTTTTCGGGAGTGGCCGTTTGCCAGACTTTTTCTCTCTTTTTTGTGTTTCGTAGGTTTTATGATTAGGAGTCTAGTCTTTTTTTTGGGTGCTTTAAATACAAAAACAGGAAAAAACAGGGTTTTTTCTGTTTATTATGTTGAAGATAATATTTTTGATTATAGAATTCGCCCGTTTTTGTAATAAAATTCAAGATTAATGGCTTTTTAATCGATAAATTGGCATATACAGGGTGGTTCAGCCGGATCTTCCAGCCTTATTTCACGCATTTCTCCGCCAATAGTGCACCAATTTCTATAAAATTTATATCAAATTAAAGCTGAGACACCCCATTTCTTGCTCACCAAACATGGCCCGTCTAAATTGCAATTTTTTTTTATTTTTTACCGATTTCGGGCTCCAAAATTTGGAATAAAAATGTCAAGGGTCAGTACGGGGCCTCCGAGAACATAGAGCCGCCATATTTGTTAGGCAGGAAGCGGGTTGCCTCAGCTTTAATTTTGTATAAATTCTATAGAAATTGGTGCATTATTGGCGGAGAAACACGTTTAATAATGGTGGCAACTTCGGCTGAACCGCCCTGGACTATATAGTATACATATTCATAAAGTGCGTAGACTTTTCGTCGCTTGGCGAAAAACGAATTTTGCACTGTGCATTTCACTTTTTTTATAAAAATACTAGTAGCAAAGCAAAACCTCTGCATAACGAATAAATTCAAAGGTTTTAGTGTGGATTTTCGTGCATTAATAAATTAATTTTATTTTTATAAATTTTAGGCCCAGTATGGAGTTAGGAGGCCGACTTGAGTTTGACGACGGTCGGTATTACATAGGTGCGTTGAATGATTTGAAGCCTCATGGCTTGGGTGTCATGTACAATGCAAATGACCAAGAGATTTACGCTGGAGAGTTCTATAAAGGCGATGAGGTAAGAATCGAAGAATCATCTAGGCGGAAAACGAATCTCCATACAGCAAAACCTTTCTATAACAAAAAAATTTTTGGCCTATAGGTTTTCTTTTACTGAGAATCTGCTTTATTAATACAGTTAATTTCCAGACAACGGGTGTTAAAACATTTCCGGACGGTGCAATCTTCGAAGGCCATCTTCAAACGACCAACCCTCATAAAGGATTGGGTGTTCAGAAAAGCGCTCACAACTGCGTAAACTACTATGGTGAATACAGCAGGAATGACGAAGTGACGAATGGAATTTTGAGAATAAGAAACAGTCGTTGCAAATACAGTGGATCAATCATGAACAATCTACCGCACGGCTTCGGATATTTGACTTACGATTGTTTCAATTTGTATACTGGTAAGAGCAAGTTGGACAAAAAAATTTAGATTTTTATTGCATTTTATGGTCAAAAATCCAACAACAAATCCATTCACTATACCCTCAAAATCTGTTATTCCAGGTGAATTCGTCAACGGAAAGCGCCACGGGATTGGGCAGTTGATGACCACGACCTACGGAAGAGCCACGAGAAACCGCCGCTCCAGATCTAGCGCCTCTTTGAACGCGTTTCTGGACGACAGTGAGGATGAATTGGCGGAAGACGTGGAACTTGTCGGCTGTTCCAGTTTCCGCAGTGGATTTACGTTGGACTTGCGATCAAGAGAAGACCGGGACAAGCTGATGGACGAAGAGCTAGAAGAAGATGGTGGATTTTGCGTGCTGAGGGTGGGTTTTTGACGTGTCGGGATTTTTGGGTCGATGACAGTTCGGGTCAACGCAAAATTGATTGATCGAGACGTAGCACGGCAAACCGAAATGGAACAAAAATGTCTCCCGCCCACTTTTGAGTTTCGTTCAAACGAAGTGTCACAACTGACAAAAGCAATAAAATAATTCCGAGAAAAGTATTTTTCCATCGAAAAACCACACGAAAAATTCTGTTGTGACATTTCGTGTGAATTTGACCGATACTGGGTGTGTGAAGTGCCGAAACGAGGAGGGAGACTCCCTGGGTTGCCGTGCGTAGGGTCGGCGGAGGCCGAGAAAAGTTTGTAGGAAGTATTTACGTTGCAAGAGGTGCCTGCAAGGTCTGAAAAATCTGTTTAATGCTCGGTGGACGCCGTTTTTACTGTGAATTTCGATACTCCAAAAATTTATTTTTACTGAGCATGTTCAATTTTAGTCCACCTCCGATTTTATCGACCCAAGAGCCACCGAAATCTACGTTGGAGAATGGAAAGATGACAAAAGGAACGGCTATGGAATGGTGACTCGGAACAACGGCTCAAGCTATCAAGGCCAATGGAAGGACAACAAACGACATGGATATGGGATTACAACTTATGCCGATAAACAGTAAGTTCCATTTAAGATTTTTTGTTCTAATCACTGCGACTTTTCAGCGTTGAACTGGGAAGATATTTGAACAACAAACTGATGGAAACGACCGCTCCGTCTCGCTTCAACGGCGTTTCGGCTTTTCGGTCGACGGTTGCAGAGGCCGCCAAAATAGCCGAAGAATTTCCGGAGAAAGGTAAGGTTTACTACGTATGTGTATATATCAGTCTGTCGGGAAAATAATGAGCGCAATGTCGCTGTGCTGGTCTTCGTCACTGAAGTGGAAAGTAATTTTATTAATTTTGCCGCAACACATTTAATTTTCCCAGCGGCGATGCGATTTTCGATGCGACAGAGTGCTCATTATTTTCCCGACAAATTGATAATGCAATATTTATTAGCCGTATGTCTTTGCGATCCATAAAATCGACTTTGTTTTTCAGTCAAACGCCTAGAAGAAGAGATGAAATCGCGGCATTACGCAGCCTGCAACAAGGCGGAAAAAGCGATGGAATATCAAATTAGGGCTAGGAATTACGCCGATGACGCTCGATCTGTCGCAAAGCAATGTGGTAAAGATGTAAGATGACGTTTATTACAACAAATTTTTAAATTTTTTTAAAAATTTTTTATCGCTTTTGCAATTGAAGTCCCCAATTTTCAGGACAATGTTTTCGTCCTGGACCAGCGAACATGGCAGCCGAAACTCGAAGAAATTTCCCCGCAACTGTAAATAAGATCACTGTTGGTACATTGTTTCTAGTGTAATAAATATGTAAGCAAAAATACATAAGATCGAAACTATAGGGGTCACAAAAAAACGTTCAAGTAATGGGAGCCGTTACACCGTGATCTGTGATGTATTATGAGGTCTGGGAGAAATGTTAAATAGATGATTTATAAAGGAAAAGAGTGGAATCGGACTGTTACGTGTTCCGACCAAAGTTGCGGTGTTCTTTTTTGCAAAATAGGAGAAGATACAGTTAGATGATTTTTGAAAGGCTACCGAGTCTTTTTTTTAAAAATTTTTCGAATAATTTCGTGGGGAAATTGTAATTGTCGTGCAATAATTTTCAAGCCGTTTGAAGGCTTTATTATAAAATCAGTGTGTCGGGAAACTTTTTTTCCCTACAGATTGAGAGCTGCTCGGGAAAATAGTGAGGGCGATGTCGCTAAGTCAATTGAAAAAAAAAATTTTTGATTTTCTAGGCAATTTTGAATGCGACACAGTTCTCATTATTTTCCCGACAGACTGATAAATCGCCCGGAAAATCGCTGAACGGACAACGACAAACAAAAGTTCACCTTGCACTGTGCAATAGGCTTTTTTGGGCTGTTTTGGACAGAAAAAAGTCTGTCGGGAAAATAATAAGCACCCTTGTCGCATCGAAAATCGAATCACCGCTGGAAAAATGAAATGCATCGCGGAAAAACCGAATTGCTTTTCAAGTCAGCGACGCGATTGGCACAGCGACATTTCACTCACAACTTCCCCGATTTTAGTCATTTTGGAGTTGTCACAAAAAATCACACAGTGCTATGAGACACTCAAGCTTTAATGTGCTCAAACAAAAATGTTGCTTCTGTTTTCACGCCACAATTAATGATGAATTCTTGCAGAGCACCTTTGCACAACAACCTTTGAATTTTGGGTGTTGATTAAAGTTCTTTCTCTCCGCTTCGCCAAATTGATTGTTTTCATACCTAAAAACACGTGAATCCTTCTTAAATACCTCGTCAAATATTTTTCCGTAGCACATGTTAAAGACGTGCCTTCCACCGCGAAAACAGCCGTTTAGCCTTCAATTTTCAGAACTTTGCCCGCTAGGAGAAGCGGCTTCAAAGCTACAGAATTATCACAAAACGTCATTGCACATCACTTTTCAGCCCATAAATAATTCTGTTGTTCATTGCGTTCCTATCGGTTTATCTTATCAAAACTTTGTCGTCCCATGGTTTCAGATAACACGCTTTAGTTTCCATGTTCGTATTTCCGTTTTGTTGAAGACTCAGACGTCTTCAGACGTTCTAATTTTCTAAATTTAGCTGATATTTTTTTCGGTCATCAAGACATGAGGGTTTTGTTGCACACATTGGTGGCGATTTTATTGGTTCTACCAGAAGTTTGGTCAAAGAAAGTTCTGGTTTATCAAATCGCCTTTGGCAAAAGTCATATTCAATTCAGTGGGACGTTGATCGACAAACTGGTAGAAGCCGGGCATACCGTGGTAAGTGGCCGCAACAAACCAACTTTTTTCGTTCGTCGGGCTATTCTCCCGCCAGGAAAATAATTAAAAAAGCTAATATCCCGTCGGGAAAATAATGTGGATTTATTCTCGCAGCAACTCGTGTTGTGGTATTCGACAAATCTCCCACCGCGACTGGCAAAGCGATGATAGGCGATTCCGAAATCCACATTATTTTTCCGCCAGACTGATATACTACGCGTAAAAAAATACTGAGAATTTATCGCGGCCCGGGCTTTGTCGCACTCCGTAAAAATTGTTTGTTGCTGCGTCTTAGCCGGAATTTTTTGAATGCCACGAAACTCTTGGATTGTACTGAAAATTTTGGGGAAAACTTTTGTTCCAACCTAATATATTGCTTTTTCCGATGGAATACCAGACATTTTTTGTTTTCTTAATGTAGTTCTGAAGCATTTTCAAGTGATTTTCCTTCAAATGCCATTCTATTGAGAATTCTGCAAAATTCCAAAATGGGCCTGGAAATCAAAGTCCAGCCCGGAGGTATGCCTAGTTCCCGGTCTTAAAACCGTCTGTAACAGACGGTCCGGCCGCTTTTGGCCCATGAGCCGTGTTAGCAAAATGGATTGTGTCGTGGCAAGGAAAATAATGTTGATTTTTACATTGTGCTCATTACATATTTTACCGACAGACAGACACTCCGAAAAGACTTCTTTCGCTTTCCCTTTATTATTATATATATAGATTCTAATGTCATTACATGTTTTAGGACCAGCTCCTCTTCCGCTACAATGTTGACGTCACGGGTACAGGGACCAAAACGCATCGCAAACTCTACGAAATCACAAACTCCAACTCCACGTACCACTTGATGGACCACTTGGCACAACCGTTCAAGACCACGCACAAGATTAGCTGGCATATTATGGCCCCGAATAGATTGTTGTTCTGCGAAACGCTGTTGAAGAACACACAATTAATTGAGGAATTGAAGAGCGAAAAATACGATATAATGCTCACACAGCCGTGGGACGGGTGTAACCTGCCGCTGGCGCATGTTCTGGGAATCAAGTCGACGGCGGTGTACGTGGCAACGTTTTCGTCGTTCTACATATTCGAGGACTTGGGATTACCAACCCCAACAGCGTATCTGGGAGGTAAGCTAACTAACATGTTTCCCGGCAAATTGATAATAGACCTTGTCGCTTCAAAGACGTAGTTTTTCTCGGATATTTTTCCGGATTTCCTGTAATTATAATATGTAAAATCTTTGCGCAAACAGAGTTCTTTCAAACAGAGGACTAATTCTTCGGCTTGTTTAGGCTTGATTATCAGTCTGTCGGGAAAATAATGAGGACTCTGTCCAGACGCCTTGCCGCGGAGAAAATGAAATGTGTCGCAGCAAAATCAAATTTCTTTTCATCTCAGCGACACGACCGGCATTGCGACACTGCGCTCAGTAATTTCCCGACACACTGATAAACGTAGACTTGCTTAGACTTAGGCTTGTTTAGGTGCCTTTCAATTCACCTGCCCGCTGAAACTCTGCTGTCTTTCAGACCCATTCTACCCCGCTCCGAACCACCGAGACCTGACCTTCTACGAACGCCTCAGCAACTTTTGGGCATGGGCGGAGCTGTTCCTCAAGCCGGATACTCGAGATTTGGAAGATCCGTTGTTCCAAAAGTACTTTCCGGGCACTCCAGCCTTCTCAACGCTGTACAAAAGGATCTCGTATTTGTTCATCAACACCAACGAATACACGGATATGGGTAGACCAGTCTCAAACAAGGTCAAGTTTATCGGTGGAATTCATATCGAAGATAGCATCGGCGAGGTAGAAGGGGCCTTACCACAGGTGAGAACGACAAAATTTTGTGTTTTATTTGATCTTTGCAATAATTTAGCTTGGTATTCTAGGAATACGAAGACATCTTGTCATCCAAAGGAACGATTATATTTTCCTTTGGCTCGTTGGTACAAATGCAAAACGTCCCTCAGAAAGTCCAGAATGCCTTTTTCGAGGCGTTCAAAGAGCTGACTGACTACAATTTTATTTGGAAATATGACAACATCTCGGCCACGGCAAATATGAGAGCTCCGAACGTCTTCTTCAAGACATGGCTGCCTCAAAAGCAACTTTTAAGTGGGTTTCGGGCTGTAACCTTGGTTTTTTTCTTCCCTAGTTGTTGCACGATCCTTATCGTAAATTTCAGAAGACCCCCGAATCCGCGGCTTCATCTCCCACATGGGCATGAACTCGTTCGCCGAGCTGGCGTACGCCGGAGTTCCGGTCGTAATGGTGCCACTCTTCGCTGACCAACGCTTCAACTCCGCCGTGGCGCAGAGAAAAGGCCTGGGCGTTCGGCTGGAGAAAGACGAACTGACAAAAGAGGCCATCCTGGAAGCCCTGAGGCAACTACTCGAAAATCCAAAGTACGCTGAAAACTCAAGACGGCTCTCGGAGATTCTGGCAGCTGCAACATCGAAGCAAAAAATGGCCAAGAGGTTCGTGGACGCCGTGGAATTGGCCGCCGAATTTCCAGAAACCGCCGATTTGTTGGCTTTGCCAAGTGCCGGCTTCAGCCTGCTGGTCGCCAACTCCTTTGATGTCGTCATATTCTTGACTTCAGTGGCTGTTCTCGGCAGTTTGTCGGCAATTTTCGTCGTCTACAAAGTCGTGAAAATGGTCATAACGGGGAAAAAAGTCAAGACAAAAGTGTCATAATGGAAGTGTTACAGTAAATTGTATATTGTGTCGAATGAATATTGTACAGTGATTGTAGCCAAGTTGAAGAACTCAATTGGTATTGGTAGCTGAAGAGGAAGTAGAGCCCAAACTATGGTCGCACTTTTACTATCACTCTACGTAGACATGGCTCCCGGGTCCGTGACTGGAATGGGCCCGGAATAATTGCAATATAAGAGCGAAGGAATAAGAATTTTTTCTCCAGCTCGAGAATGTTTGCTGGATTCGCTACCAATTTCAAAAAGTAGCGGAAACCTCAAATTGCAACCTCCAAAAAAGGCGTCGGAAGCAAATCGGCCATTTTGCGACGGCGCAAAATTGGGAGGTAGCAAATCGGCCATTTTGCGACGGCGCAAAATTGGGAGGTAGCAAATCCATGGATTTGCGATGTCCCAAAATAAGCCCCGCCCCCTCAGTTTTTCAGCCATCACGTTTTGGCTTTTTTTGACGAAAAACCACCGTTTAGGGTGAAAATTTTAGCTTACAAATCGTACATTTACGATACTATGAAAGAAAAAAGGTCCCTCGACTCGTTAAAACATTTATTGTAAAATGACGTACATTTTATGAAGAATATATTTTATTTTTTCCACGATTTTGTCCAAATATGGCCGGAGAGTCAATGGATGGGGCTGAAGAAAATTTGTTTTTCCACAATATTGTCCAGATATGGCCCAAGAGTCAATGACTGGGGTTGCAGAACATGGTCGGATATGGATCTTCCTGGAAATCAAAAGCAATATAACATTTCCTTCTCATTTTTAGAAAAATAGACCTTCATACATACCTCACATAGTGCATGCGTCTTCCGAGCATCCGAGCATCGAAATGGAGATAGTCTTGTGCAAAAATACGGCCGATGGGAGTGAAATTGATTCCAGGTAACAATTTAAATCTCTAAATTACCTAAAAACAAAGTAATAATACTTAAATCAAATCTTACTTCCTTTGGCAACTACCACAGGGCTTTTCCTTTGTCCGATTTCAATGTTTCTGCCTCCTGAAAAAGATTTATTAGACATGAATAATGTAGAAAAAATTAGAAATCTCGTCCAAAATCAAAAAATAATAAAAAAAAGCAGCTTACCATGGGTATGGCGATCACCTTGAGTCGGGTTGTCTTCTAATTCAGCTTCTCTGCATCTATTTGGCCAATTCAACAAAAGGAAACAAAAAAAGGAAAAAGAATTTGCGAATGTTTTCGCGGCCCGTGAAGACGAAATGCCACGCAGTCCGAGAACGGATTTTAGGTCCAATTTTCGTGGGATTTCTGTTCATTCGATCCGAATTGAAGGCAACCGAGGGCCGAATTCCGGGTTGGACAATTACGTAAGCTTTATTCTTGGTATGTTATTGTTTTAGTTGAATAAAAAGGATTTCGTCGGTCTTATCAAAAGAGTCTGCCGTCTTTTGGACAGTCGCACCTTTTGAAAGAGCTGTTGAAGCCGATTGCTCCGAAGGCCGAATTTCAATGTTTGGACGTAGTTTATGTAAGCTTTGCTCTTTGTTATTATTTTTTTTAGTAATAACGACAAGGATCAGGATGTTTTGGTTTTATCAATAAGATATGGTCCGAGCGGGATGCGTCAAATTGGAGACGTGTCTTGGTCAAACTTGAAAAGAATGGAGTGTGGGAAGATCGATGCATCGACGAGTCGTTTGGAAAAGTCGTTGAAGGCAGAATTGTCCATTACACCCGGCGCAGAAGGCCATATGTTGTAGACCACATGAGGATAGTTATCTAATATGTGCACGAATTGGTTTCTGTCAAGAATTGGGTCTACATCGTGGGTCTACAAGATAGTAAGAAACATTTTTATTTTATTTTCTTGCTTTAGGAGAAGGAGGACTGGCCCCATCAAACGCCGCGGCTACGTCTGTCTTAGCCGTTCAACCCCGCACAGCAGGTCCCAGGAACTCCCCAGCAGATCCAGGACCTCCCCAGCAGTTCCAGGGCCATGTCTCCACACGGACTTGCAGTATTGTCCAGAACACCGTGATTTCAATGCCATATCCTCTGTTGTTTCATCCCTGGCCATATCATACTTATTAGAGATGTTGTTAGTCTTTCTATTGGCCATATGTTAAGCTTTATTATTGTTTACCTGTGTGTTCCCAAGAGGCTGTATTTTTATTTATTTAGGTGTGAATTAGTAGCAAGAATTATTTTATACCGATTTTCATGTAAAATATCTCTGTTTCCTCTCTTACGCCTTGTTATTTTTTGGATTATTAGTTTTAATAAATTGTTATTGTCAAGAAAAATGTATGGGAGTATGAATAGTGCTTTATACACTCGAAATATATTCAAAACGGCAAACCGGAGCGCTAGAAAAAAAAAATTTCCGCCGGAGTGGGCGGAGTCAATTTGGGAGGTCGCAAATCCACGGATTTGCTACCTCCCAATTCCGCGCCGTCGCAAAAACGCCGTTTTGCTACCTTCTCTCTCGCGGAGGAAGCGAAAACGCCGATTCGCGACCGATTTTTTTCGGAGGTCGCGAAAAGAAGGATTCGCTACCGAGACCACGTCGCAAATAGATCATTTCGCTACTTTTCGAAATTGGTAGCGAATCCAGCAAACATTCTCGAGCTCGAGAAAAAATTCTTATTCCTTCGCTCTTATATGGAGTCTCATAATGAAAATTGGGGGCCGATAAAGATAAAACGCAATGCCAAGAAATATTACTAGATTGCGGCCGACAAGCCGTGTCTTTTATTAATCTGTCGGGAAAATAAGGAGCACAATGCACGGCAACCCGAAGTGTTTCCTGGCTCCTTTCGACTCTTCACCCATTTTGTATTGGTTGAAATCAAACGAAATGTCAGAAAAGAATTTTTCGTGGCGTTTTCCGGCCGAAAAATACTACTTTTCTCTAAATTATTTTATTTCTTTTGTCAATTTTGACACTTCGTTTGGACGAAACTCAAAAGTGGGCGGGAAACATTTTTGTTCTATTTCGGGTTGCCGTGCAATGTCGCTGCGGCAATCGCGTTGCTGAAGTGAAAAGCAATTTAATTTAGTAACGACACATTTCGTTTTTTCGGCTGCGATGCGACATTGGTAGCGACAGTGCTCATTATCTTCCCGACAGACCGATAGCTAAATCACGATACAAGTTGCTGGAGTAATTGTGACGACCTGAACTCTCCATTTTCTAAACCTTCGAGCGAAAGTGCAGAGTAATCGCAATTCCCTGTAGTATTACGTGAGTAAGCCAGAAGACCCGTGCAACTACAAATTTTCATGTACGTATGTGTAATAGACCCGCGATGAAAGGCCGAGCACAATGCTATTCGAAGAAGCTACGGTTTACATCCTTACACACTTTGCAAGTACAATGTTATCATTCTTTTCACAAAGGCAGGTCACAACGCTCTCACACAGCTGTATTCAGCTGTCGCAATTGATTGAATTTTATGGCGGATATCGCAATCCCATGTGCGGATACCTCGGCCAGATTCTATTTTAATTTATTGAGCAGAGTTGTCTCCGCAGCTTCAATTGTCTGTAATGCATTTGTATTAAAAGTTTGTTACCGTCAGCATAAAAGGATGATGATTTATGGGCGAATGATGGCGCTGGCTGCCGGATACAATATCTTCTTCAGCCTGACTGCCATCTGCATTGGATTGGTAAGCGTTTTAGGGGATTTTTAAAGACAAAAACGGGCTTGTTTTATCATTGGCACCTCGCCGAATATACCCGGTCGTGTCTGCTTTTGTCTTTTTTACATATGTGTATCAGTCTGTCGGAAAAAGAATGAGCACTTTATATTAGGGTGTCCCATAAGTCTTGTGTATTTTTGGGTTTGAGAATTAAAGTCTCGTTTAGCAGGCCTAAATGAATGCATCCCTTAATGTTTGGCACTGTTGAAACCGCCATCTCTTACACTTATAAGCAGCATAAAAATTTTAGCTAATAACATACCCTCCGGGAAAATACTGTAAATTCTTTAATATCATCAACTTCTGGGAAGGGCTGGGAAAACCATTCCGTTTTTTGATAAATGGGGCTGCACCTTTGCAATTGCGTTTTTTAACACATCTACTAAGTAACCTGTTTCTAAATAAACCGTTTTCCCCTCTGAATTTGTTCTTATAACGTTGTCCTGCAGGTTTCTTGTATTAGGCACCATGGTGAATATTGTGATGTACATAATTTTGCGTATAACATTTTTTGAGGGTGGTTACTCAGGTCGCGCCGATACCAGAGTGAAAAAAACATAACGTTCATGCGTCGTAACTATGAATCCGCTGGCTGCCTTGTTCTGAATCACCACTAACCAAAAAAAAAAAAAAAAAAATATCCATTTACTCAACACCAAAAAAGTCGGTGTGGATACAAATAACATTGTAGTGCAGTGTGTTCTAAACAGTGGCATATGTGTTTTATTTTAGCAAGAGGATTTTGGAATAGAGGTGCTGAGGGCTGAAAAATCACTCAATTTAAAAAAAATTCTGTAAATTTTTAAAATAATTAGAAAATTTTTAAATTAAGCTTATTTCAAGAAACAAAAGTGACACAGGCGGTGATTATTATGTCGTTGTGTTCATAAATAACAGTAGATTACCTACCATACGCAGCTACAGCCAACACTTTCTACTATTGGAAAATTGAGTCTGAAAAGCATGAGTGCAGCAGTTCTCATGTTATTTACACCACCACCAAGGTACCCCCGCCCGTGCTTCCTATTTTCATGTTTAATAGGCGTACACATCTGATTTTCCAAAGTATATACCCATTTCAACATCAGCAAGCAAAATTTTTTTTGATGTCTAGTACAATATTGGGGTAGTGCGGGTAGCAGGTGGATTTTTTGCAGCCTTGCTATATACGGTTTAAAAGCGCAATTCCTGATCTTCAAAACCGTATGTCTAACATATCTCGTAATGCGTTACAAAGGTCACAGGAATTCGCACAAGTCGACAACCCCAAAATACACAAGACTTATGGGACACCCTAATACAATGGATTAGAAAAATGGACATTAATTTTTCTTCGATTTTTCCTGCCATAAAACAGTTTGTGAGGAAAGGTATATATGGCATGAAAGAGAACATATTTACTGTAGAATTTTTTCCTGGAATGCAAAAGTTTCCAACATACAATAGCAGGAAGGTCGCCGGGTCACCGCGCCAATTCCCGCGGCAAAATTTCAAAACCTTTTACTCCTAATTTTTTTAGAGCTTCTACAGAATTTTGGCTCGTATTAGCTGTTCAGCAAAAGTGATATATAAAAGATTTTAATGGTTGTGATAAACCAAGGAAGTTGAGAATAATAAACCTATTTTTCTTTCCATTGGTTACGGTATTCCTGCGGGGATAGACCGATTTTTAGCCCTGTCCCTTTTTTGGTCCACCCTGTACGCTTCTAAATTCTTGGAGTTTAGAAGCCAGTACCACATGGGACTATCTACTTTTACCTCACCGATTCTCCATTCCTCCTTCACACCTCGCAATTAGCTCAGCAGTTCGCGCTGCATTTAACATTTGCCACGATCTACATTCACGCCGCCCTACCTTCAATTCAGTTTTTTATCCGCTACAACATAATCAAGGATAAGCGACCCAACCTCAGGAAATTGTACACAAGTTTTATTGGTCTGGTTCTGTTTTGTGGCGTCTATTCGTGCACTTATGAATTTGACTTTGAAGAGCAACCGGAAAGCTATAGGCAGTTGTTGTATTCAGGTGTTAAAGGTTGCAATCTAGATGACGTTTTGCCAACCTACAGCGTTATTGACAAGGTGAGTTGGAGAGCAAGGACTAAATGCTTTCAGTCCGCAATCATAAGCCGGATCCACGGAGCCTGCGTCGTTGTCATATTGGGCACCAGCAGCGTTGTAGTTGCTTATTATGGCGTCTTAACATGGCTTCATTTTAAACAACGCCTTGCGAAAACAACTTATCAGATGAGGAAGTTCAACAGGGATATCAACTTGGTGCTTACGTTTCAGGCAAGTCTTCATTTTCTCTATATGTTTTTGAGTCTGTCGGGGAAATAATGAGGACACAGTCGCATCGAAAGTCCTCGCTGCGGAAAAAATGCATAGTTTTGTCGCCGTGACGATATTGTGCTCATTACGTCCCCGACAGACTGCGAGTATTTTCATAAAGTCCATGGACATTGTGACAAAAAAAATTCACAATGCACTGTGCGAAAGAGAACAGACTTCCGTGCACTTTATGAAAATACTATCGGTCTGTCGGAAAAATGAGAAACACTTTCGAGTTTCTTCCAAACGAAGTCTCAAAATTGACAAAAAAAGTAAAGGAATTCCAAGAAAAATATTTTTTCGGCTGCGGAAAAAATATTTTTCGGTCGGAAAACCCCACGAAAAATTCTTTTATGACATTTCGTTTGATTTCTTGATTGTTTCGCGACACAATTCATTTTTTTGGTGCTGCAATTTCGAAGCGACACGATCAGCGCAGCGTCGCTGCGCTCATTATTTTCCCAACAGACTGTTACTAATATTATATACATAGTATCAATTTCAGGCTTTACTTCCCTTCACTTTCGTCGTCCTCCCAAACAGTCTGTTCCTCGCCAACCTTGTTCCCGTCAACATGACGTCTACAGTCGGCCTCATCGCAAACTTTGGCTCAACGACGAGTCCGCTTCTGGATGCTCTTATCGTTCTGTTTGTGATCCCCGCTTTCCGCAGGAACGTTTTGAAATCTTTAAGCAGCTCGACGCATCGCTCCAGCAACACTATTTTCACAACTCTGTAATTTACCAAAAGCTATATACGTATTCAAAAAATGTATTATAAACTATAAGGTTTTACAAATTCATCGCTAAACGTTTCGCCTCGTCTAAAATTGAAATTCGCTGTGCGAAATGTGATTTTTCGCCGACTGATGAAAAGTGTATACGTGCACTTTATCAAAATCTCAGTCTGTTGGGAAAGATGAGCACTCTGTCGCGTCGGAAATTGCATTGCAAAGAATTAATTGTGTCGTGAAAATCAAATTGCTTTTCGCTTCAACGGTGGAGGCCATTGCAGCGACATTGTGCTCATTATTTCCCCGACAAACTGATACTATAATACTATATATAATATAACATTACAATTCTGTTGGATTCCTCCTTTTCGTCCTCGCAACTATTGCTTGTGACTACAACTTATGTTCGGCATATATGTGTAAAAAAAAACTACGATCAAAGGCCGGGAAAGTGCACTGATACTTGATGCTTTTCAGAATATCTTTTCAATACGTTGAAACTACAACTTTATCCTCTTTGTCTTAATAGCAACCGCCTTTTTGGTCTTGAAAAAAATGCTGAAGGGTCACTTATACCGATCGTAATTAATTTTTTCTACAAAAACGTAAAGGTCCCCACGTGAGGCACTCGGATTATGGTTAGAAATTGCATGTAAGGATGATGTACTCTCTAGATTTCGCTGCCATATTTTCGGGCGCGCTTTGCGATACTGGCCAAGACCACTGCAGCATTTTCGACATTGCTTTGTTGGTTTATCGTTCCACCCATTGTTTATTTCATATTCGTAGTTTCTTTTCGTCACACTAGTTCGTTCGTAGAGTCGTTGGAGTATTTTTTGGCGTATGTCCTGTGCAGAAAAAATCTGGGTGTGAGCGACACCCTAAAAAAGATTGTTGCATGGTGTAGTAAAAAAATGAATAACAGCAAAGTAAGCTTTGTTTTCGCGCAGTGCACCTCGCGAAAATCATAAAGCGGAATTGCGAATGGAGCTATTAGACAGTCGAAAAGTGAAGAAACGCCCAGCCCAGACATCTCCACCTGGCTGGGCTTCTGGCACTTCGAGGTCCAAAAACCGACCGCCCCAATGTATCTTGTGTCTACTAGTCCGTTAAAGTCGCTGAAGTGACTTCGGTAACACGCACGGTGAGAAAACGAGAGTTCAATTTACGGTGTAAAATTCCCGCCCTTTTGCACCGTGTATTTTTGGGCTATCGCTCGCAGACAACGACGTCGAGGACATGAAAGGTTGAGTCGTACGGGAAGTACGACTTTTAGTGCTGTAAACGGCTCGAACAGTATCTCAAAGTGCGCTCGAATAATTTCAGCGAGTATTATTCATTCTTGAGCCACACTATTGCACATTATTATATATTATATATTAGCCTATCCAACATTACAAAGACGGAGTTCCTCAAGTCAGGAAGTTTAATTCTAATACAGCCATATTTGACCGCTACCTTCCATTGTTATATATTGTTATATATGGCGGATGTGCTAATCCCATGTGCGAACACACCGCCCAGATTCTATTTTAATTTAACTACCAAGGGCATCTCTGTGGCTTCTGTTATTTGCAACTGCCTTGTATTAACTGCATGCCGACATCAGCAGCAAAGGATGAAGATCTATGGAAGGATGATGGCACTCGCTGCCGGATTCAACGCTTTCTATAGTTTGACCGCCCTACTTATTACAATGGTGAGTTTGACGTGGCTTATGGGTCAACTGTTCCCCCAAAAAGCCAAGTTTGCACCGAAGGCTTAAGTCAACACCGAATTCCGGAATTTGGTGCACACTTTAAAAATTTCGGAATGGGGTGCCGAGTTAAAAATCGGGGTCTTAAGTCGACGCTTTTTTGAGTTGGGCGTCGGCTTTTTTGTGTACCGAAAATCGCGATTTAGGGGAAAAAATTGTGAATTCTCATATGACCACCTTTATATTATCCGTTAGAAAAATTCAGCGGATATATAGGACCTGCTTTCGAGTTCTGGATAACAGGGGAAGTACTTTAAGGACGGCCACAAAAATCGTTGAATATCTCGGTCGCACTTCAAGCACTTCCCTTGTAAATGTAAGACTTTCACTAGGGTCTAGACTGCAATGATAAAATTTATTCTGGGTGTAAATATCCCGTCGTTGAAGCAACTTGATTTTACCGCAACACAATTCAATTTCTCGTCGATGCGGTTTCCGATACGACGATGTGCTTATTATATTTATTTCCCCGACATTCCGAGAGCAGTTTTAATTGTTTGAACTTAGAGGTCAGTACCACACGGGACTCTGTTCTACTACTTTACCGACTCTCCATTAGTCCTTTATGCTCCGCAACTGGTTCAACAGCTGTGTTTGCATTTAATATTTGCGACGTTCTACGTTCACGCCTGGCTTCCGGCAATTCAATTCTTCATCCGCTACAAGGTCATCAAAGACAGTAATGGCGACCTCAGGAAGTTGTATACAAGTTTTTTTGCACTGGTTCTCTTTTGTTGCGCCTATTCGAGTTCGTATGCCATAGATTTTGAAGAGCCTTCGAAACGATACAGGGAGTTATTATATTCGAATGTTCCTGGTTGTGATCTTGACCAGGTTTTGCCAACCTATAGCGTCTTCAACAAGGTGAGTTGAAGAACGCGGAGAGCCAACGTTTTCAGACCACACTTTCGAGCCGAATTCACAAAGTCTTGATTGTTGTCATACTGTGTACCAGCAGTGTGGTTGTTGTTTATTATGGCGTCTTAACATGGCTTCATTTTAAACAACACCTTGCGAAAATAACTAATCAGATGAGGAAGTTCAACAGGGATATTAATTTGGTGCTCACGTTTCAGGCAAGTCTAATCCTTATTTTGCTATATGTATGTTTATCTATCAGGGAGAGGGGAAAAAAACAAAATTTCGCTGCGCCGAACGGGTCGCTGAAGCGAAAAGCAATTTGATCTTGCCGCAACACAACCCATAAATCTTTACTGTTACTTTAATCCTGTCTGAAAAGAGGCTATACCAGTTTGTCGGCAAAATAATGAGCACTACGTTGATGTGCCTGCCGCGTCGCTGAAATGAACATCAATTTGGTTTTGTCCCGATAAAATTCGTTTTTTCGGCGGCAATACGATTTTCGATGCGACATTTAATTTTCCCGACCGCGTTATCCGCTCATATTACGCTTTCTTAACCGTGCGTAGACTTTTTGCCGCTGGGCGAAAGACAAGAAACTCCACGCGTGGCGGCGAGTTTTGAATAGCACATTGAAAAAGTTAATTCGCAAAGCTTTGCCACAAAAAGTGTACAAAGTCTAGAAAAAGCGTACGGGGCGCCATAAAGTCTGTAGAATTTTTCACAGTGGGTTTGCCTCTTTTTTCGCACGCGCCGCTGCGGCTTCTCGTTTTTGCGACATACACTTTTTCGCAGCGTTGCCGAAAAAAGCTCTACGGACTTTATGACGCGACTTGTAGTGTCAATTTTAGGCGTTGCTCCCGTTCATGTTCATCGTCCTCCCAAACAGTCTGTTCCTTGCCAACATTTTTCCACTCAACGTTATGGATACAGTCGGCCTTATTGCAAATTTCGGCTCAACAATGAGTCCGCTTCTGGATGCTCTTATCGTTCTGTTTTTGATTCCCGCCTTCCGCAAGAACGTCGTGAAGTCTCTAAACGGCACCACGCCTCGCTCCAGCAACGTGATTTTTACAACATAGCGATGACTTTTGAAGTGCCGTTATTTCCAAGCATGCAATAAATTACAACGTTTTTTCAAAATAATCGTTCTAACAACGTGGTATGGTTACTGCGGACTCGTTCGGGTGTAATAAACACTTGTTCCCGGTTGTAGCTGACGATCTTTATGTGGCAATTGTACGTAGTGGTTATTGGGTTGGTTTCTGTAGGGGTTTGAAATTTTCGCAAATATATATATATATATATATATATATATATATATCATCAAGTTCCAGCGGTAGGAAGAGCTTCTGACAGCTTCGAGAAGGCATTACGGATGCCACAATTGTCATCAAAAAAGCGAAAGTCGCACTTTTCGAAAGAAGTGCGGGGGGGGGGGTGCACTCATCGAAATTGAAGTCTAAATTGTCTGCGAAATTGTCCCCATGTTTCCACGAATTGTCAGTTTTTGTTCATTATCTAAGTGCCATCAAACATTTCCATTTACCATCATATTTTTTGTTGTTTGCGTCATTAACAATGTCAGCTAACAGCGTGTGAGACTGTGGCCGTAGCCTTCTTTTGCTGTTCGATGATAATGCCATGTGGTTAGCACAATACATAAAACAGCGACTACAAAAATTGTATTTACTGCTTCCACAAACTGTCTCCTTGAAGATATTTCTCGTCCTATGAACAATATCGACAGTGTCATATCTTGTACCCAGTATTTTCAAATGCCATACAAAATAAACCGCAAGGTTTTAACGAGATTCTCGCATGGACAACGTTTTTCGTTTGAGTGTAAAAAACACTTGTTATCTTGTTCGAAATTATAGTTGAAGCGTTGTGAGGCCGTACACAGTTGTTATTCTTCATTCCGTATTAATAGTTGAAATATGTTCCGCTTTCAAAATTACTGATGTCCGTCGTAGCGTATTTTCCCGACTAATTGTAAAACAAAACAGGCATTTCCGCTAATTTCAAATGCTAATAATGGCGGACATGGCATGTTCGGACACACTGGCCAGGTTCTACTTCAATCTGTTTACCAGAATCTTCTCCGCAACCTCAGTTGTGTGCAATCTACTCGTGTTGGTTGCCTGCCAACATCAGCAGAAAATAATGAAGATCTATGGTCGGATGATGTCGTTGGCGGCTGGATGCAATGTCTTCTGCAGTCTGATTGTCATCGTTGTTGGAATGGTGAGTTCGGGAAGGTATGAGTCCAACGGGAAAATGATGAGAACTGTCACGACTTCGCATGCGAATTTTCCCACGGGAACGGCCGATAAATTTGCATAGAAAGAAATTTTCTTTAAATTTTCATACAGTGGAGGACCTGATCCAGTGGCAAAAAGCGTACCGTTTTGCATCCGGGAAGCTTCAAAAATGTGGCAAAATGCTTCCTTCTCCAAGCAAAAAAAACTTTGTTTTGAAGGGCGCGCGCTTTCGCCTCTTTCGAAATCGGAGTTTTTTCACTTGGAGATGGAGGCATTTTGCCAAATTCTTTTATGCTTCCTGGATGCAAAATGATACGTTTTTTTGCCATTGGATCAGGTTCTTATGGCCTATGCCCAACTGTATACGCTGGGCATAGACCACATGTTAATATAATAACTCCTAAAAATTTTAGCTCGCGCTTTCCAGAGGCGATTATTTAAATTTCTGTCAAGTTTCACCAAAATCTGCGCGTTGCATTTACAGTGCATCCCTTGATAGAAGACTACGCCAAGCACGATATAAGCCAATCTTAATCGTCTGAGTTTAGAAGACCGTTCCACACGGGGACCTATTTTTCTACTTCACCGATTCTCCGTTCCTCCTTTATTCCTCGCAGTTAACTCAACAGCTGTTTGTGCATGTGACATTTGCGACGTTCTACGTCCACGCCGGACTCCCCGCAATCCAGTTCTTCATCCGCTACAAAATTATCAAGGACGCTCACGCGGGCCTCAGCGTGTTATACACAAGTTTTCTTGGACTGGTTCTGTTTTCTTGCACCTATTCGTTCTCTTATGCCATCGATTTTCAAAAGCCGTCGGAGACCTGGAGGCAACTGCTATTTTCCAGCGTTGAAGGTTGTAATTTGGACAACGTTTTGCCCACCTACAGCGTGATTAACAAGGTGAGTTTCGGAAAGCGGAAAGCAATGTTTGCAGACCTCAATTTCAAGCCGAATTCACAAATTCTTGGCTGTTGGTGTACTGTGCGGTAGCAGTGTTGTCGTTATTTACTATGGCGTGTTAACGTGGTTTCATTTCAAACAACGCTTGGGGAACACAACATATCATGCGACAAAGTTCAACCGAGACCTCAACTTGGTGTTGACGTTTCAGGTAAGGCTTTTATTCAAAATCAACCGGGCGAATGTCTCTGAGTTAAAGAGTGATTTAATTTTGCCGCGAAACAATTCATTTTTTCCGCTGCGATTGATTTTTGTCGAAAGGCTCGACAGCCTGGTAACGAGACAAGACGAGATCTCAAGGGTCAAGTGATTTATTCAGTGGAAAGAAGGCCTTTTATAGCGAAGCCCCACGCAGGAAAGTACAATCAAATTTGAATAAATGCAGATCGTTCCTCGTGGGAAAATCCTCGAAGCTCGGTCGTTCCGCCTCACAATTTTCGATGACAAAAAGCGCTCTCACTATTTTCCCGACTGATATATGCTTGTTACCAATTCCAGGCGATACTTCCATTCACGTTTATCGTCCTCCCAAACAGTCTGTTCCTTGCCAACCTTGTTCCTCGCCACATGGCGTCTACGGTGGGCCTTGTCGCAAATTTCGGCTCAACGTTGAGTCCGCTGATGGATGCTCTGATTGTCTTGTTTATCATTCCGGCCTTCCGCAAGAACGTGTTGAAACCCCTGCATGGAACAACGCGCAGTTCAAGCAACACTCTGTTTTTAACGCAATGATGGCTTCCTGTGTCTGTATATATTTCCATGTATAAAAAAACAGCTATTTTTTAAACGAAATTAAGGATTTCTGCAACGCTATTGGGCAGAGACGTTAATTTGTATAAAAGATTGCCTCAATTTTCTGGAAACAGGTTAACAAAATTCGATTATGCCAATAGGAAGCAATTTTATTAGAGGTGGGCAAAACTAAGGAAAACAATTTATTTTAACGTTATTGCTAGACACGGAACTAGGTCAAACCTATGGACTGTATTTTGGCGGCTTCACTAAAATCGTCAATTATTTCTTACAAATTTGCATAGAATCGAAGAAAAAATCTTTGTCAGATCAATTTCTCGTATTCTCCTAAGTCGGTATCTCCGTTCCTCGTTTTCCGTTGTATTTTATTTCTCGCTTGTTGCTCAATAAACCCTAGTAGTATTCCCCTTGTGTTTACGTTCGTGTATATGTGTTCTACAGCCGGATCGAAACCGGGCCTCGTCATATTTGGAGCAAAAAAGGTATTGCTTATCGTATTGTGCTACAATCGGATTGGCCACCATGCCAATTTGTTAAATAACGTGACAAGGGAAGTACTGCAAGTGCGACGCTCAGATTTTGATAAAACTTGGCACAAATTTAGACAATTTTTTTCAACGCCATTCTGAGAGACCCCTAGGTTTATAGAGCTGGCAAAGTGCAACATATTTTTGCAAGTTTGGGTATAAAAAATATCCTTTGCAGTGTTGCTCCCAAAAACTCTGAGATGTATTGATACTCCTCTCCAATGGCGGATACTGCTGTTCCTTGTTCCGATTCAGTCGCAAGATTCTATTACAACGTTTTTACAAGACTTGTGTCAGTGATGTCCGTGCTTTGCAACGGATTTGTACTCCGCATTTGTATAAGCCAACGACAGACGCTGAAGGTTTACGGACGAATTTTGGCGTTGACCGCGGGGTTCAACGTATTCTACAGTGCCTTTGGTGCGGTTGTTGGAATGGTAAGTGGAATTGAACATTGTGGAGTGTGCCAGGAGCTTTTTTAAGTCAATTCAAAGGCTTTCAATTTTAGAAAGAGCTGCCATATGACGTATATTTCTACTACTTTACTGACTCCCCATTCCTTTGCTATGCTCCGGAAATGGTTCAACATTTTGCGCTGACCACAACCTTTGCTACAATTTTTATCCAAGCGGCCCTTCCTTCTGTTCAATTTTACATTCGCTACCGGGTGTTGAAGGATAATCGTCCAGAACCGGCTAAATTATATTATGCATTTGTAATATTAGTAGTGTGTTTTTTGGCTTACACCTCTTTAGCGCACCTGCAGTTTGAAAAAACAACCGATCTGCATAAAAGAACGATTTTCGAAGGCATCAGAGGGTGCAATATTAATGACCGTCTATTGCCGACGTACAGTGTTTTTGATAAAGTAAGTAAAGCGGCAATAAAATTTAAGTTTAAAATTTAGTCCTCAGCGAGTAGTCAGTTTGATGACAAGTGTGCTGTTGCAATTTTCATTGCGTGTTCATTAGTAGTTATTTATTATGGAGCCCTAACATGGCTGAGGTGTAAGGAGCATTTGGAAAAAACCACTGTGATGACCAGGAAGCTCAACCGAGATATCAACTTGGCCTTAGCGTTGCAAGTATGTTTCTTTATAAATAATTGGATGTTATTGTAGTTTGCAAATTGCAAACAGACTTATTGATCAAACTGACACGTTCGGTGACCAGTGTAGTCAATTTACTTTCCATTTTTGACACCCGCATAATTTAGCAGAGAAGACAGAGAAAAGCACGCGCAAAACATACTCTCTCACGCGAAAATTTACCCATTTCTTTTCTGACAAAAGGTTTTTTTTGCGTCTTTGAGCTATTCGTGTGGGGAGCTTCCATCCTTTCTACTCGGTCGACTGTTATTGCTTACTTCAATTTCTCGTGCCTGTTTTTCTATCAATCTGTCGGGAAAATAATGTAGATTTATCGTGGCACAATGTCTCGCCTTGTCGCAGTGAAGCATCAATTCTCCAGCCATCTCTAGCCTTCATCAAACGATGATGAGCGATCGCAAGGCGCGACAAATACACATTATTTTTCCAATGGGCTGATATTACGAACATTTTTTTTCTAGGCAGTTCTTCCATTCACCTTCGTCACATGCCCGACCAGTTTCTCGCTTGCTGGTCTCGTCCCTCACAGCATCGGTTCTTACATCAGTCTGGCAGCTATGATTGGTACAGCGTTGAGCCCGTTACTGGATGCTTTAATAACCCTTTTCGTAGTTCCTGCATTTCGGAAGAGGATATTTCAATGTATTATCAACTTCAGGGGTACGCAAGTGGAAAGCGGACCCATTTCCTCGGTGAAATTTATCCTCCCGAACGGTTGATTTGACCTCTGTTCAACGAACCTACACAGGCAAAAACCTCTGTATAACGAACCCATTGTGTAAAAAACAGTGTAAGTATTACTAAAACACTTCCATGGATTTAGCTTCCAAACGCTGCGTTATGGTGGTCCTAATCCAAGAAATTATTTGACACTTCCGCCTTGTAGCCGCTACACAGTTTCATCTTATGGTGTTAGCAATGTTAAATTTGTTACTGACGTTATTAAATTTCCTGAATAAACAAAGCGAAATTTGTTTGTACCAATAGAACCGCCAATAGAACCAAAACAATTAACTTGCAAGCATAATAGATGTTCTGACAGTTCTCAGAGAAGTTTGCAAAGATAGCGATACGGGCCGAAGAAAGACATACATGTCACTTGAAACATTGCGGAGGCGTCTTTATTGCACCACCTCATTTTGAAAATCTAGTGACTTTTGCCGTCACTTTGTTGTTGTTGTCAGCCAATTCCGATGTTGAATGCATTATAGCCTTGAGTTCATTTCAGACAAGGAAATTGGGTGGTTCCATAAATGTGTCGAAGATTGCAATTGATTATTTCATAGTGCTTTTTCACGCGTGTACTGCTCAAGGAAACGGCGTTTACGGTTAATTAGTATTATTTGTCCTCCTTGAAAGCTTATTTACGGGTTGTAGCGTCGTTCATAAACAAGCCGTGAGAGTGAATCCAGCCATTTTATATTTATTTTTCATCCATGTTAAAATATAGTCGTCAATAGGCGATAGTATTCGTGCAAAAAGTAAATTTGTAGCTCGTATTGTAGCAACGCTTCTTTTGACTATTATAAGCTTCAATTTGTGCTTAAAGTATTTCCATTTATTCCACATATGTCTACGTAAGGGTTGTGCCGACAAAAACGTTGCCAAAGTACAAACAACTTCTTAAAGAATGACATACACGCGGAACAAAGGCAAATTGTACTTCCACCCCATAATTCCATCCCTTCTAGTCTGCTCTGCGATAACAATTGTCAACTTTAATGTATGAAGGCTACGAATACTCGGACAGTCATCAAAGCGGTTCACTATCGACGTTTTTAATGGCGGATATAGCTGTTCCTTGCGGAGAAGGGACCGCTAGACAATATTACAATTTGTTTACAAGACTGACGTCAATATTGTCTATTACTTTCAACGTGGTGGTACTGTATATATGCCTAAATCAACAGAAGACTTTGAAGATTTATGGGAAGCTTCTTGCGCTGACTGCTGGCTTTAACGTGTTTTATAGCGCAAATACGATTTTCGTGGGGATGGTAAGCGACAAAGATTGGTTGGAAAAATCCTTGAAATTTCAGAAATCGATGCCAAAAGGAGGTTACTTCTACTACTTTACTGACTCGCCTTTTGTCATGTACGCGCCAGAAACGGTTCAGCATCTTCTACTTAGCCTATCATTTGCTACTGTTTACATTCATGCAGGATTACCTCCAATGCAATTCTTTTTCCGGTATCGTATCTTAGTCGACGATCAACCGAAGGAAACTGAACTGTATACTGGATTCGTATTGCTATTAGTTCTCTCTACCCTGTATACCTCGTCATCGCTGACTCAGTATGAAAAATCGTCAGCGTGGCATACCGAGGCTTTATTTAGTGACGTCAAGGGATGCGGTACCTCCAGTCAGCTGCCTACATACAGTGTCCTTGACAAGGTAGCTTTTATCTAGGCGCCTGGGAATCTTGAGTTTTTTTTTATAAAATGTCATTCCTTCAGTTGTCGACTACAAGTGCAATTCTCGATAAAATATCGGTGCTTATTCTGGTGTCAAGCACTGTTATTGTCATGTACTATGGTCTGCTAACCTGGTATAACTTTCAAGAACCCATGAAAAAGGCCACATCTACTACGAGGAAGCTAAACAAAGATATTAATTTAGTGCTAGCTCTACAGGTAACATATCCGTTTTCATCGCTTACGGATGGGGCGGGCCACTCAAAACTAGAAAGCCATTTTCAATTGTAATTCGAATAGATCTTTTTATGCCTTCCAAAAGTTTGGAAGAATTATTTTCAAGCCGAAACCGCTAAAGCTTAGTACAAAAAAACGACTCCATGAACTAATTGTAAATCACAAAGTTTTGTGATGTGGTCGGATGAGAAACTCCACGTCTTCCAAGAATGCGAACCCCATCCGCAGGAAGTGACAGTCTGGATTGCCGTTGGCATCCACGGTGTCGTTGGCTCAATCTTCTGGAGCAATGAAGATGGTGCGCGTGGAATTAATGCTGATTGGTTGACCGAGAAGTACCAGGTTCAAAGAGGGTCATTTTGCCTAAATTGGTGACTATAATAAACGCAGAGCTTCCACACCGTTTGATGGATCGCGGACTCTGATGCATCCATCTTCATTCCCATGGCCTGCAAGGTCTCCAGACCTCATAAAACTGTTTTTGCAACAACATTTTATAATTACATATTTGAGGTGAAACGAAAAAAAATATTATAAGTCTTCAAAATCATTCAAAAAATTAGTTTCTGCGGTTTCGATCACTTGAAAGTTTCGAGTGGCAAGCCCCGTATCTAGAAAAACGATGACTATCGTTTGACTTCCAGGCTCTTCTCCCATGTGCTTTTGTGGTCTCACCCACGAGCTTGTTTCTAGCAGGTCTTGTGCCCGATAGCATAGCGCCGTATCTCGGTCTTACATCGAGCGTTGGAATGACTCTAAGCCCAATGTTGGATGCACTCATCGTGCTTTTAATTATTCCTGCGTTTCGGCGAAAAGTGCTTTTTTGTATCAAGAGTGAAAATGGCGATTATTCAAACGCAAGAAAAACGACGGTTTCCGCAGTGTTTACTACTTCGCAAGTGTAACTTATGGAATGTGCTATAAAAATAAGATCAATTGTTAATTTGATGAAGTAGATCGACATTGAGTTTCAAAACTAAGCATTGTTTTTTCAACGATAATATGCCTAATATGTTAATGTTATCGATATCAAGATGAATGCTGCAATAAAAGATTTTTTGAACATGTTCCAAGCGTGATTTGGTACAAATGCATAATGTATTCGAACTGAAATGAAACATGCCGCGAAAATCTTCAATTGCAGAATAGGGGTTGACAAATATAATAGAAATTTCAGATACAATCGCTCCTTCTCCAACCCACCGGCAGTCCTCCCCTCACGTCATTAGCGGCATCGAACCATGCCAAGATACCCGCACGAATGGCGGATTTCGGGGCGGGAAGTAGGAACTCCGTTCTAAAATAAAATGTAACAAAATAGAATCTAGACATAACATCCAGTACAAACGCAAATCATACGACTACTCCATAATTCTCTTCATTCTGGCGTGCTCTGTGGATACAATTGCCAAACGTAATGAATGAGTAACGATTATTCGTTACTCATTCATTTAAGACGGTTTACCGTCTATATTTTTAATGCCGTATGTGGGTGTTCCTTGCGGAGAAGGGTCCATCAGATTCTATTACAGTTTGTTTACAAGAGTGACCTCGCTATTGTCAATAACCTTCAACGCTGTGGTACTTTACATATGTTTAAATCAGCAGCAAAATTTGAAGATTTATGGAAAGCTTCTTGCGCTCACTGCTGGGTTTAATGTGTTTTACAGCGCCTACACGATCCTTTTGGGAAGGGTAGGCGACAGATTGTGGTAGTATCTCGATGAAATTAATGACATGGCTTTTTTATATCAAAAATTTCAGACATCAATACCAATAGGACATTATTTCTACTACTTTACCGATTCGCCTTTTCTTTTGTACGCGCCGGAAACCGTTCAGCATGTTTTCCTTACCCTATCATTCACCACGGTCTACATTCACGCAGGACTACCTCCAATGCAATTCGTTATCCGATACCGTATTTTGCGCGACGATCAACCAAAAGCAACTGAACTGTATATTGGATTCTTAGCTCTGGTGGTGCTCTCTCTCTTATTTACCTCATCGACTTTGACCCAATACGAGAAATCGTCCCCACAACATGCGAAAGCTTTATTTGGTGATGTCAAGGGATGCCTTTCCTCCAGTCAGCTGCCTACATACAGTGTGTTCGACAAGGTAGCTTTTTTCTAACAGCCTTGGAATTTCGGGTTTTTGTTTTATAATAATATGTCATTCCTTTCAGTCGTCCGCGGCAAGTGGGGTTATCGACAAAATGTCGGTCTTTTTTCTGGTGTCGAGCACCATTGTTGTAACATACTACGGTCTGCTAACTTGGAATACCTATAAAGGGCATATGGAAACTGCTACGTTTGCTTCCAGAAAGCTAAATCGTGATATCAATTTCGTACTGGCTCTACAGGTAAGAGGCCGCTTTTCATCGCTTACGGACTGTACAAAAAAATGATGACTATTGTTTGACTTCCAGGCCCTTCTCCCATGCGCTTTTGTGGTCTCCCCCACGAGCCTATTTATAGCAGGACTTGTACCTGACAGCATATCACCGTATCTCGGCTTTACATCCAATGTTGGAACCACTCTAAGCCCATTGCTGGACGCTCTCATTGTGCTCTTGATCGTGCCAGCGTTTCGTCGAAAATTGTTTTATTGTTTCAAGCGTGATCATGGCACACCAGACAAAACGACGGTTTCAACAGCGGTTGTTACTTCTCGAGCATAATGCATGGAATCTTGCGATAAAACAAGACCAATTTTGAGTCTGATATAGTTTATTTTGTATAGTTTATTGCTGTACGTTTATTTTTGAAAAATAAAGATTTTGAAAAAGATGTTTTTCGGATACAAGCCGTTGTCGGTATAAAACGAATAAAGCCAAAAGTATAAAAAAGTTCCTGCTAAAAGACAAAGCAGAAAGGTTTGGATTTGGAAAAAAATCTAAGAATGCAATGCACGCCAAAATGACGTTTTCACGATTTTGCGTGCGAATTTGCATATCACATTATAGCCAGTGCAGCGTAATGGTGGTTCAGTCATCGTCTTTGGTAAATCCAAAGACAACTATGGTATGGAGTAGAATTTGTTCTACCGTAAAACATCCCTAATTTTTGTAGGCGTCAAATCCTTGGTCAGAGAAGCTATGAAGGCGGAACAACTGGCCCCTTGGCTACACCATCATTCTGTGTGTTTTTATGCAAATTATACAGGGTGTTTCAAGAAATATGACAGAAACTTTTTGCGAATATCTTTGAATTCTTGGGAGTTTTCGCGGAAATTCTTCTTGTTTCTGAAAATAGAATATGGGCGGTTCTGTATCCAGCAAAAAAAGTTTTTTTTTGTCGGCTGAGAGGCCAGTTCTCGGCGGAGACACATTTTTATAGCCTCATTTGTGAAAAAACACACTCCGCCGAATTCAAGGCGGATTACGGAAGTCTCCGCCGATAAAAGAAAAAAATTTTTTTGGATTCTAAAAACTCCAAGCCTTGTCTGTAAAATGCAAAAAAAGGTTCGGATTGGACCACCGAGCACAAAGTTGTTAATGAAAGATTTTTCCTTAATTCTTGCAACACCCTGTATTATAAAAAAACCGCAATTTTGAATTTCTAAAATTTTTTCCTCACAAAAATGAACAGACAGCTCAAATATCGGACAATTGGGCAGTATAATCAATGAAAAGGTCCCAAATCGTACAACATGTAGTCAGTGTGTGCACGTTTACTTTATCTATAACAATAATATCTTTAATCCTACCATTCAAAACTAGAAAGATAACTGGCATGTAGTTTGATTCTCGCCCACCCCTTCCGAGAAAAATATTGGCTGATTACTCCGATTATTGTTTGATAATTTGTCGATATCAACAATTATGAACATATAAAAACCGCACACATTACTTTTATGACATCCACACGAACATGCGGAGGCTTCTGCTCTGTCTTGCAATTGGATTGGTCAATTGTGGGCCAAATAATGAAGAGATTTTGAAAAGTAGGACATGAGTAAGGTTATTAAAACAACTGCTTAGAGATCCAAGAGGATCCGGTGAACGCCTTTCTTGTACGTCCATTTGAGAAGCCAAAGTTGGCGTTCGAGTTGGAACGGGAGGACAGGCTACCTCGGGATGTGGTTGTGCATTCGTACGACATACGGATTGAACCTTTCTTCGACTACGTAGGCTTCGAGTACGACAAATGTAAGCCCATTTGTAATCCCGGCGCTGCAAACTTTTGGGTCAGCGACAGTTCGGGTTAACGGTAGATACTATGGATCGGCTCACAGGGGAACTACCCCAAGTGCGACGCTCAGATTTCGATGAAACTTGGTACAAATATAGAATATTTTTTCTAAAAAAAAAGAGAATTCTTGCTTGCGCTTTGCAGAAACAACCGAGATTTTTAGATCGAAAGTCGGAGAAAATTTAAGACTCTGACGAATTTCGGAACAAAAAGTTTCATACCTATTTGTACAATAAAGGGTAATGTTTCCACAAAAAATCAATATTTTCTTTTTTTATGAAGCTTTCAAAGTTATGGACAAAAAGTGGTTTTTTTCTCTGGCCGCGCGAGAGAAAAAAGACGCTCCGCGTTTAGGCCGCGCTCCGCGTCTCTCTCGATGACAAAGCTCGTTCAATATCTCAGCGGCGCCGGAAAAGCGCGAGCTAGAAATATCAGGAATTGTTATTTGGTTCATGCTCGACGTCTGTGCAAAATTTAAAGAAAATCGGAGCGTCGCACTTGGGGTACTTTCCCTTCAATATCACATTTTTTGAGGTATTTTCAAAAGTACTTACATCAATAATATCTAGATAAAAATTACGGATCTTCATTTTGTGCCGCAAATTTTTGTTTTTTATATTTTTGTAACAATAACTCAGGCTAAACAACACTAACGTTATTAATAGCCAAAATTCGAAAAATGGACATATTGCAAGTCTCCGCCGAGCCTTCGCCGATCTTCCGCCGACCATCCAACGGGTTTGTCAGGCCTCGTAGGCACTTTCTACAACCTTTTTTGAGTATCACCTGCCCTACACCCAGTATCGATTGATTTTGTGTACACCCAAACTGTCATCGACCTGAAAAGTGGGGACGTGGACTTTTTGGCCTCCTCGAGGCTCCCCTGTGTTACTTTTTGCCCGACGAAACCGTCTCTCTTTCAGCGCTTCGTAACTCTTTCAACGGAGAAACCAAGATCGTATTCTCTGTCTTCCAACCCACTACCCAGATTGTGTTGGCTTCATCGGTCTATCTCCGAGCGGTCAGCCTTACCTTGGGCCGCCAAAGAATCAAGGTTCTTGATTACAAAACGAAAGCGAAATCACTTTTGGAAGTACGAACAGAAAAGCTGGCACCAAATAGAAACTACACGCTAAACTTTAAATATTCAAAATATATGGGGCGCCCACTGTTTGGCGGCCTTTTCACTGCGACATACCGGAATCCGGAAGGAAATTTTACGTGAGTTTCGGACACGAGCCAACTAGAAGTATTTCGAAAATGTTGTTCTAGATCATTACTAGCCACAAATTTCGACATGATATTTGCGAGAAAGGCGTTCCCGTGTTTTGATGACCCGTGGTTCAAATCCGTCTTCCACATCTCCCTGATCCACCCGAAGAACGCCAGTGTGTACAGCAATCAGCAAATCGCGGAGCAGCGGTATTTTGAGTAAGTTGGGAGTTCAGCTGCTGCGTGGGCAGCTGAGAGCAACGCAATTTGATTTTGCCGCGACACAATTCATTTCCTCGGCATCGCCACACTTGCGGGCAACCATTTTGCTTGCACCTGACATTTTTCGATTAGAATTACGATCTTCTAACCGTAAGCTATGTAGTCCGACAGAAATTTTGCATTGTCATCTTCCTGGGACTGATAAGTACACGAATCTATTAAGTTCATCCACTGCTTTCAAAGTTATGAAAGCTTGTTTTCAAAAAAATCGTAGAGGTGTCTCTGGTTAACCGTAAGATGACTATTCAAGTTACTTATACACCTCGAAACTTAATTGGCAACATCTAACAGCCAAACCCATCGCTTGACTATCCTGTTGTAAGTAAGTGTTGGCTGATTTCCAAACGTGCCCGCAGAATCTGCGCGGTTCTTCAAGCTGCCCGCAAAGTGGTTGCCCACAAGTGTGGGTTCTCCATCTCTTCGGCAGCTATATATGCGATTTTCAATGCGGCAGTGCGCTCATTATTCACCTGACAGACTGTTGAAAGCGGCATGTTTCAGTGAGCAACGACTTCTCACCAGATTCAAGCCCTCGCCGAAAATGTCCACATATCTGGTCGCCTTTGCTATCGGCGACTTCGAGGAAGTCCGTGCGTATTCGAGGAGTGGAGTTTTGGTAGGAAAAACTCTGCCAAAATACGTACGGTAAATCTCGCTTTTGCAGAACCGAGCAATCTCCGTGCGCGGCGGAAACCCCTTCCACAAAAACGACTCGCTCACCGGCGCTGCAGTTGTGGATGCGATGGAGGGCCTGCTCAATGTCAGCTATCCGTTGGAGAAGCTGGGTAAGATTTGCAACTTTTTGAAATTTGTCAATAACTTAAGCCATTCGTTGATGATTTGCAGACCATTTGGACAGTTACGAAATGCCGGGGGCCGGGTGAGTTGGGGGCTGATCATTTATGGCGGCTTCATCTTCGAACGCCTCGGGAAGAACATTGCAGAGTTGGTCCTCGAAAGAAGGGTCATTAGTCATGCAACAGCACATCAGTGGTAAGGGAAACCGAAAAAAGTTACGCATGAAAAACATCATTTTAGGTTCGGAAGCCTCGTCGCGGGCGACCGCTGGGGCTTGGTGTTCCTTCACGAGGCTTTCGCCACTTTCTTCGAAACCAAAGCTCCCTTGGATCCGGGTTTCACGTATCTTGCCGTAAGCTAAACCTTTTTATGAATCCATTTTTTGCCAGGAGGTTGCCCAAGTCCCACTGATTCGAGACGCCGTTGAAAGGTATTCCAAAGCACGGCATCCCATCGTCGACGATGATGGGAGTACTTATTCCGTCGGTGGGGCTTTGTTGACATCGGTGCGTCATGCTCTTGGGGATAGCGTCTTCTACAAAGGGCTACATATATTCGTGACCGAAAACAAATACGGTAGTGCGGGATTGGACGAGTTGATTCAGAGCTTCATCAAGGTGAGGAAGGCGTTTTCAGGAATGGCTCTGCAGGGACAAGTTGTTAACGCTTGCTGCGACTAGACAAGACATTTCCCAAACCCCCTTGCAAGAGACACCCAAAATTCGGAGAGCCGTAGCGTTGTTCAACCAACAATACTAATAATAAACTAATGATTTAACGATTATTTATGTAGGCCAAAGGGACCGACAAGCTTTGTGGTTCTCTAACCGTCACCGAGTATTTGGAAGACTACTTTCTTCGGGCCGGCTCTCCGATAGTCAATGTTTCACTTGAAAACACTCGGTACACAATAGAGCAAGACTCCGCGGCCAACGGCGGCAAGACGTGGAATGTTCCGGTTATTGTTCTGGACATTGCAAGCAACAAAGAACATCTTCTCTGGCTTCTCAAGGACAACAGTCTTTGCAGCCCAGACAACTCTAAACTAGACGCTCAGAAAGCGTACATCTTCAACAACGAAGGAAAAGGCTTTGCAGTGTTTAACCTGGACGTTAGAGCGGCGGTGAAGACCCTCGAAAGTGTCAAATTTGTGGAGCTCTCCGTTCACAACATGCAGCATCTTCTGCACCATGTTCCCACTGGCACAAATCATGGCGACGCCAGCGATATCGCTTACAGGGCGATTGTGGAGAAGAAGAGTAAAGTCCCGTACTTCCTGTTGAAACACGTCGACGACGAGGTGAGTGGAAAAGCGCAGAGGAAAGACGTTTTTCAGAGAAAATTGGAGGTCTGGAACATACTCAGCGATGATTTCGATTACAAACCTACAGTGGAGAATAGGTGGGTTTGAGGTCGAGTTGCACGAGCGATGTACACATTCAGGCATAATTCACTAAAAAATTTGGTTCGCGCTTTCCAAAAGGCGGCCGAGAAAAAACGCGAGAACGGTCAGAGAAAGAAACATTTTTTTTTGGCCAAATCTTTTGTGATGAAAAAATCGATTTTTTTGGGGAAATATTACATTCCGCGGTAGAAATAGACATAAAACATTTCAAAATCCGCAAAAAAAATTTCTCCTTTTCCCACTTTCTACCTAAGTTTGTGGTTTCTATACAGCACAAGCTAGGGATGCCCCTAAAATCGGCATACAGTGGGGGACCTTATCCAGTGGCAAAAAAGTACCATTTCTCATCCAGGAATTGACAAAAATGTGGAAAAATGCTTCCCTCCCCAAGTGAAAAAACTCCGATTTCAAAAGCGCGCGCGCTCTTTTTGTGAGGGGAAGGGCGCGCCCTTCAAAACGGAGGTTTTTACACTTGGAGAGGGAAGCATTTTGCCACATTTTTGAAGCCTCCCGGATGCAAAATGGTACGTTTTTTGCCACTGGATCGGGTCCCCCACTGCAACACAAAACCATAAATTTTCAGACTGCTCGGCCAGTACTTCCTCTACTTCGCTGTTCGAGCCAATGTTACAAGCGCTGTACGAGAAACCGCCAAGCTTTTTGAGCAATTCACACAGGATTGCGCGGTCGGCAAGGACATTGTGGAATGCCCAAGGTGAGGAAGTGAAAACAAAACGAAATCTGTTCAGAATTCCTCCGGAATACCGCAGCGCAGTTTACGATCAAGGCGCCAAAACCGAAGAAGGCCTGAAGTTTTTGAGGGAATATCGAAAAAGAATCGAAGCTCATCCCTTGGAGATATGGATGACGCCAGAACAAAACCGCCTCATACCGTACTAAGCGCTTGAAATCACAAAGTTTGATGATATTTGGCGTCAAAATTGTGTTGCGTTAGTTTATTCAAACAGTAAAGAGATAATGCTCAAAACTAGAAGAAGGATTTTACTGGGTGGGCCAAAAAATGGACAAAATTAAAAGTCGGTGTATCCCGGCACGAATACCGTAATCAATGGAAAGAAAAATTTATCTATATTTCTTGAAACACCCTGTAGATGGCTCGGGAAGTTTGAGTACTTCAACAACCCTAAAAATTCGACCAGTCAGCTTGGACGTTGCAGCAAGACTCCTCCTCAGTTCACAAGGCATTGACTATGGTGCAAGAGGTATTTTCCCGATCTTATCATCTCGAATGAATGGCGCCCCATACTCCCAAAATCGGAATCCGATGGTCTGCAGCGTGTGGTTGACTTCGGAGAGTCGAGTCTGTTCACGCTACCGAAGTTTGGACTGGCTTATTGTGAAGACAGCGATGAAGAGCGAATGGAACCGTTTATGCCGGAAAGGGCTGCGGCAGCCGCGACCTCAAGTCACGTTTGAACTTCTGCCGCCAAGTGAAGCCACTTTGAAACTGGCTGAACAAAAGGCATTGTATATGAAAAAGCTTCCTTTTGTCTTCAATTAGTTGGGTGCAGCTGACTTTGCGCAATGTGAAATATAAAAAATCTTTGTTTCTCTATGGTGCCATCCCTAAATTCTCTTGTTTACTCGCACAAAGTGGCCATTGAAAGCAAGAAATAATGTTGAATGCATGTTTATCCACTGCACCATGCATAATTGCCAGCTCCTCGAATTTATCCGTTTTTTTTGCATCAACTATTCAGACGCCTTTAAATGTAGCGAATTTCGGAGAGAACGGCCTTTCTACTTCTTGCGAACTTTGATGGCATTTCAAGTTTTAGTGCTAAAAAGAACGAGTTTTTTTCAGAGAGGTAAGAACTGTAACAGTAAGTGCCAAGGGCTGGTCTGAAATGTCTTCTGGGTGTACACATTAATATTTATGGACATTTCTGCTATGGTAACTGGGAAAACCGGGACGGAAGTTACTATCATTTAAAGCAAGCTTTATGCAACGTAACTGTTGGCGGAGAAAGTAAAATCTTGGTCAGCGTCGGCCGAGACTTCCAGCCGTCTTGGCAGGCGAGAGAATATCTCAAACAAGGAGTGTCGGTCGGCTGAAAAACATTTTCGGTCATTTAAGTCCTATATAGTGTTTCAATTTTGGGTTCAGAAAAAAATGAAGTACATTGTGGCCTTTTAACCTTATAGTCCTGTTAGTTTTTGCATAGAAGACGCGAAAAACTCTCAGTTGTTCGTCTTGTAATACGTTCATCTACATGAAACTGCGCCTCACAAATTGTCAGTTTCCAAAGAAGATTTTTTTTCTGTCGTTTTGAGGGGGGCTTCGTTGGTGCTTGTCAAAGCATTGACCGGCAGCCTCGATGACGGAGGCATTTTTGAGAATTCCCTGAAGCTTGACCTCATCGAAGAAGCTAATGTACTATATCAATCTGTGGGCAAAATAGTCACCGGTCTATCGCAAGTCGCAACCCCAAAAATGAACTGTGTCGTGAAGAATTAAATCGCTGTTCACTTCAGCAACGCGATTGGAGCACCGACATCGCGCTCGCTATTTTCCCGACAGATAGGACTTCTTGTCTCAAGGTACAAGGAAAATATTGTTTCCAAAAGGACACAAAGTGTAAAGTTTGTTCAACCCCGACAACGACATTAAATCCTTTATGTAATCAGTTTTGGTCCTTACATTCCCTCCATTACACTTTTGTGTAGAGGTGTTGAAATGTAATCAAATCATTTTTTAACACCCCCATTCCTTAGCTTTTTATTGCCATTTTTTACGTTTTTTCTCATACTCTATACTATTCGCGCTCGGAGTGATTTTTGGGGCTTCGTCGAGAATGGACAGAGTGAAATTGGACAGAAATACAAAAAAAAATTAAATTGGACGGAGCGCGGAAATTGGACAAAGTGAAATTGGACAAATTTTTTCACTGCAAAAAGTAGTTATTTTATGATTCAATAGTGACATTTCGTACGATTGCAGCGAAAAAAATCTGTCCAATTTCACTCTGTGTATTTTTCACGGCGCCATTTTTGGGGCATGCTCTGTGAGAAAACAAAAGTTCTCTTCGAACTGTGCAATTTTGTACTTTCTTGCACCGTTAAATAAAATTATTTATGCTCTCGCTCTCCTCCTGACCTTTTCAGCACAGTTCAAACGCCAAAAATCACTCCAGCGACTTTACGAACAGACTAGCAAAGAATTTCAAGTTTTGTCTCAAAAAGTTTTCTTTCTTCACCTATGATTTTGACTCTCATTTATTCATGAGGACGCTCTGCAAATCCTCTTGAAAAGGTCCAGTGCCACGGCCCTCGCATTTCGTAATACGGGTTATTTTGTATTTGAACACTGAGCACCGAAGCATACAAATAATTTAGTCGGTTTTCGAAGAGAGCGCTCATTAGAATTCTTTACAGTTTTCGATGGGAAAGCTGGATTCAAAATAAGGGGCAGCAGCTGGAAATAAAAAATAGTTCTGTTTTTGGTCTTGTACGTCGTGATGTCGCGGCATCGCATGCATTTTTTGGACCGCTTTGGGAGATGTGTTATACTGTAGTTATATCTTTAGGGAGGCTTTCCTACCCGAAATAAAAATCCTGATAATTTCGCACTGTGTGATTTTGAAGGCGAAGGTTTGGCGCGGCAGATTTTTTCACGGTGCAAATTATATTTATGTGGACTTTTGCCCAGAATAAATGAGTGTCTAGATATATCAGTCTGTCGGAAAAATAACGGCTGATCGTCGCGCCTCGGAATCGCCCGTCATCGCTTTGCGACGGCTGCCGAAGCTGAAGATTTGGTGCGCGATAGAGACGAGGCGAGACATTTTGCTGCGATGATCCGCCGTTATTTTTCCGACAGACTGATAATGAGGATAATGCCGCTGCTCCCATCGCGTCGCTGAAGTGAAAAGCAAAATTTGATTTTGCCGCGACACAATTTATTTCCTCGGCAACAATGCGACAGTATGCTCATTATTTTCCCGACACACTGATGGCTCTTTATTAATACTATATACTGGCATTCTCTCTTGCTCGCCCTGTTTTGAAAAGGGCAAAAGTGGCTTATTAATCCGCTTTTCACCTAAAGCAATTTATTTAAAATTTAATTTTCTCGAAATACAAATTAAATTCTTGGTCTTTTTCGTATTTCAAAAGAGCACTTTTGAGCGTATGTCATGTAAAAACCAGACTATTTTTGTTATATATGGGTTCAATTTATTTTTATGTGCACTACTTATCACAGGTGAAACCAAATTGACGCGTTTGTCGAAACATTTTTTTGAATATTTGGCCGAATAGAGAGAGTAATAGTGCATAAAAAATCTGAAATTTGTGCAAAAACATGCCGCTGCTCTCAAAATTCTCACGGGATTTAACCTTTTTATTGGGTAAAAAAATTGGCGACAGTCATGAGTGACAAGATCGAGAAAGGAGCTCCAAAAAGTGCGCGGTTGAATGAGAGAGAAAATCTTGGCGAAATTTTATTTTTTTTGCCAGCGTTTTGCAGAATATTAGAGTATACTGTAAGGGTGATTTTTCTAGATTTTCGACTGTGGCCAAAGCTACCAACATTCTCTGTATTTTGTGACGTTAAATGAGGAAAATAACGATGGGAATATCCTATCAGTTTGTCGGGAAAATAATGAGTACATGGTCGCTGCGTTGATCCTCGTCGCTGAAATGAAAAGAAATTTGATTTTGCAACGCCACAATTCATTTTCTCCGCGAATCTTCGATGCGACAGAGTGCTCATTATTTTCCCGACAAAATAGTTTATTTTCTTAATAATAGAAGCTCTGCAAAAAAGTGATCGCTGATATTGGCGTAATTTGACGCCAATACTTATTTTAGACTCGTGAGAGCATGAACTCAACTTCTTTTTGTCTTGTCTTGTCTACCATGCCTTCCCAGACATTTGCTAGACAAAAACAAACCGTTGCTTCATACACACCTTTCAAATTTTCAAAATATTCAGTTAATTTTTAATTTTTGTATATTCATAACTAGCAAATTTTACGTATTTCTTGAGATACGTCTACGAATAGGGGCCTTCATAAAAGCACTTTGCTTGTCATGAATTTATTTGTGGCTTATGCCTGACGTGTGTGCCAAATTTAACGAAGATCGAGGGAGGTACTTCCTTGTTAGGCTCACATATTATGAACAGAATTGTGAATTATCAACAACATGCTAGCGCGAAAGCGGTGTTTTCTTCATTCTTCAATTTTTTTGGTTATTAAAAAAAGGTCATCCTCCCAAAGTTCCTCCGGAAATTGGGCTAATTTACGATTGCAGCGGGCGCAAGGCTCCACCATCGGTCCGCATTTTGTCCGCTTACTATGCTACAAATTGGGTGGGGGGAAAAGCGGTAATGATCAATTGCGATGACCAAGAATTCATTAGCGGATATGCTCCATGTCTCAGCTTAATCCCGCGGTAGAATGTGGGCTTAATTACGGTTGAAGGGGCAGGGATAGTTTTGAAATGGTCATTCCCAAATACACTAGAATATTCGAGGAATATATTTCTGGAGTTGACATGCTGCGCAGAGTTTTCTGTCAACAATATTTTCGATTTTCTTGACGTAGCTTGTCAGCAAAATTTTGCGGGTTTATTCGACAATTTGAGACGGGGGCGTTGGCTGGTTGTGGGGTATCTGCCTACTCTTTGAGACAAGGCAGGAAAAAGATGACATTTTCAGTCTGTCGGGAAAATAATGAGCATAAAAACGACACCTGCAACTCTCTGGGTTTCCTCAAATTTTGTATGAAAACTGTTATCGGTCTGTCGGGAAAATTATGAGCTCTCTGCGGCATTGAAAATCGCATCGCCACCGAAAAAATAAATTGTGTCGCAGGACAGTCAAATTGCTCTTTAGTTTAGCGATGCGATTGTGCACATTATTTTTTCGACAGACTGAAATCGTGTGCGAAAGCAAACATGTGACTTTTTCGAAGAAAGCTCGTTGAATATCTCGGCTACGAGCGGAAAGCTTCAGCGATCAAAAAATGGTCGGTTTATACTTTACCCTAAAGCCAGATATCCCCAAAAAAAAATTTTGTCCATTTTTTTGTGCACCCTGTGGAGTGAGGCAAAATTTCAAAGAGATCAAAAAGTCTTTCTTTGCGTGTTTTCCTATAAAATTTCCGTCGAAATTCGGCAAATCGCCGGCCATATTTTTCAATTATTTATCACCCAACAAATAGGGCGATAACAATCTTTCTTTTTCTTTTTTTCTGCGCATAAATTCCAACGAAATTTTCCGTTCAACGGTTACATCTTACTCTGTGGCACAAGCCGACACCTTCTGCGCTTCCCTTGGCCCATCTTCCGTCTTGCCAAGTTTGCGCTTTTGCCGCCCAAGGAATTCGAATGGACATTGGCTCGCGGGGCCGTGGGAACCATTTCTTGGAAGCAATTTATTACTTTTTTAGGGCTTTGCATAAAATTAAAAAAATTTGGAACTTTCTTTGCTCTTATAAAAATTTTTAGTTTTTTTTCTGCTTTAGGCAAGTCGTGACCAGCGATTGTGTGATTTTT